GGGTTCTATCTTTGATGTTATTCTAAAATCTATAAGTTTTTTAGTCTGATATTGATTAACAACTATTTATAAAGGCCATTGAAATCAGTGTACTAACAAGGCACCAGCAGCAAATAAAAAACAATCAAAATAGGAACCAGTTTCAGGTATTCATGTATTACTTTAGGCTACTGGTAAGTCGTACGATTAGCTTCCTCACACGGAGCTATGGTAGAGCCAGGCCGCCGCAAACAGGGTGGTTTGGGAATACTCGTCAGCATGAATTTTTGTTTTAAGCTTACTAGACTGGTGATACCGAGGAAAGCCATGGACGTGGTGTCCCTTTATTTCCCTAATGTATCTAACAAAGTCTCCCATGGCCTCTCTCACAGAGAGGGGGAGAAACGTGGATTGGAGATGGTAGTTACTGAATACGGAGAGCTGAGTGTGTTGATCTGTCACTCTGTGACTTCAGGAATGATCTCTAGCTGCATATGACAGGATCTCTCTTAGGCTCTATAACGTTCAATATTTTGCTTGTGACTCAAATGCAGCCAGACTATGCCCTTAAAAATTCTACAGGTGATAGCTAGAATGAGTATATATATTTTTTCTTTTTTTTTTTTTAAGGAAGATTAGCACTGAGCTAACATCTGCTGCCAATCCTCCTCTTTTTGCTGAGGAAGACTGGCCCTGAGCTAACACCTGTGCCCATCATCCTCTACTTTATACGTAGGATGCCTGCCACAGAATGGCATGACAAGCGGTGCATAGGTCTGCACTGAGGATTCGAACCAGCAAACTCTGGGCTGCTGAAGTAGAACATGAACTTAACCTCTTTGCCACTCGGGATAATTACTCAAAAAATATCTCGATAACAGTAGCACTATTTTCAAGCACAGGGATTACTGTATCCCTTCTGGGCTCCCCACTTTGAGCAAGATCCTGGTAAGACAACTGAGGGACGACGAAGCATCTACTCTCTGAGATGCAGCTGACTAATCTCTGGCTGCTCCGTCTGGAGAAGGCCTAGGAGGACACAGAGCCTCCTCCCCTCCCTTTAACTCCTGGGTAACAGCAGAGAAAACTCTGAGGCAAAGACTGGTTGGAAATGAGCTGACCTTGTTCCTGGAGGACACAGAGGTTCCACAAGGAGGGGTAGGATAGATTATCAAAAAAAGAAAGAACCTCAACTTTCAAGCATCAAATCTGATTTCCAAGTGAATGGAATGCCATTATAGTGAAGATTACTATTTAAAAAATTGAGGAACACTAAAGGAGTCTAATCGATACAGCATTGCTCTTGTAGCTGTTATTCTGAAATTCTGTTGGCACTAAAATGCTCTATTTCCAAGGATGAAACACCACTCAGGTGGCAACAATTTAAAGCACATTTAAAGTGGCCCTAGTAAAGGAGACCTCTATATTGATATTGTCATTTAAAATTATAATTTACTTCTCTTCGAGCTTTAGGAAAGATAGTCAGTAAAAATGAGATAGACACAAGCATCTTTGATCAACTAAATCCAAAATGATAAGCTCAAGTTTTTCCTCCCTTTAGGAATAGTTCTTTAGTGGACCTTGCATCAATCTAGGAAAGAAAGTTCATAAATACGTCTCAGTATTTCACATTCCCATTCAGATGTGATTTTCTCTCCTCTAAACTGTAAACATAGTCCTTTATACCACTATATGACACTTGGTACATACAAATTATCTAATACTACAATCTGTATCTAATACTATGATACTATACACATACACACATATGTCAACAGTCAACCAATACACATTTTGTATCAACTATGCCCGTGCCCTCAGGGATTACATTCCAGAGGGGAGAAAATCCATAAACATTAACTTTAACAATGTCTCCCACTGAAAAGATCAAACATGGTAATATAGTGTATTGTATGGTAGAGACTGTTGTTTTGGTTTGGCTGGTCAAGGCCACTCTAAACTCATTTTCCCGTACAGTGGCCTTTCTTGACCATGGTAGTTGGAGGTCACTCTATAGAGACCTATTAGCCATGCAAAGACTTTGGGAAAGAGCATTCCAAGTAGAAGGAGAGGCAAGTGCAAAAACTCTTGAGATCAAAATGAGCTTCATATGTCCATGAGATTAAAAAAAAAAGGCGAAGGGGCTGGCCCAGTGGCATAGTGGTTAAGTTTGCACACTCCGCTTGTCAGCCCGGGGTTCATGGGTTCGGATCCTGAGCGCGGACATACACACCACTCATCAAGCCATGCTGTGGCGGCATCCCACATACAAAATAGAGGAAGACTATCAAGTGATGTTAGCTCAGGGCTGATCTTCCTCACCACTCCCCTCTCTCCCCTCAAAAAAAAAAGGCCAAGATGGCTTAGTATGGTGAAGAGAGGAAAACAAAGGGAAATAAAGATTAAAGGGAACCAGATCATACAGCGCACTATAAGCCACAGTAAGGAATTTAATTTTATTCAGTTTCAGTGAGAAGCAGCAACAGGTTCCAAGCCATGAACTAATGTAAGGCTTGGGAAGATCACTGGCTACTTTGTGAATGACAGACTTTGTGAGGCAAAAGTCCCTGACACACCCATTGGTAGGCTGCTGCAACAGCCAGGGCGAGATGATGGTGGCACGGATAAGTGATCAGTCATGGAGACACTAGAAGTCACTGCATTGGAAGTAGTATCTACAAAATTTTACTGATGGACTATTTGAGAGGTATAAGCAGCCAGGCGGACATTTGTGCTATACACTGAGGTGGGCATGTATTTACGTAAGTATTTTGTGTGTTGGGAGTAAACACACAGGCTTGCAAGCTGGAAACTAACAGTAATGTTCTGGACTTGTAAAATGTGAATGCCTAATTGATATACAAGTGGAAAAGCAGAATGGGTAATTCACTCCACAAGGCCAGAGCTCAGGGGCCAAGTCTGTGCTGTAGAAGGAAATGTGAGCCCTGTCAATGCACAAATAAAGCTACAGATTTACCACGAAGTTACCATGAGATTACCAAGAAAACAGGGCCCAGGATGGAGTTCCGGGGCACCTGAATATTAGCAACCTGATGGAATAAACAGTCCCAGAAAAGGCGCTGGAGAAAGCCTGAGCAGTCAGCAGGAGGAGAGCCAGCACACGCCGCAGCGCTGAAGCCAGAGACAGCGTGTTCAAGCACGACGTCAAGTCATCCGAGGACTGAGATGGTGCCGGCAAGACGCAGCTCCCTGCTGACCTTCGGAGAAGGCCCTTCAGTAGGGTGGGGGTTTTGCGAACCACTCGGAACCTTTCAGTTCCACTACTGGGCATCTCCATTCAGGCCAGTTTTGTGTTTATGAAATATGAAACATTTGGGACCACTTTCTACAATACTTTTGTTCATATATACTCAAAAAAGGTAAACGATGAACAAATATTGCTTAAGATATCTTCAAAATATTTCAAGATTACCTCTCTTAAACTGGACATTATAAATTGCAGTTAACTGCCAATCACTAGATTTCTTTCTAACACATTATTGTTCCTCTCATATCCACAAGAACCAATCATTTACTGGGAAAACAGTGAACACAATTTCTTATTGTAGTAGGTGATTTGACTTGCTACGTCAAAAACTCAAAGCAGCTTTAAAAGAACAACTATAATTATAGCAGTCTGATTCAGTAACTCCTAATGCCATTCCAATTTCCTTTAACTTATGTAACTCTGTCTTCACCAAATAGTAATTAAAAACTGTGGTTATCAAACTATAATGTGAATAAGAATCACCCTGATGCTTAGAAATGTAGATTATAAGGTGTCCCCAGGTGGGGTATGGGTTATGAGGTCACGCTGGTTTTTTTTTAAGTTACCTTTTTTAAAAGCTATCTTGGAATTCTGATAGACAGTGCATGAATCATACTTTGCGAAACAATATAGAAATTTAGAACAGAATAATGTATACAACAACAAACCCTTGGAAAAATCATTTTTACCTACCCCAACCCCTGGCAAGTATTAGACTTACTATTTCTCTCATGGTCACAGAGTTATTTTGATAACTGTCAAGCACCTGTTATGTGCGTAGTTAAATTAAGTTTAAACATTTCTAAAATTTTGATGTTTAATTTTTTCACCCAATATGTGTACATGTATGCTTATGGATATGCTTATAATTCTGGATTGAAAAAATTATATAATTTTGTAAGGCAGAGCAGGCTCACAAAACTAATATCACCCCTGAATATGCATTCATAAACCTAGAAAATTATTTGAAATAGTTAAGGTCTCAGATAAGGACTCACTTGCGTTTCTGCAACTTGAATGTTTAAGCAAATGTAGAGAAGCTGATGTCAAAAGATCTATTTCAACAACTGAACTTGCACTATATGTGTTTTGAATGAGTATAAATAAACACTCATTTATCATTTCCTGCTGAATTCACACCTACATAAGGCTAGAAATTGCATTTCCGACAGGCATCCCTTTCACCATCACATAAAGCAGTTTCCTGATTTTTTGGAAAACCCTTTAATATTTTCTGTAAAACTTATTCTAAGGCTGGGTAGAGAGTTTTAAGAAAAAGGGGAAATAAGACAAGTGATCACTTTTAATATTTTAAGTGAAAGAACAGGTAAACCACAGTAGAGGAAAAAGGATGGGAGGGAAGGACAGTAATGATATAAAATTGTTTGAAGTAAGAAATGAAATCAAGAATTAAAAATAGAATTACATTTTCTATTTGGCAAGACACAAACAACACTAAGTGCACTTCATAAATTTTACCATTGTTGCTCTAAGTGTTATTACCATAAATCACATTAGTAGCGTACTTGGCATTTTTAAAAGCAAAAAGGATTGAGAGTGTCAATAAGTTTAAACAGCTCTGTTATCTGTGAAGAGAGTGGAAGAGAAATTATCACAAGCTTTTACCAGGCCTAAAAGCCCAGTTCTAGCCCCCATCACTGCTATCCCTCTGCCTCCCGCTGCACGACACAGAGCATCACTTTGCCACAATCTATGAGAAAAATGCTCATTGCTGCTCTCCCAACGCTTGTACCTGATGTGCGAGGGGAGACAGCTGTTTGCCCCTTTTCTCGTCACGCACAGGGAAGAGAGACTTCAGCAGCTTCGGCATCTGTGGCACAAAGGATTTTACCGGATTCAAGTAGGAGGCCGCCAGGCTACCAAGTCCTGTCAACAATATTGAAAGGAAAAGAGAGAAGACAAAAACAATTACATAGACATTTTCTTTACTGTAAATTTTCCAAACGTCATTTGTAAGCAAATCTAACAATATAAACCAAAAAAGTACCCGTAAAAAAAGTAATATTAGAAAAACATAGTATTATTACAGTTACCCTCACACACAATGGTGTTTTCTTTTCCAATTAAATAGTGACAATTGGGGTACCTCCAGAATGTTCTAATATCCCTTGTTCCTATTAGTATCTGAAGGGTAATCCAACCCCAGTGCCTGTCACTACCTGGTTCAAATACTAACTGCTGTCCTAGAATAAAATGGGGTTTTTCATTTTTAAATCACATAGCCGATGACAAAAGTATAGCTCCCCATCTAGACTTTAAACTCTTCGAAGTCAGAGACTATGTCTTATTTAATTTTAATTTTTCATGCTATTTCCTGAATGAAGATGATGAAACTGAACTTTGAGGAAAAAAATGGTGTTTGAGTTGTTTTTACAAGAAAGAATAAATGCTCTGAACCAACCATGTTCTTACCTGCTCTTAATTACCAAAGGCTGGGAGCAGACATGCAAACAATGCCTATGATATAAGGAGAGTTCTTTACCCTTAGTGAATAAAACTAAATTTTGTTTTTTGAGGAAGATTGGCTCTGAGCTAACATCCATGCCCATCTTCCCCTATTTTACATGTGGAACTCCTGCCACAGCATGGCTGGATAAGCAGTGCATAAATCCGTGCTTGGGATCTGAACTGGTGAGCCCCTGGCCACTAAAGCTGAGCGCATGAACTTAACTGCTTATGCCACTGGGCCGGCCCCTAAAACTAAATTTTTAGGAAAATCTAATCCAAGTTATAAATGGTAAAACACTGTATCCTCATAACATTTTTAAAAGAACAAGCAAGTCAACTTGAGGACTTTGTATGAGACTGCCTGAAGAGAAGCTCACAACCACCCCCATACCTCTGCTCTACTCCTGAAATGGCTCCAAGTTCCCTGGTAATACAGTTGGTACATGGACCTATACAGGCGTAAGGTTTCTATATTTTACATAAAGTAGTACAATACTAACCTTAAGTAAATTATGAAAAGGTAAGAATATTTTATAATCATAAGAGTAATCACTAAAAAGTAAAGCAAAGAGAAAGCTATAATGCTAAGAGATAAATTAAAACTAAGTTCAAAAAAGCCAAATAATTTACAAGGCAAAAATAGGGAACAGAGAAACAAAAAAAGAGGAGACAAACAGAAAACAAAGTAAGTTTAAGATGAACAGAGAGCCAGAAGATAGAATCATCTAAATGCTGACCAAAAAAATGAGGATCAATCTAGAGTTCTACATGCAGTTAAACTAACATTCCAGAGTGAGGGTGACCCCTCATTAAATAAAGATCTAGCCAATAATCATCCAAAGGCTGCACATATCACAAAAGGAGAGACAAGCAGACACGATGCATCTCCGAGGGAGGTACACAGAACTACCCATTCCTTTATCCCACCCCTACCGCTCCCTGGAATTAGCCTGAACCTCATCAAGGCTACAGCGCGAACTACCAATTTACAGGAAATACAGGGACAGAGAATCACGTTAAACAACCTCATGGGGACATAACCAGCAAAAATAAGAACATACAGAGTCTACTGTACAAACACCTGGTCGCCTCAACAAATACAACCCAATGGAGAAAAGACATAAAGAGGAGCACAGAGATTAAACAGACTTAAGACACAATCAACTAAGCACAATGTATGAACCTTACTTGGATTTCCACTCAACTAAAATACGTTTTTGATCTAATTGGGAAAATCTAAACACTGACTAGATGTTTGATGATATTTAGGAATTACTTTAATTTTTCTTAGGGGTGAAATGTTATTGTGGGTATTGCTTTACAGATACCTGTACAAATATTTACAGATGAAGTAATATCTGAGATTTGCTTCAAAATAATCATCAAAGGGTGTGGAGAAGTAATAGGAGTATAGACAAATAAGACTGGTGCTGAACTGATCATCTTGAAATCAGGAGGGGGTACGTGAGGGCACAACATGTTATTCTTTCTACTTTTGTACATTTGATATTTTCCATAGCAAAAAGATTCTTCAAAATGAGAGCAAAGTAAAAACTTCAACATATAAAAGAAATAAAGAGTTTGTCACTAAAAAACAACTGTTAAAAGCATTAATGATGGATGTAATTCACTAAAAAAGAAACTCAAGTCAGTAGAATGGAGCAGGGTGCAAGGAGCAATGATGAGGAAAGCAAAGTGGTAAATATATAAATCAAGTAAGCACTGATTATAACTCAAAAAAAAAAGAAATTTACAGAATTTTAAAACAAGGTGGTACTGTATGACCCAGTAATTTCACTCCTAGGTACTTACTCAAGAGAAACGTTCACAAAAGGCCTTATACAAAAACAAGTTTTATTCATAGTGGCCAAAAACTGGAAACAAACCAAATGTCCATAAACAGGAGAACTAATTAAAAATTGGGACAAATTCAACTGTGAAATATTTCTCAGCAATAAAAAAGAATAAACTTCTGATGCATGCCACAGCATGGATAACTTGAACAGACAGGCTGAGCAAAAGAGGCCAAACACAAACGGTACACATTGTATGATTCCACCTATATGAAACTGAACAGACAGAACAGGCAAAACTAATCTGAAATGAGAATACTGGCTGACTGTGGGGAGGAACTGGAGCCATATAAGTTTTCTATTTCTTGGCTGGGGGGTAAGTTATATGGGTAAATATGGTTGTCAAAACTCATTAAATATGACGCATAGTCAAGAAAAAAGCAGCCAATAGAAACAGACCATGAGATGGTCCAGACAGTAGATTTAGCAGATAAAGACTTTAAAGCAGCTTTTAAATACAGGTCCAAGGATGTAAAGAAGAATATAGTCTTAACAAACGTACACATAGGGAATATCAGCAGAGAAGTTAAAATGATTTTAAAAAGAAGCAAATGGAAATTCTATAACTAAAAAGAATAAAAACCAAAATAAAAAAATTCCCTGGATGTGCTTAACAGAAGACTGCAAATGGCAGAAAAAAGACCCAACCAGAAGAAACAAGAATAATATAAAAAGATGAAAAATAAAAATTAATAGATAGAGCTTCTGTGACCTTTAGAGGAATATTAAGCAATCTCACATATCTGGAATTAGATTCTCAGGAAGTATAAAGGGAGAAAAGGACAGGGAAAAAATTTAATGAACTAATAACTGAACATTTCCCAAATTTGTTTAAAAATCTCAACTTACAGACCCAAGAACAATGGTGAAACCCAAGCAAGATAAACACTAAGAAAACTATACCTAAGTACATCATCATTTAACTATAAAAAATTTTAAAAAAGGAAAAATTTTGAAAGCAAATCAAGTCAACAAAGACACATTCCATGTGGGGAAGTGACACGAATGAAGGCTACATCCTCCTCAGAAAAGAGTGAGTCTGAAAGACAGTGTACCATCTTTGAAGTGCTGAAAGAAACTATCAATCAAAACTCTCCATCTAGTGAAAACACCCTTTAAAAAAAAGGGAGAAATAAAGAGGGCAACTCTCAAAACGGGAGAGCATTCTTCTCGAGGAGAAAAGCACAATAAGAAATAATATAGGATATTCTTTGGGCTAAAGAAAAACAATATTGGATGAATATCAGATCTTCTGGAAGGGTTGAAGAGTGCCAGAAACAATAAATATGAAGAAAAATATAAAAGATTATCTATAGTCTCTTAATTTCCTTGAAAGACAAATGGCTGTTTTAAACAAAAAGAATAACATTGTAAAATGGGGTCATAACATCTGTAAAAGTAAAAGATATATGGGCCAGCCTGGTGGCGCAACAGCTAAGTGCGCACATTCCACTTCGGCGGCCTGGGGTTCACCGGTTCGGATCCCAGGTGCGGACATGGCGCTGCTTGGCAAGCCACGCTGTGGCAGGCGTCCCACATATAAAGTAGAGGAAGATGGGCACGGATGTTAGCTCAGGGCCAGTCTTCCTCAGCAAAAAGAGGATTGGCAGCAGATATTAGCTCAGGGCTAATCTTCCTCAAAAACAAAAAAAGTAAAAAGTAAAAAAAAAGATACAATGACAACAATACAAAATAAGGGCGAGGGTGGGGGAGACAGGTAAATGGAATTACACTGTTGCTAGGTTCTTATAACGTATGCATGGAAAGTGATATATTAATTCTAAGTAGACTATGATAAGTTAAGGATACATACTAGAATCCTTAAGCAAAGACTTTAATAAACAAATAAATACAGGTATACCGAAAAGCCAAAAGAGAAAATAAAACCAAATGCTAAAAAATATTTTTCAATTAACCCAAAAGAAGGTAAAAAAGAAGTTACGGTGAAAAAAAATAAGAAAGCCAAACAGAAACCAATAGCAACAGAGCAGACATCACAACATTAGATGTAAAAGAACTAAACATGCCAATTAAAAGGCAGAAACTGTCAGACTAGAGTGAAAAAAAAAAGCTAGACCTAACCATATGCTGTCTACCTACAAGACAATCACTTTTAATTTAAAGACAAATATAGGCTAAAATTTAAAAGACTGAGAAAAAGATACCCCAAGCAAACAATAAGCAAAAGAAAGTTGATGCAGCTATATTAATACCAAGCAAGACAGATTTGAAACTAAGAGCATTACCAAAGTCATAAAGGGACATTTCTTACGGAGAAATATCACTTCATCAGGAAAACAGGACAATCCTAAATGTGTATATACCTAGTAACAGTCTTAAATGAACGACATAAAAACTGATATAACTAAAGAGAAAATAGGCGATTTTCACAATCGTATTTGGAGATCCAATGCCCTCTCTCAGTGATTGACAGAACAAATGGAAAAAACACAAAAAGCAAGGATACAGAAGATTTGAACAAGGGTATCAACCACCTGACTTAACTGATACATACAGAACTGTATGCCCCAAACAGAAGAGACCTTCTTTTCAAGTGCACATAGAATGTTCACCAAGATAGAATATAGTCTCAAAAAGTTTCAAAAGATTGAAATGTTAAAGTCTGTTCTCTGATCATAATGAAATTAACAAATCAGTAATAAGAAGATTCCCCCAAATATATGAAAATGAATTAACATGCTACCCAAAAACCCATGAGTCAAAGAAGAAATCAGAGAGAAATCAGAAAATATTGTGAATAGAATGATAATGAAAGCACAACAGGTCAAAATCTGTGAAATGCAGAAAGAAATAACAGAAATCAATGAAACAGAAAAAAAAAACAAATGTTGGTTCTGTGGGAAGACTAAGAAAACTGATAAAGCTGTCTCAAAAGTAATCAAGAAAAACAGAAAGAAAACAAAAATTAGCTACATCAGAATAGAAAGAAAGAATATCACAACAGATCCTATAAACATTAAAAGGGCAATAAGGAAACATTGTAACATGATGAAAATTAACAATTTAGATGAAATAGAAAATTTTCTGAAAAACATAACCTATGAAAACTGACTCATAAGGAAATAAAAAAAAGTGAAATAATCCTATATTAAAGAAATTGAAGTCACAATTCAAAATCTTCCCATAGAGACAATTCCAGGCCCAGATAGTGTCACTGGTGAATCCTGTAAAATATTTATGGAAGAAGTAATACCATGCTTACGTAAACTGTTTCAGAAAAAAAAAAACGATGAGGAAATACGTCCCAAGTCATTTTATGAGGCCAAGAAAATCATGATACCAAAACCCAACAAAGACATCATGATGAGAAAAGTACAGATTATTCATCGCAAGAACACAGACACAAAAATCCTTACCAAAATAACAGCAAATGTAAACAAGCAAAGATAAAGGATAACACGCCATGAGCAAGTGGTATTTATCACAGGAATGCAAGATAAATTTAACATTCAAACACCAGTGTTACTCAACGTGTTAAGACAAGAAAGAGAAAGACTCAGGTGGGCATTAACTAGTAGGATAGTGATTACCTGGTAGGAAATTCTGATTTCAACTATTTCTGGAAGATGCTGAAATTTCATGACAGTGATTGACGAATGAAGGTATAACTTACCTGGGTCAGGAGAATGGTTATTTTGGGGAGAAACAGGGAGCGATGGGGCAACTGGAGCTACTCCTCTGGAAACTGCAGCTTGTGATACATCCTGTTGACTTTCCCACCGGCCCTATTACAGACAAAATCAGTAACTTCGATTCACATCAATCAACAAAAAAATCTAAACATACTTAAGAAAAAACTGTTAATACATTCCTAAAGCTTTATTACCTTTATAGGACATGGTAAATTTGATTACTTAAGTAATTTTCCTCTTGTACTTTCCATCTTCTTTATAGTATTAATTTCCCTAATAATAATAATACCTCACATTTGGCTATCCCCTCCAGTTTAGAAGTTACAGTCACCTCACTTCCATCCTAACATTCTTTTTACTATACATCATGTTGCTTCCCACAAAATTTGGATATATTAAGACATTTCTTTTGAAATCCTCCCCTACACTCTGCTTCTTGGGCTGTTTCTGCTTTTCTGCCGCAAGATGTACTTTTTCACTTCATATTCTCAACTGAAACCCAGGAACAACTCTAACATCATCGAGCGTCTCTTCTCTCCTCTCCAGGAGTGCATCTTTCCATCCATTCACACATTCTCATGAAAGTAAAAATTCTAGAACGGTAAATTACCAAGTCTCTCATTTTTAATAGAGGCTAAAGATAAGTTCCAGTTAAGCCCAAATCATCAAGTAATCACAAGTTCCCAATAATGGAAGTCTCTAAATGAACAAGTCTTACTGTACTCTCAACTTATTTTGTAAATTCCCATTAAAAAGATTTCATTGGATAATACAAGAACAATGCCAGTCAGCTGATAGATTGAATTGCCATTCTAAAGCTTGTGGCGAGGCATAAATATGGTGACAACATCAAGGCACTTTCAACATCAGTCCCATCTAAGAAAGAAATAAACCCCACAAAATGTTACAAGTACAAAAACCGATAATGGAGATGAGATGCAAATTTTTTAAATGCTTTTAGCTCCCTTTCGATCCTCTGATAATCACTCTGACTTCTTTTTCACTAGAGTTAAATAATGGTATTTTATACTAGTTTAAGCCAGTGTTCCACGGACGAGCAACCCGAACAATTAACTTGAGTTTTCATTAAGCGCCTGCAAAGCGAGTCCTTCACTGCTCCTGCGGATGGACTGAGGAGGGAAGGCCTCCTAGGTTTCAGATACGTATTGGAAACATATCTGCTTTTAGCAGCAACCTAAGTACTGATCATAAAATCAATAAGCCCTAAGTGATCTGGATCCTGTTCACCTTAGAGAACATTGCTTTTCCCTAGGAACTCTCCCAGCACTTGATGTTTAAAACAATACTATGATGTTTAGCATTAGGAAGCGAGGAAACAAAACAGACATGAAGAGATGATGAGGGAAACCATGCACTCTGAAATACTTCACCGTAGGAGCATTTGTGTTACTATGAATCACACGCTGATTGACATACTTTAAAGTTTCGTTAATGTTTTTTGCATTACATGTAATTGTCTGTCTGGGAAGCTGCAGCGTTGTGTACTCTGAGACGTCACAATCAGGTGGCCGAACACAAAGGTCAACACTCTTCGGAGCCTCTCAGAGGAAGAAAAGCCTCGTGCTTGGTTCACCAAGTTAAGCTCATGCAAGCTTGTTTTGAAGACAACTCCCCTAACTTGAGGTAAATCTATTTTCACGTTTTAGATTTTTCTTCATTGTTTGGCAGCTGACACAGTGGCACTACGTCCCTTAGGAAAACTAAGTAGCCAATTTGGAGTCAGCTTGGCTGTTTGGTGTATAATGGTCCAATGACAAATAATCTAGATGTCACATCTTCCCCAAGGCACAGTTGGGGCTCCGCTAGTTTCCCAGAGAATTTTTCCCAGCTGGTACTCACACACACAATGTTACTACCAAACCAGAATGGAAGCAATAACTGTTACTGTCTCGTATATTCAAATATCTCACGTGGGAACATCTGAAAGGACAAAAGTTCTTACATACCACCTTAGCCGTACTGCTAGCCCTATCAGATAATAAAAAATGGAGACATACTGACTTCATCCATCTACCTCGAGCACCATGTTAACCTTGAGGAATCTCATACGCGAACTGTTCCCAGGTCTCACCAACCAGAGACAGTATCTCAAATCGCTCTGGGATAGAATGGGCTCTGCTTCAGAGGGAACAACAAATTTGGATGTTAAACTGGGTGCAACACTCCTCCTCCTCTTTCTGACACCCACAGATCTCTGGGAAACACTCCACTGAAATCACTCACTACATTCTTTTCTCCTGCAATACATGTCCATTCTCTCTTGCCAGAAACAAAACCTGTGGTTCGGGGTCTAGCTACACACTGCCCCGCAGGGACAAGGTAATTAGTGTCTTTCTAATAAATTTTATATGCTTGACTCGGCTCTTCCAGAGTTATTCTCCCTCTACTGAAATTTTGGGGAAGAAACACAGGATGCATCCCAGGTAAAAGTACCTCAGAGGGAGATGAATTCAGGACAAGGAAGAAAAACAACTTGGCCAGACTCTGGATCTTTCTGGTCTCTTAGGAGCTCAGTTCTCAAAGTGAAAGAGCATGCTTTTTTAAAAAACTTTTACCACAGTAATCCCCACCACCTGGAATCTAAAAAGATCAGTGTGTAATCTGTTTCTAACACTCTGCATTGTCTATCAAACTTCAGCATCAGCCAAGAGGAGGAGACACAAGAGAGAAAGCTCCGGCTTCATTTTGGATCCCTAAACTAGCTTCATACTTATTAGGGGCTATTTGTGCTAAGAGACTGAATTCAAAGAAATAAAATCCTATCTGAGATACCAATTACTCTTAGTGAGCACCGGGCTTCGAGGCAAAACGGAACAGAGAAAAACACAGGAAGCTCTGGGTTGCCCTGACAACGTGGTTTGGTTCCTCTCGTGCACCTTCAGTATTCCTGTTACAGCTCTTCTGCCAGACACAAATTCTTTGGGTTTTCCAAAAAGAGGTCTGTTTTTGATCAGGAAAGTGACAAAGAGGTAAACAAAGAGAAGTGCCAGTGACATTCCAGGTCCAAAGATGGCTCCTAATGCAACTAAAGAAGAAGTGACTCATATCTGGCACCAGCCTGCACCAGTGCCACACTCAACAACTGCAGTGTTCAGGAAAGTGATGTAGCCAAAACACACAATTCAGTTTTGTTAAGTGAATATTCATTTAGGCTTTTTGTTACTTTTAATTACATCAAAAACTCCTATCAGAAGATGACAAACATACTATCTTACCAACTTATTAAAAAATATAATTCTATATAAAAGGCTTTAGAAATACCCAATATTTTTATGTTGACAGTGTTCCTTGCATTGCAAAAGATCTCAATGCACAGCCAATTTTCAAATGGAAAAACACAATCTACTGAAATTAATTCTGCACCTAAATATGAATCCATCTTCATAAACTGGTCATAAAAAGTTTGCTACATTTTCATTGTGTCTATAAAAAAATTTCCTTACAATAATGATAAAATATCCAGTAACAGTAAATAGCAACATCACTGCGATTAGGGATATTTTATATTTTTAATTGAAAAGCTTATCAAGAGTGACTTCTTTTAGGCCCTAAGATGAATTTAAAAGTTGGGAGTAATTAATCAAATTCAATTTATCTTTTTAAGATTAATTAATTCATCAATTCAATCTTGGTGGAGCTCAGCAAAACGATTCCAACTTTAATATGTAGCGAGCATCAATAAATAAGAGCATGCAAAATATGGCTGGCCGAATTCCAGGTGTTACAGGCCAAACTGTGAGACTGTTTCAGGGCCTTACCACTTCCCCTCCCCTCCCCGAGAGCCCTAACCCTATCAAACTCTCTGGTCCTGCCTCCCTGCCACACCTTTTAGTGTCACGTTGCTCCCAACTGACTAATCTTTGCCACGATATTAACTAAAAATTAGGAGGGAAAGGGAGACTCGAATCTACTCTGTGGCCTCTCGCTGCTTCTAAACATTGTTTCAACTAAGCGGATTGCTCCACTATTACACAGGGGAGGCACAGCACGTCACATGCTGATTGTGCAATCCAGCTCAGAGGGGCAGACGCACAGATTAACGGAACAGAGAACCCAGAAATAGGCCCACACAAGTGTGCAAGGTAGATGGAACTAATGTAACTGTAATTTTCAATTATTTTAAAACACATTTTATAGCATTTTAAGCATCATCAAATCCAGGTTAAAATTATATTTCTGACTTGACTTTCTTGTATATTAAATACTTTCATGTAAAAAACTAAGATTGTCCTGCTGAGTTCTGTGGTGTCAAGGGAGTGCCAAAGCACTTCTGCTGTTTTCTTTGCTCCTCTCCTTTCCCAGGCTTGAGAAAAGAACCTTACAGGTTCTCAAACACTTATCTGTATTACTCGCTTAATACGAATTAATTCCTTGCATTCCAGAGCCTTCTAAATTCACTAAGATGCGTTAATTCCCGGTCTCTTTTGACAGATACTTTTACAGTCTTTCCAGGTACATTTGAAAGGAATGATATACTGACTACCGGTGTTATTTTTACAAAAGGGTAAGAGCCAAAAAGTTAGTACAGTGTCAAATTTAGTCATCTTATAAAAACTACGTTTAAAAAGGCATCTTATCTCAAGGTAAAAGCAAGCATGATAAGTTTTAGATAGTAGGATAGTACTTGTATCCCACTCATTAGGAAAACCTAATGGATTAATTACCTCTCCCTGGGTCTCTGAAAACTGAAGAATGCAGGAAGTCTCCAAAAGAAAAGAAAAAAATAACATGAGTCTTTCTGATTTCCAAAACAATTTCTTCAGTAATTTCTCCTTAAGGACTTTGTGTGCAAACTGTTACAGATAAAGCAACTGGAGACCTTCTCAAACTGCTACATACAAGAGAACAAAAACTTCTAGCTACTTAGAAAAACAAAGAACAAAATTTTTAAATTTTAATTTATTTAATTTTTTAAATAGGTAATTTATTCACAGGATCCAAAACCCAAATAGTATAAAAAGGCACACAACACAGTGAGACGTTTCCTACCACTACCTCTCCCTGCTCAGCTCCCCACACACTCCCACCATCTCACCAGGCAGATAAGTAATGGCATCAGCTTCTCATATATCCTTACAGGGTTTCTTATGCATGTGTAAGCAAACCTATAAAGAGCCACACCCGCTTCTCTCTTCTCCCCTCCTTTTATAGTACAAAAGGTAGCACACAGTTCTGCATTTCCTTTTTTTTCTTTTTTGCACTGAGGAAGATTAGCCCTGAGCTAACATCTGTGCCAATCTTCCTCCACTTTATATTTGGGTTGCTGGCACAGCATGGCTGACAAATGGTGTAGGTCCATGCCTGGGATCTGAACCCATGAACCCAGGCCACCAAGTGGAGTGCATCAAATTTAACCAATACACCATGGGGCCAGGCCCTGCACTTCATTTTTAATCACTAAGTATATCCTGGTGATCTTTCCATATTAGTACCAGGAAGGGTTCCCATTACTTTTAAAGCTGCACAGTATCCCATTTATTTGGTATGTGTGCGCACACGTGTGTGGTAAATGTTCTTAACCAGACCAAACCAACAGACATTTAGTTTGTTTCCAATCTCCTGCCATTATAAACAGTGTCCCAGTGGGCATCCTAGTACACATGTCAGTTCACACGTACATAAGCAGTGCCACTGTGTAAAGGGGGTTAATAGGATTTGGATAATTAGTATGTTAATTAGTTTAAACACTACCCAATCCTGAGGAATTCTATTACAGGGAGCGCTAATAACACATTTTAAATTCAAGGCAATACCATATTTGAATGTTTTTCACTGTTTCATTTAAAAGGTCACAGGGAGAACCTCTGTTCCTTGCTGCTATTGGTGGTGGTGGGGGGGGGGGTTCTTCCATTACTAAGAAAATATAATTTTAAGAATGTTTATTTTCCCTAAAAATCTTTTAGGATGCTCTGCTTTGGATGATACAACTACTGAGGGGACCCTTTTCTGAAAACGGAGGAGCCGCTCTGTACTCCCTACTAATGTGAGCCTGGACTCAAATCCTCTTTGCACAGTATTCTTTTTGCTTTGTTTTTTAGCATCACAGTTATAATCTTCCATTACCTGAATTTCCTTACTCATTAAACAGGTCCATCCATAAAAATCTGTCTTAGAACAGTTTTCCTCTACCTTTCTTCTAAAGAAAAGCAAAAGGTCTCTAATATTGATATGTGGACATTCATTTAACACACTGATCGGGACACAAGCAAGAAGTCAAGTGACGCCCACAGTGATGGTGACGAGACGTTGACTAAAGCCCAGCTATACCTGGTGACCTTTCAGGGCCCACGGGTGTCAAGAGTTCATAAGAAGATAAAATGACAGGTCCATGGCTGAATGGGGAGCAAAGTTAGTAATGGCAGGCTGGCACCTTCTGTTTTCCCCTACAAAACTTCCACTGTTTGTTGGGGGGTGGGGACTGATGTGGTTGGGGAGGGGCGTGGGAAGACAAATTTTGAGGAAGATTGCAAACTGCTGCAATGGGAGAAAAGGGTATTTAACTTTTCTGAGGTATATGACAGCAACTCAAAATACACACAGAAACAAAGTGGAGAGACCCACATCCTTGTTGCTGTGATGGCCCCATGACATCAGTAAAATCTGAGAGGGTGGAAATCAGACTTTCCTCATCTTTGCTAAGATACCCAGGGACCCCAAGAAATCAAGATGACTAAAAAAGGGGAGGTTCTGGCAGAGTAGCAAAAATGCATAATGTTTTATTTATTTATTTAATATGACATATCCTGCTAACTTCTCCCCAAGCCTCCAGTGAAATTGCCCTGGGAAAGGTCTTCAATAAGCTCTTTACTGTCACATCCAAAATAGCCCTCATCTTTCAGTCTCTGAAGCATCTGGAAGGAGTCCTTCTTCAAACACCTTTCTCTCCCAGTTTCCAAGCTACTCCCCCTCCCAGGTCTTCTCTCCTTTCTGAGGACGCCTTCTCAGTCACTTTGGCCAGCTTCTCCTTCCGCACTTGCCCCAAAGTATTATCATCATGCCCTCACAGCTTTGCCTTCGTGATCCAATCCCTCACACTGTTTGAACTATGCTCTGAGCTCCCAAATCTGTCTTCAGCCCAGGCTTCCAGATTCTTGAACTGGCACAGATATCTTATGTCAAAAACCAAACCAAGTCATTTTCTTGCAGAGACCTGCCCTCCTACAGTTCACCTCTCTATAAAGTCATCCAGAAACCCTAATGTCACCCTAGTCTCCTCCGGCTCAACCTCAGTCTTCACGTCCACAGAGTTCTAGATATTCTATGTCCTTAATATATCTTCAATCTCTTCCTCCCCCTCCCCACTGCTGAATCTTCTTACCTACCTGATCTCTCTATCCTCTGATTAAAAGTTTTTTCACACTTTTATAATGATAACTGTATACATTTGTACTGTATACATTGATCTAATGTAATTTTACAGACCACAGCCAGGAACACACGCGGGGTTTAGATGGACTGTAAAGAAACTTTCTAACTCGAATTTAACCGTCTTACTGCCCTGTTACTCCTTCGGTGATACCCAACTCTCCCATTACTCTTTGGGTCATAACAACAGAACTTCTAAAATAAGGCCCCATTTTCTGGGTCCTATCCCACAATACGCCCTCCACCTTACTCACGCTGCATGTACTGTCATGAACACAGCAAGTTTTTTCACCCCTCCACGCTTTTGCTCATGCTGTGGCTTCACCTCCTTCCCTGCCTTGAGTGGACATATCGTCTTTCAGCATGAAGCATATGGTAGGTTATCGCCTCTCTGCAGCCTCTCTTGATCCCTGGACAATGCCTCTGAAAGTGCCCAGTCCCTCCTTAGGGCTCCTGCTCTACCAGTCACACTTCTATTAGAGCACCCATGTTCCTTGATTCTACTTATTTTCTGTAGGTGAAGCACAATCATTTTCTTTCAAGTAGAAACTATTATTTTCTATGTTTTCTCCATTTAAACATAAGGAAACAGGAGGGAGATAGAAAAGCTGAAGAAATTTTGGCCACTTCCTTCAAGGAACTTACAATCTAATTGAGAATTTGGGTTAGACGTATTTCCAAAAAAACACAAAGTCATGATTTTTTAAATTAATATATTCTCCTTAAAATATTTCATTTATTTACATTTAAAAATAATGACACAATCAATTTTCAAAAAATTCTGCTTCGTTCAGGTAATCACAACCTATGCTATGCTTATCAAGAGCTACTCAAACCTATCATGGGGCCAGTGCAAAGCCTTAGCCCACTTGCAGAGACATGGTAGGCGATCAGTAAATCGATGCGCTGGAAAGCAATTTACAAGTCTATAGACATTGATCGGCAGGTAGATAGACAGATACAGATAAATAGCTACATCTCTCATCTTTAAGATCTAGGTTACTAATAGTTTGCCTGAAATAATACAGATATTTATACATACATGTATACACATACATACATATATGCATATACATACATATATATATCTCTGTATTATTTCAGGCAAACTACTAATAACCTGATCTTAAAAGTGAGTCTAATTATTCATCAACTTCACTGTTCTTTTTCTTAAATATTTATAAGGAAAATTTCAAACATATGCAAAAATAGAGTATAGAATACTTAACAATAAAGAGTAGTATAATGAATCCCACTCAGCTTTAATAATTATCATTAAGTAGCCAATCTTCTTTTATCTGTACCCCTAACTCCTCCCCCTGGATTATTTTGAAACAACTCCCCGATAGCAGACCATTTTACATGACACCATTCACTTTTAACCTCCTCAAGGGTTAGGATAGCAATATACACACCATGTTGCCCACAGCTGACAGGACCAACCTCTGACCAGGTTTCTCAAAAAACATCAGGCACAAAACTTTGATATGTGACATCTAGTTACAACAGTTTTGAGCACGATCCCTTTAAGTAAATAGTAATGAATTATCTATGCTTAAAACATTGTTACATTGGCGAAATCAATATTAACAAGTAAATAAATTCCAGCTAACAAAACTTCTGTTCCCTTATTTTTCTTTCTTTTAACAAATGATATTAACTTCTTATTCCTCATACATTTCAATCATTATGTCAATATTTTACCATTAAAAATCTGATTCAAAGTTCCTTTTCTGACACAAACAGGAAGAATGTTTTAAACAGAAAAATGAACTTTAGCAACAAAATTGGTTTTTAATCCCTACAAAGTAGAGTAATAAGCAGTTCTAGTAAATCTTCTTCTAACTGGAAAGAAACAAACTCCAAACACTTTCCAATAAATTTCCCATGGCACAGCAGAGGAGGAGAAGTTCTGGCATGCCAAACCAGCATGCGATATCTGAGCGGAGGAAAGCTGAACGGGAAATGGGTCTGAGACTGACAGAAGATACTTACGAACACTTACCTTGTTGCTGCCTAGACTGTAGGATGGAATAAGATCTTGTCGGCTACTGGACAACTGAAGAAGAAATAAAGAGGGGGATTAGTCCTTTGTGCGTGAAAGGACATAAATCTATGGTCCTGAAAACACAGGACTTTGGAAACCAAATCAACAGAATGTTTAAGTTGAATGGTAGCAGAGAGGTTGTCAAGATCAAAGTTGCAAACTAGACTTAGTGGCCTTTGGGATGCTGTTAGGCACTTTTTTTTTTTTTTTGAGGAAGATTAGCCCTCAGCTAACATCTGCTGCCAATCCTCCTCTTTTGGCTGAGGAAGACTGGCCCTGAGCTAACATCCGTGCCCATCTCCCTCTACTTTATATGTGGGATGCCTGCCACAGATGGCTTGATAAGCGGTGCGTACGTCTGCGCCTGGGATCAAACTGGCGAACCCCTGGTCCCCGAAGCGGAGTGTGCAAACTTAACCACTGCACCACTGGGCCAGCCCCGGCACAATTATTTTTTTTAAAAATCTAATTGGTTATCCACAATTTTAAGATAGGAGGTCTATAAAGATCAGATCCAGTTTACACTGAGGCAACCGGCAGGGCCTGAGACAGAGCTGTTTCATTTGTTTCTCTCTTCTATTTACAGGACACCAGCTCACTGCTATCTTACAGAGTCCGGATCTTAGGACTCCTTTCTCTGGGTATTCATAGCAAATGTATACACACAACCTATTTTTAACCATAGGATTCCAAATACCAAATCTCTGCATAAATCAGTACATTTTAATACATCATCTTCTAAAGGAATGAGAAGATATTTACCTTGAATTGCAGTGATATTTCTTAATGTCTGAGAATGTTCCCAGTCTTTCAGTCTCAGATCAACTGTGATGTCATCCAGTCTCTCAGGGGCCACGTGTCCCCTGCAGTTTATGTCCTTCCTACCTCTCACTGCCGTCTCTCACACACTAAGGCTAAGGGCCAGCTGCTCTTTATTACAATGCTTGTACCATGGTTTTTCTTGGTGTAAAGTTCAGACAAAGGTGTAATATTTCTCATATCCACATCTCTAACAAAGTAAGTAAGGAGAGAGAAATCGCAGGGCAAATAGCATATTTCTTTTTGAAGAATTACCTGTATGCTTAATACGTACATAAATTATATCTATGTTTTAAAAAATAACAACAATAAACTTAAGACACTGTTAGGAAACAAACCTATTCTACTCATTTATACGACCCTGGATGGCCTGTAAGCAACTGAGTTTGTAAACATAATCCAGACTTCTCAACTTAAAAGTAATTCAGTTAAGCCCAGAAAATTCAAATGGCCTGCTCTAGGCCCTTGGCTAGTTTTGCTTTAGTTCAACACTCACTGAGCCCCTGCAGTCTCTGTGCTGGACACTGCTGATAGAAAGACAAATGAGAACACGAGAGAGGTATCTGAGTGGACACTTCCCCTGTAACATTAGTAAGGACAGCGACAGAGGTACTGGGTGGAGAATGGGGGCACTTAAATCAGTTCAGAGAGGGAAATGATACCCGAGATGAGATTTAAAGGGTGCAAAAGGATTATCCAAGGAGAGAGGAGGAGGAGAGAGATGCCCGGCAGAGCACAGCAGGGGGCCCCATGGACTCACTCTGTTCACGTTAGGAGAGCTAATGCTCCTCCTATTCAGCTTCCCTTTTCCCGTCAGCTGTTCCTTCACTGCAACTTCCTGCAGTCAGAAGATACGCACAGGAAAAATACACATTAGAGACACCCCCCCAAAGCATACTGTCTGAAGCAGGCTTTGAGAGCTACCGTCCACACACAGACATTCGTAGTTCTTTAAATAATAGCTGCTACTTCATAGGACAGAATGACCCAGTTGCAGTCACTGTGGAATACTCGAAGTTGATTACACAGCTGACAGGTCACCTGCAGCATTCTTTCCTTTATCTACTGATGGCCCCCCTGGCTGGCTGGAAGGTAGTCCCCAGAGAAAGACACTGAAAATTAGACCTTTCACTTTTATTTTTTATTAGTGTCTTTGGTTAAAAAAAAAGTCTCAATATTGCTAAGTAAAGTGAGGTTTAGGTTTCTCTAAGGACTAGGTTTACTGCTGGCATTTTCATTATCCCTTCTAGAGATCCACTCTAAGCGCTAGCAGACATGTCCAGCAAAGTAAAGAAGGGCCCATTCTGCCTCATGACCATCTATTTCTTCAGCGAGAGTATTACCCAGTTTCAAGAAATTTTTAAATAATTCTTTAACCAGCAAGAGTTAAATATTTTCTTCCACTACCTCAAGGCAACCAGACACCACTTAAGTGTCTTGGAAAAAGTAACCTTCCCAACGTAGCTTCCGCATCTTCCAAGACTTAAGCGGCAAGACTAATCTAAGCTAACACGCTCCAGTTAAACAGATGGTTCAAAAGTTCAGACGGAACAACACTGTGAATTGCAGACAGTCACACCCAGAAGCAGGCTGGGTGAGCACCGCTGTGTCCAGCTCTGAGGGCTGACCTGGCGAAGACGATCCAGAGTGAGGAGATTCTCCACAGCCAGCACGCTTCGGAGGTATTTTTCAATATAAGCCTCTGAGTCAGCAGAAGCCGTGTTTTCAACATTAGCTGCCATTCTTGCTAATGTTTCTCGCTCCTCTACTCCCTGGGCATCCTGGAGAATGAAAAGTTGTACATTAAAATTAAGTACATTGCAGAGGAAAACATTATAAAAGCTTCTTGATCTATACAAAGACACACACACAGTGTACTGAACTAACAAACGGGATGTATTACAAAATCCCATTTTAAAATCAGCATTTGGAACTCAAATGCATTTTTCCACAGAAATCATGGTATAAATGGTGGTTAGGTTAACTTGAAAGGCTAGTTAAACACAGCATAGCTGAAACACAGCACATTCTCAACAAAACTGTCTCTACTCTATTTCCATTGCAAACAAAAACATTACCTGTTAGAAAAGATTTGGTGGGGTAACTGAACCCATAACAGTTCTTCAGGAACCTATCTTGAAGGCCAGAGAGAGGAATGAGTGGCCTGAGCGACAGCCAGATAAGGGGATATGGGTGGAATTCTAACAACCCCAGTAGGAGGCAGACGCAGGTACAGAGAGTAAGAGGGGAAAGAAGTGCTCGCTCGCTTTCAACCTTTTTGCTGAGAAGCCTAGCACAGGCTACATATTCAAACTGTGGCAGCTTCTAAACTGGTCTCAATCCTCAACTCTGGAGCGGCAGAAGCCAAAGGCTCAGAGCCACCCAAGAAGAGAAGTAGCTAGGCAAGGCCGCACTCACAGTGCTGTCCCTTGGAGCCCACGACTGCTCCCCTGCCATGGGCTGGCCATGCACATAAATGGGAGAGTCACAAGTCAGGGTGGAACTCTGTGAATGTATTTTAATTATTTCAAGCAAACTTGGTTCATAACAAATTACTCTTCTCAGGGAAAACCAGATACTTTAGTTACTTGTGCATTTGTCATAATAATGTCAAAAACTACAAAACATATATCCATATGCCACTGAACCTTAAAAGGCCATCAATTTCAAGAAGAAACATTATTTTACATACCACTAAGGAGAAAAAAAACTCTGCCAATTAATTTTAAGATATCGTCAATTATAAGACACATTCTCACTTCAAAAGTATTTTTAAAAATTTAAATTTAATTTTAAATTAAATTTAAAATTAAATTTAAAGGGAAAACTTGCGTTTTAAAGAAATGTATATACCCATGTTACCCACATCCCTATCAAGATATAAAACTTAGACAGTTCACTTATGGCCTTCACAGTAACCCTACTCCTCCCCCAGGGCAAGATAACTTCCTTCGCCATAGATTAGTTTCACCTGTTTCAGAATTGTGCACAAACAGAATCATACTCTTTTGTGTCCAGCTTCTTTCGCTCACCATAACAATTTTGAGATTCAGTCAGAGAGTTCACTTCATTGTACAGCTGAGGGATACTCCACAGTATGGATATACTACAATCTGTTTATCCATTCACCCACTGATGGATGTTTGGGATGTTTCCAGTTTGGGGTTATTTTAAATTAAACTGCTACGAATATTCTTATGCAAGTTTTTAAGGACATACACTTTTATTTCTCTTGGGTAAGCACCAGAAAGTGGAATTACTGGGCCATGGGGTAGGTGTATTTTTAACTTTATAATCAACTGCCAAATAGTTTTCTAAAGTGACTGTATCATTCTATACTCCCACTAGCAATGAAAGCGTTCTAGTTGTTAAAAAAAGAAAGAAAAGGAAAGAACAGCCAAAACTGTCTCTTGTTGCTCTCTGGCCCACGACCGCTGACTTCTTTTGCCACCAAGCCCTCACAGCTTCTGTAGTCCGGAACACAAAGAACTTTTGGGGGCTTTTCATGATGAAACCTAGCTCCTTAAGGGATCTTTTAATTTTGTTTTTAAATAAAAAATAAAGTGTACTCCTTACACTATAAACTTTAAGCCTCACTTTTCCTTTTTCTTCATCATCAGGATTTGATAATGTGAAACTAACACTTGCTAACTTAGACGTTTAGCTAATTATTAACAGGTCGCTCAGTCACATGAGGCTACACGTTTATCTTTCAGCTGATTCCCCCACATTTCTTCCCTTTGAAAACCAAATGACCTGAAGAATAAAAGCACTTTTAAAGAGGATAAGAAAACTCCAAATGGGAGGGGAGGAGAGGAGGGAAGATGAAAAGACAAAAGGAAAAACTGGATAGTTCACAATAGCTGTCATTGTGTCTCAACTGCATTCAAACCATTTATAGAGTTAAGATCTGAAACAACTAGAAAAACACATAAAACATTCAGATACAGAGAATAAACTAAGTCTCTAGCTAAACATGCAAGTACATATATGAAGAGTAATTTATTACAGACCCTAGATTTTACAGCTAGTCTAACTCTGAAAACAGGCATAATTTTTCAATGTTCAGCAGGTTCCAAATTAAATAAACAGTTAATATTTACTATGTAAGTCTAACACTTTGAAGATCCAGGAAAGAACAAATTATTTGACATTATTTGAGAGGAAAAAGTGTTTTACAATACAAGAAATCTAAAACAAGGCCTAAGTACTGTGTAGTCTTTTTACTCTTCTAAAACCTCGTCTCCACATTAAAATATATATCGTCCACCCATTGTTCAAATACTCAACAGAATCACTCAATAAATACTGAGCCCGCAAACGAAGAGAATAATGCTGACGCTGATGGTGTGGTTAGGAGGGAGCAGCCACTCCCAAGGCCCACATTCCCATTCTCCACCCCAGGAAAGCGGTCTGTGCCTCCTCATTCACTCCCCGACTTTGGATGGTGAGTGTGGCAGAAGGAACTGCTCTGCTTTCTTTTTTTCATAGAGTTCTTTTCTTAGAACCCTCACTTCTCCTACCCATGTAAGGAAGGCCTCGCTTACCAGCTGTGCCAATGACCAGGTGACTAAATCTGTCTAAACCGGGGATTAAGTATGAGGAAGCAAACATAAGCTACGTCCTCCAGCAGGCTTCTCTCAGAGGGATTTTAAGCTCCATTTATTTAATTCCTGTGAATATCTCAATTAGTTCAGAAAGAGAAATAATAACTATAACAATAATAGTAATTAAAATTTATTTTTAGCATGGACACAACAATTTGTATATGCTGTCTCATTTAATCCTTAAAAACAACCCTGTACAGGAGGTATCACTAACCCATTTGACAAATGAAAAATTTAAGCTCAAATAACTTACCCAAGTTCACGTCACTAAGAGGTGACAGAAACAAGATTTCTGTTGATTCCAAAATGAAACCCTGAATCTCTGTGTTACGCTATGTTGCCTCCCTTCAAGGATTACAACATTGTTATCTTGTGTCTTCTTCTATGAGTAAAAAGGTGTTGATTTGCTTTTCAAAAGTTCATCTTTAACAAAATACTAAAACCAGAACCTTTAAAAGCACAAGTGCATTTTACTATGAATCAAGTTAAAATTAGGAACGACCTCTACAAACCTACGGCATTTCCCTAAATACACATTTTTATTTAATACGTATTTCTTCGGTAGGGACTTTTCAGGGAGTTGGCTCTTTTTATATGTTTCTTTTTAGTAAATTCAAATTTCATATGATCCTTCTTACCTCTGGAATATTGGAGACAATTTCAAAAGTCACTCCACAACCAGGAATAGAACTTCGATGTGACATCTTTTTTATGAGACTCTGAGCAAAACCCTAGAGAAAAACAAAATAGAAGATATGGTTTCCCACCTCAAAAACTGACAGGTTTTTTGATTGTCTTTTTTGGTGAGAAAGATTTGCCCTGAGATAACATCTATTGCCAATCTTCCTCTTTTTTTGGCTTGAGGAAGATTAGCCCTGAGCTAACAACAACCGTGCCAATCTTCCTCTACTTTGTATGCAGGACGCCTCTACAGCATGGCTGATGAGTGGAGTAGGTCCATGCCCGGGATCCGAACTCATGAACCCAGGCCACTGAAGCGCAGCACAAGGAACTTGAACCACTTGGCCATGGGGCTGGCCCCAAAAACTGAGTTTTCTTTAACAAAGAGACAGCATAAAGCTTGCTGCATTCACTCCAACCAAAAAGAAACAGAGCATATTTCCAATAAAAGCAAGATGAAATCAAAATCACTAAATACAGGTTCCTCAACTTCCTCTTAGTGCACAAAACCAATTAGATACCTGCCATGGGACAGGTCCTATATGCAATATATGAAAAGTACAGACCCTAAACTCTGGAAAGCAACGCTAGGCATCTGGTTCAACTCTGCTTAAAGGCCACAGAAATAAGCCTGTTGACTTCTACACAATAAAATGACCTTCCACTGAAGATGTAAGCAAGGACTGTTGACTCTTACACTTTTTTTTTTTTTTTTTTGCAGCACGATGGACATCTTGCACCATGAATATTGACAAGTTCAGGCATTAAATTCTTGACCAAAGCAGGATCATTATGAAGAATGATTTAAGAGTGCATGGTCATTGTTTATGCTGACTGCGCTCTTTGCACAGTTAAGAATTGAACTGTTGAATTAATGCATAGATGACTCATTTGAAGATGCTGCTAAGACTGAACATCCTGTAGAGGTTGAAGAGAGCAGGGATGAGGGCAGAATGCAATTGGTGAATAAAGATAAGAAGAAGAGAGAACATTAAACTGATGCTGAACCTTTTCCCCCGTGCAAAAGGGAAGTAGGAAATATGTGAAAACTCCCAAAGAAAATAGAAAAATCAAGGTGTTTGGTCTTAGAAGTACATATTCTCACATTCTTACGTACTAATTTCTTTCCTATTCAGTGACCTTTAGCTAATTTTTTAAAAGATTTTACCCTCTTAGAATGCAAAGAAACACATTTCATCCCTTTGCTCTCTCACTGTTAGTCTGGCAAGGTGAGCCACTGCAGTTCTGTCAAAGCACAGCTGCAGGTGGCGGGGGCAGGTCTGGGCGCTGTTCTTATCTTACTTTTTTGTTTTCTTTTTGTATGGAATTATAAAGCTGACATGCATGTATTAGGGTCAGAAGGAAGTCCCTGTTCTTGCTATAAATAAGCAATTTTTAGGAATAAAATATCTGAAAATGGGAGGGAAACTGGCATACCCTACAATACTATCATTTCATTCAGTATCAGTCAGATATTATCAAATCATTTCAACCCAGGGAAAAATGCAGCAACTCCTTGTCCCTATAATAAAAAATAAATTTAACTGCTGCGCCACTGTGCCAGCCCCAAAAAATAAATTTAAAACAAAACCAAAAAAAGAGACAAAAAACAGAAGAAACCTGGTGACCCCACAGTGCACCCCTTCTGTTAAGGACTCTGTGAGGCTGGCAGCTGCGCCAGGTCAGTCTCAGCGCCCGGCAGCCACAATATCTAGTTCTAAAACGGCAGGTAACTCTTCAAAATGCTCCCCAAGAGCAACGTGGCTTTTTCAGTCTCTTAAAGACTTCCGAGAAAAAAGTGAATAGGAGACACACCATCTACATCTATAGCTAACCCGATGACCTGGATTTTATTGATGTTGGATTGCCAAGTTAAAGAGCTGCAATTTTAACAGCATTACCGCCGGTCTTCATTTCAAAGATTGATATCAGTGTGACATTTAGAACTAAAGATTAATTTTTAAGGGTGGAGATTACATCTAGGACTCTGTCAACCATGACTCTGCTCTTTTAAATGAAAAGATTTATTTTCATCTGTCCCGGTTTTAGTCTGCGTATTGAGAAGACCTCACAAAAGTGAGCATGGATTGTTAAAAAGAATCCCTAGAATCAACCTCCTGAATCCTCTGTCCGCAAAGCCTTTAAGAGAAACAGTTCATATTCTTACCCAGAAGTTTTCTACCAAACTCGTCCATATGTCACAAGGTCCTTCAGAATCTAGCTGCAACTATGCTGACAGCGCCGCCTGGGCGTCTGTAGCACACCCTCCACACCATGTTGCTCACGCCCCAAGCCCGCCACGCCCCTTCCTTCCTCACCACCTCTGCACGTGGATTTCCTCCTCCCCACCGAGCAGCCAACTTCTCCTTCTCTGTCAGCCAAACTCCCCATCTACAAAGGAGCTGCTCACATGCCCCCTGCTCTCTGCAGCCTCCCCGGACTTCCTTGGTCTGAATTCTACACTCTCCCGCCTGCAACCTTCCAGCACTTGGTGGACACCTGCATCACAGCACTATCACAATAAGAAGAGATGCCTGTTTAGACATCTACACATGCCAGTGGACACTGGCCCTTCAAGGATGCAGACTATTTCTTATTTTTACCCCAAAGCTTGACAGAGTATACTCTCCAAATATATAAATCAATGAATTAGCAGAGATGACTGAAAGGAAAGAAAGGCATGGAAAGCGAAGGGTAAGCAGCACAAACAACAGCTACGCCGCAGGAAATCTTCTCATCTTGTAGGACCCAGACAAAAAAGCAAAAACAGTGAACTTCACCTTGACAGGGCTCTGTGGCACCCAAAAGAATGGCTGTAATTTGTGAATGTGTAATAAAAAAGATTCAGTGTAAGAATTTAATACTGTCTAGGAGGAAGTCAGGATGACATGTTCTGGGAAGGAAGCAGCCAGTCTGGATAGGAGGGCAGAGCAACCATTCCACGGCCCTGCCCTCGTGCTGGACCTCAAGTTGGTTAAAGTCATTTCTTCAACTAGGATTAATGACTCACCTGCCGGCCGTGAACATTGACACAGATTCGTTTGCGTAAGACCAGCTGCATGTCAGCCGGATGGCTGAGCTGGACCGTCACCCGCACAATGAGAAACACTCGCTCTTCCGCAGGTGTGCCCTTACTGAGCTGAGGACAACTGTGCACTGCAGAGTCCCAAGAGGCTTCTGCTATCACCTGCAGAGAAGACAGAAAGAACATGCTTCCATCACCCCTAAAAGCCAAATCGCTCACAAGGAAACATCCTGGCTTAGGCTGGGAGCCGGACATCCAGTCACGAGTGCTGTTCTACTGGGAGAAGTGCCCTGAAGGACTGTGGAATATGAAGATGTGGCCTCACCCGCCTAGTCCGGGAGTACAGAGCATAATGTTCCTGGCTGGCTGGCTTTAAAATTTTTTTATTTTGAAAAATGCACAAACATAAAGAAAACTTGCAAATTCAGTACAATGAACTCCTGTACATCTTTCATCTAGATTCATCAACTGTTAACATTTTGCCACTTTTCCTTTCTCTTTCTCTTACTCACAACATATACACAGATTTCTTTTTTTTTCTTGCAGAACCGCTTCAGAGTAAGTTACAGACATATAACTCTACATTCCTAAATACTTCAGCAAGTATCTTCTAAGAGCAAGGACATCCTCTGACCTAACCAAAGGACCATTATCATGTTTAGGAAATTTAACATCACCGTAAGACTATTATATAATATAGAGTCCATATTCACATTTTCAATTGTTCCAATCCAGGATCACAATTCACATTTAGTTGTCATGTCCTTTTAGTCTGCTTTAATCTGGAATGGTGCCCCTGCGTTTCTTCATCACTCATGACACCAACTTATTAAAGAAAGTGCAGGCCTGCTGTTTTACAGAATAGACCACAATTGGGTATGTCTGATTGTTTCCCCACTATTAGATTCAAGTTTTACATCCTTTTTTTTTGCCAAGGAAGATTTGCCCTAAGCTAACATCTGTTGTCAATCTTCCTCTTTTTGCTTGAGGAAGATTTGCCTTCAGCTAACATCTGTGCCAATCTTCCTCTATCTTGCATGTATGTTGCTGCCACAGCAAGACCACCAACGAGTGGTGTAGGTCCATGCCTGAGAAGTGAACCCAGGCTGCCCAAGTGGAGCATGCCAAACTCAACCACTAGGCCATGGGGCCAGCTCCCAAGTTTTGCATTTTAGGAATACCATTAAGTGACGATGTGTCCTTCAAAGTACCACATCAGTTTTCCTTCTTTAAAATATTTTACAATTTTTCCAATATTCTCAAAATTAGAAAATAAGCTCCTATTTTATACCCATTTGCTCAGAATCAAACGTTATCAAGTTTGCCACACTGGCTTCATCTATTCTTTTTTTCCCTTTTTAAAAGGTTTTACTAAAGAACTTCAAAGCAAATCCCAAACACTGTATCATTTTACCTCTGTGTACTTCAGTGGCATTTCCCTAGAGAGTGGACCACCGCTGACCTGAACTATGAGTCCCAACAGAGGTCCTTTACCTGGAAACGAAGTAAAACTGCGAATGGACATAATCTGATGGTCCACTTCTTCTGGAAGTGGTTCCATTCTTTCTGGAAGTCCTAATGAAAGGTTTTCATTTATATGTCTTGAGAAATGTAAGCACTGAAATGATTACCTTGCTGATTGTTTCAAAAGGCTTATGGAAAGGTTACCGAAACTACTTTCCATCCAATCTTCCCCCGTTATGCTGTGTTTACCTCTCCATCATGATGTTTTACAATCTGCAGTTCAAAGAACTCGTCCTCTTCTTCCCCAGTAAGGGTAGCGTCCCATCCACCAGCTTCGGGGTCATCAAGATTATCCTGAGAGCTGAAATCATCAGCTAAAAGCAAAGAAGTTCCAATAAATAGGAAGGTCACTTTAAAGTACAACCTCTACCAGCTAAATTTCAATGTACTTAGTATTAAATTCTTCTGCCTCAAATTTCATTTGCTTTTGGCTCTAAAATCTTGCATGACACAGACGATGGCCATTAAACAGTTCACAGACCTTAGAGAAGGAAAGTGCCTCAAGAAATCATCTTATCCAATCTCCTACCTTTATGCCCTTATTTTACACGGAAGGCAACTGAAGCCTAGATACCCAAAAGGTTACTCAAGGTCAGTCCACACATGTTAATGATAAGATTACAATCCAAATTCCCTATCTTTTAGTCCACTAAAGAAACAAGAAGTGAGAGAGATTCCAATTTTCTGACAATTAAGTTCAACAAAAGAACCAACTGGCTGCATGTGCTAGAGTTACCCCATGGCCCTTTGGTTGTTCAGTTGCAAGCCTGGCCCTCCCAACTCCCTATCCATCTAAAGCTAGTAAGTAGGAATCAAAAGTATCTCTTCCAGGGGCTGGCCTGGTGGCGCAGTGGTTAAGTGTGCACGTTCTGTTTCAGCGGCCTGGGGTTCACCGGTTCGGATCCCAGGTGTGGACATAGCACTGCGTGGCAAGCCATGCTGTGGTAGGCGTCCCACATATAAAGTAGAGGAAGATGGGCACAGATGTTAGCCCAGAGCCAGTCTTCCTCAGTACCAAAAAAAAAAAAAAAAGAGGAGGATTGGCAGCAGATGTTAGCTCAGGGCTAATCTTCCTCAAAAAAAAAAAAAGTTTCTCTTCTAGTATGTCGGCTAGGGTGGACTAATAATAGGCTTAAGGCTAAAGAAGGCTCTGATCATGTCTTGGAACATCCGTACTAACAGGTCTTCTTTCAGCTCACTCTCTTCCACTTTCTTACCCTCCTAGACACACACACACACACTCACACAAACACATAAGCACTGCACCTACCTAGCAACCTAAGAATAGAGCAGAGTCACCTTCAGTCTCCAAAGCTCAAGAGAACAACAAGGTAGGACAGAGTACTGTGGCAATGCATTAAAACCCGATCAGGTGGACAGACAGCAGGAGTGGCTAAGAATTCTTCTCTAACTCTGTGTGCATACAAAAATCTTCCAGATGTCTAACTAAGCCAAGTGGCACAAGAAGCTAAATACCTCAGATGTTATAGCTCACTTTTAGCCAGGTGGAAGAAAATCATTGAGGACACGCAAACTTGTCATTTAGGAGAGTTAATTTTAATACAGAGTTCTTCTACAGATGTTTTAGGAATTTAACTGCTGACTTTTAACTTATTTTTAGCTCTTTAATCTACCTTTTCATTTTTATTTTCCCTCCTTAGACAGAGTATATGTAAAACGTAGCCACATCCAAAATATTTTACAGGAGGGGAAAAAAGTCAGGAAAAAGTGACAGTTATTAAAAAAAAAAATAGGCAATGCAGGGATAAATGGCACAAGAACTCACAGAAAAAGTGAGAAATTCATTCAGTAATGCTAAGAAAACACCAGATAAAAGAAAACCTGCTACATAAGCATCACTAGTTATCAGTCGTTTCCAGAGAGAAGTCTTTCCCTAACAAAGAAGGAAATATTTTACCTGCAGGAAAACATTACTACCATCCTAAACTGATGGGAGAACAAAGTATCCACACAGCACCATGAGTCAAAGAATGAAGTGTGAGCACATACCATGATGAAACATACCTTTACTCTTATAAACATATTATTCTTAACAGAAAACTCATTCTTTGCAAGGATCAGAGTCCTTTGGCACACATAAAATGGACCCTAACCTAAGGCTTACAGAATTGCTTGACTGCATACTTTGCTAGAATCTAAGTGTTACTTGGACACTAATTTGTCAAGAGGTAAGCCTCCAGAAGGCGCCTCCTAACTTACCATTTAAGTCAAGGAATATAACAGGAATGTGTGTTTCCATCCCGGGAACGGGGGTCCTAAAACATAAAGAACAAATGGCATCTCAAATAAAGCAGACTTTCTCCGCACATGTACTGTGAGACACAGCCTTAATAGACATTCGGATCTATGACAGGTCAAGCCCGCAACAACTGTGGGCATCAGGTTTGCTACAGTTTCACATTAGAGAGGCCACAGACTTAACTGTAACGACTGCCTCTCTTCACCACTGCCCTCGTGCACAATTATCACACACTCTGACGCTGGAATTCAGTCTGCTAAGACCCATATACCTGTTCATAATTGAAGCTCCCTTGTTTAGACTTACTTTCTTAGAAAATTACATACCTAAGAGCCCCATATGGCATAATGTACTATTTGTACTTTCTCTAAAGTGGCACAGAACATTTGCTGACAGTACAGTTTAAGTCAGCACCAAAACCAAAAACTCCTGGACACGCAATTTTATTATGACCAAGTGGTCTTTTAAGGGAACGACCCAAGAAATTAACATATTAACCATTTTTTTTAAATGCTACGTACAGTGGTACTAAATATTGATTTAGATTCTCAGAAATCTTAATCACTTGGGCCAATAACAATATTATTGCCTAAAACAGAATTTTAGGCCATAGTTATTCTAACTCATGAAAATAATTTAACGCTTCCTCTAATTCAAACAACACTTTCCCATATGCTATGAGAAGTGTGCCATGAAGTGAAGCCTAGGCAAGATTAACAGAGAAAGCAGGCGGCTTAGTGAGCATTTAGAACTTCAGAAGACACAGGGCAGCACTCATACCATTCTGCTGGGGCCCCTGGGATCCCGCTGCCAGCAGAGGGCACCATCACCGCGTTCCTCTCCTCAGTCAGAGTCAACCTCATCTCTAGAAGCTGAGCTTCACGGTCAGCATCATCCTCTGTTTTATCTAGAACATCAGAAATGAGGATCAAATACAGATCCTTCACTTGCTATTTACACTTTGTCCTGCATGCTGACAGGACAATTTCAGTTACTGAGGGTTCACTAGGAACTTATTACTTCCCTAATTAATGAGAAAAAATTCATGATAAAAAACTAACTACAAGCTAGAGAGGTTGGTGTACGTTTCAGAGAGGCCATCTTCAGTTCACAGAAGGCCTACAGTGGAACAGCACTTGAATCATTTCTTCCAGAGTCAGAGGATTCAAGTGCTTTTGGACAAGAAATCAAAAATGTTAGTACCCTTCCTTGAGTTATTTTTGAGACACAACTATGTTAACAACTTTACGTTCTATGTTTTCTCTTTATTGGGGAGGGGGGGGACCTAGGCAAAGACATTATTACAACTGTTCTTTTGAAAGGATATGATACAAATAAGTAACACTCCTTTGCTCCTATCATCCCCATTATTGATGTGTTCATATACTTTTAATTTATGTGGCTGCAAATAGGGATTAATTACGCACTGATCTGGGAGTAGGGAAACATTCAACCTGCTTTTCCTACCATGTTTACTGACAAGCTTTTGCAATTGTTGATCTAAGTACTCTTGACGTTTGGTTAATGCATTTAGCCATTTTCTACGTAGTCTCTCTAAATCCCGATCCTGGAAGAAAACAAGGGAAATTCTAGTAAATATAATGTCAAGACAACATATCTGAAACCAATGTTCTATCTTACCTTACTCTAATATGCTTTCAAAATGTAAAGTATTATACACTAACATCTTTATTACTACCACTAGTTGACTCCAACCATTATTCAGAACAGGAACTTTCAGAAATGAAAGCATAACTGTTCCAGAGTAAGACAGTTTCTGAAAGGGCATTCTCTGATACCCAGGATAAGTTTCATTTCTATTGGCTCAAGGGGCAGAACTCCAAGCACTCGCAACTAAGATCTTTCACAGGGTCTCTTTGATGGATAAAAATCACAATCATCTTCAAATTTACATCCCTTAGAACCATCATAAGATTCTTCAGATTTCTTAACTATAGCCTTCAACACATTTCACTAGTCTCTGCAACAACACCACATGCTTCTCTACCTTGTATCTGAAGGTTCTTTTTGAGGCGGGTGGGATGCGAGAGGGAGCAGGGGGTGTTATCAACAGACTAACAGTTCTACCAGTCAACACCTGACTGTACACCAATCTGACCTCATTTCCTTCTGTAATAAAGTTACAAGACTGGGTAGATCAGTGGAATGCTGCAGATAGAGTGTGTGTCTGGATTTCACTAAAGCACTTAACCAAATAGCTCGTGACATTCTTGCGGACAAGATGGAGAAATGTGCAATGGATCTGCTTGAATGAAATCATAAACAACTGAAACATCACGTCTAAAGAACAGTGATTAATGGACTAATGTCAGCTTAAAAGAAGTCTCTATTGTTGTGCCATAGGACTCTGTATTTAACCCTATCTGATACAACATTTTTATCAGTGACTTATAGGAAGGCAGACATTTTTATCAAATTAGAATGATGCAAAACCAGGAGAGTGACTACAGTGGATGACATAATCAGGATCCACAGAGCTGAGACAGTACTAAAACAATGACTAACACAATAAAACTTAAGAGACATAAGCAAAATCTTGCAGGAGATTAGGAAAGGGGGGGAAAACCAAAAGCAAACCTAGATGACTCCAGGAAGTGAGGAAGGGAGACCTGGCTTAAAAATATGGAAAACACCTAGGGGGCTCGGCTTGACTGAAGCTCAGTGTGAGACGGCTCTTACACGGGAGAGGGTGGGCGAGACCCTTCAAGGAGAGAAAAAGCGCCAGGAAGAAGATCTGGAGAAATGGATCTGTAGGGAACCTGGAAGGGGTGCTCCAGGTTTGGGAAAGGACAACAGTCACAAATGATTTCCTACACTAAACAGAGTTTACTTTATAGTCTACAAAACACTCATTGTTCCCTACTGTTTTAATTTGAGAGAAAGCAATATTTGAACCCAAATTAATTGTGTAATTATTAAGCAACAGTATAGCAAGACTCAGGAATGAGTAGTTAAGTCATACTTTAATCAAGCTTATTTGATGAGGCTAACACGTGTCTAATTACCTGGTAGCTGTCCATGTCCTCCTCTTCCTCCTAAAATAAAATATATATTATGCAGAACCAAAATAATTATCCAAGAATCAAGCCACACTAAATATCTGAATCTTTTCCCACACTTTATATTTCCTACTTCAATGAATATACTATTTCATCTCCCACCTACCCTCAGCCTCACTCTTGGTCTTACAGTTTTCAGGAAGTTGGAGTAAAACCTTGAGCTTCTTCTCATAGTATAGTGAAGAACATTCATTTGACCTTTTCGAGAACCAGTACAATACTTTGCCTGCTGGGTTTATAGTCCCACTCCCCAGGGGAAATCAAACACCTGCTGGCAAAGAGTCTTTACAAGCCAGCAGGGGGTTTCTGCAGAGAGGGTGGGTGATGGGGGAGGTAATCACTAGTTGGCACTGAGGAGCTTCTGAAGACTGAGAGGTTTAACCCTCAGTTTGCCAGGTACCAGGGCAAAACCAACAGTTGGTGCAGTGATTCCATAAAAATGCAATACACTAAGAAAGACACCAAAGGAAAACAAAAAGAAATACTGAAAGAATTGTTTGTGGAAGGCAGTTTTCTGACGGGTTCCACAAGACTCTCTTGTCTGCTTGGGTCTTTCAACAAGAACACAATAGGCAGAGAAACTTACATGGAAGAGCTCATGCATCTTGGGGGATCTGAGCGGTCTAACTTTGATACATCCAATGCCAACAGACAATATACATTCTTCCATCAATGGTAACGTCCCAGATTCCTGCACAGACTTCACTTCCACTTGAACTCGCCGGGACTGCCCCTGTATCACAGACAATTTTAAGAGTTTCTTTAAATCAGTTTGAATTCCAAAAATTTGGTTTAGAGAGACCCCTACAGGTTGATGTTGAGAAAAACGTTTAACTTTGGACACATCTCACTGTATCTTAAATGTTAAGTAGTAAAATACAAATTGAAAAACTAATCAGGAAAAAATACTTATTTACTTTTTAAGCAAATATAAAGACATAGAACAAATATATGGCTTACATATTTTTCCAAGAAAAAGAAAACATTCTAACAAAGGTAACACAAAAAGCTGGATAATAAAAAATGCTCAACTTACTAATAACCAAATAAATACAAATTAAAATAAGCATGATACACCTGTTTTCACTTACTAAACTAGGAATTATCTTCTAAAAAGGCAATTCCCAATATTGCCCAAAGTTTATGAAACAGCCAATTACATACACTGTTGGTGGGAATATAAATTGGTACGACCTCTCTGCAGTGCAATTTGCCTTAAAGATGTAAGTATCCTTTGACCCAGCAATCCAACTTTCTAGGAATCTTTCTAGACAAATAATAATACATACACACAAAATGTCTCAAAGCAATGTTAAGAATAACACAAAAAATTACATGCAAATTAAATGTATAATATTGATAACTGCTTACACTGCAATATTAGTCATTAAAATATTACTGTAGAACAACATACATGATATATTCTGAACCCAGAATATATAGTATGATCTACTTTTAAAAACAAGCAATTAGAGTTAGAAATAAAAATAATTACTACTATGCTGAATTCACTGCTCCAGTTCCAAAATAAAATAATTTTAAACCAAACTGTAAAATGAATTGATCAGAGAGAAGCTGTTCCCTCTTAAGCAGATTCTCAGAATAAATACTATGTGACTTTGAATATTTACAATGAAATAACATTTTCAAAGAAAATTCACAGTATTTCCAACTTACTGACTTCAAAGTTGGTTTATTAATTTTAGGAATGTAAAATAGAATTTGAAAAGTAAAATTTGAATATACAATTTCAAGTCAGTTACACTTCCTCTCTTCCATCAGATTTTAACTCCCAAGAGCCCTATATTACCAGGAAAATCAACTTAGGCAATGATTGATCCTATCAAGCTGGATTTGAAGAGATGGGTTACAGATGTCTTTTGATTTAATATTTTCCAAGGACTATCTATCATTTATTTCATAGAACGAGTACCTCAGAAAACATTTTAATTGTCTAAAATAGTTTAGTCATTCCAGTTAGCTACATTGTTTGTTTACTTTGCCTAAGACGGAAAATGACCTATTCTGAATGCATGCCCAAATGTGAAGGGTTACGTACATATGCTCTGGGGGAGGATTCCAGAGAAGGAAAGGGAAGAAAAGGAGGGAAAAGACCCAGCAACGGCTTAATGTTTCATAGAAAAGCTTTGAACAAGGATACTTTAACTGTAAGATTCAACTTCTTGTAACTGCTGATACTTGACTATTGTTTAACTACAAAGCCAGCAATTTCATATGGTTAACCTAATCGGCCTTCCTCTGCCACTTTCCTGTTCAAGAACAACAGGTCCCAATTTTGGAATCTATTAAATTCAAATGAGCCTAGCATCGGAGGCCCTCTAGGAACCAGCTGCCACATACTTCTATAATCTCTTCTATACCTGTTTTCCAGCTCTTCCTACATTTTACTTTCTACCCAAAGTTACCTAATCCCAACCTCTGTATCTTTACTCTTGCCATTCATATATGAAAAAACCTTTCCAGCCTTTACATGATTCTTTCAGCATCCAGGTCAAGAGTACTGTCAAAAGTATGACAAATATTTAAATATTCAATTTACACTAAAGCACAGAAAATTATCTGGCTTTGCCTTTCAAGAGATGAATTACTAAGGCAACCAAAGAAGATATAAATAGTTTTAACAGATGTTCAGAAAAAGATGTTCTTCACACCCTTAAGAGTCCTATCTTATGTATATATCTCATGCTATAATTTAAACTAATTTCCTTTTGCTTTCAGATCTTTGTCCATACAAGAATGAATTTGCTAAAATTCATTTGCGGGGGTCAGAGAACAAGGGCTTATCACCTTCCTCTTCCTAAAACATTCAGAAACTTAAATACTTAAGCAAAATTTTTTTAAAACTGTTTTCAATATTTTGCTTTGAATGATTTCAACATTCATCTTCTAGAGCTAGTCTAATATTTTATTACTGTTCTAAAGTATGGAAACTACTATAGTATATAATAGTCTACCAAACGTTGAATTAATGTAAGGTATTACAAAAAAAGAGTATTTCCAAATCTTATATGTAAATTCTATTAAGATATTCTCTCTCATCTTTAGTTGGCAGTGCAGCCACTTTACAGATCACAATCAGCCTAGGGTTGAGTGACAATTCCCACATAGTTGCTATATTGACTTCTGGGAGGTATTCACACCTACCTACCTACATTTACTAAACACCTCCTGTGGTATCATAGAAAGATAGTTGGTCTTTGTCCTCAGTTCCTGGCACAGAGCTCCTGAAACTCTTGAAACAATGAGGTAAGTGAGTGATTAACAGTGACAGGCGCATCTTTTAATGACACGACTTTTAATCTGTTGACTCTCGGCAGGCCCTTAGATAGCTTCAGGTTGGGGGTTGATCATCAGAAAAGACCCAGGCTTGATTAGAAGTTTGGAACTTTCAGCCCCACCCCAAAACCTTAGGGAGAGAGGAGAGAGGGGCTGGAGATTAAGTGAATCACCCATGGCCAATGCTTTCATCAATCATGACTACATAAGGGAACATCCATAAAAACCTACAAATGATGGGGTTTGGGGAGGCTCCTGGTTGGTGAACAAATCGAGGTGCTGGGAGGGTGACACACCCCGCCAGAGAGGACACGGAAGCTCCTCACCCCTTGTCCCATACCTTGCCCTACGCATGTCTTCCATTTGGCTATTCTTGAGTTGTATTCTTTATAATAAACTGGTAACAGTAAATGAAGGGCCTTCCTGAGTTTTGAGCGTCATTCTAGGAAATTATCAAACCTGAGGAGGAGAATTGCGGGAACCCCTAACTTTGGAGCCAAGTCGGACAGAAGTATGGGTAACCTGGGAACTCGATACTTGCAACTGGCGTCTGAAGCAAGGGAAGTCTTGTGCCTAAGTCTGAGCCTGTAAACCTGTGGAGTCTGGAGCTCACTCTGGGTGGTTAGGGTCCAAACTGAATTGAATTGTAGGACACCTAGCTGGTGTGTCTGCAGAGAATTAAAGAATTAGTTGGTGTCAGCAGGAAAAAACACATCTCACCTCCCAGCACCAAGCACTGTGCTTCACATACTTATAATCTCTCTAACACTCACGCTAATCCTGCGAAGCTGTGTTATCATCACCTCCACTTCACACCTGAGAAAAGGCTCTGAGACGCTACTGAGCTTGTTCACGGATGGACGGGTAGGCCGTGGGAGAGCCAGAAATGAACCCCTAGCATGTTAGACTCTGAAGTGTTTGTTCTGTCTGCCGTGTGACATAGCTTCTGCTTGTTTTTATAAAAATTCTGGTTTTTTGGTTTTTTTTTTTTAAAGATTGGCACCTGAGCTAACAACTGGTGTCAATCTTCTTTTTCTTCCCCTCCTTTTTCTCCCCAAATGCCCCCAGCAGAGAGTTGTATATTTTAGTTGTGGGTCCTGCTAGTTGTGGCATGTGGGACGCCGCCTCATGAGCAGTGCCAGGTCTGCACTGAGGATCTGAACCAGTGAAACCCTGGGCCGCTGAAGCAGAGCACGAGAACTTAACCACTCAGCCACGTGGCCTGCCCCTATAAATATTCTTTAAAAAAATTTTTTTTATTGAGGTGACATTGGTTTATAACATTACATAAATTTCAGGTGTATATAAATATTCTAATGCTGCTTGATATGTTTGTTTTATTTCCTACAGTTCAATTCTGAATTCTTTAAAACTAACCTTTTTCTTACTTAAACCTAACAGAAGCTCGTTTTAAAATATTATAAATAGCAATACTTTGAAAATGAAGGAAAATACACGTGAAGTAAGGACAATTTTAATACAAGAAATGGACTTGACCAGTCTAGATTTCATTATCACTGACATTTCTGCTAAAAGGAATCCAACATTAAGCTTTACAGTGCCAAAGAATTAAATGTTAACATTAAGAACGATAACATTCACAATTTTGTTACCTGCCGGAGTTGGAAGATTCCTCCTGTTGGCACATCCTTAGCAGAAATTACTTCAACAGGGCAGTATTCACCATTCTCGTTCTGCTCCAAGATTTGAACCCAGAATTCCACTTTCCTGGTGACTTCACTCCATCTAGGAAACAGTTGAAATTCTTGGAAAATCACACATTTCTATTTCAATACAGGGGGCGTAGGATACTGCACATGAGAATTAACAATGATAATGACCTCCAAACACAGTAACTCGGTAGAATGATCTGTAGTTCAATGAGTAATATATAAGCACATACTAGCAAATATAGTTAAAAGCAAAATTAAACTTAATACCAGAACTAGAAATAGCTCCTTTATTTAGTTCAAAAAGGTATGATAATTAAAAATCTATTTCAAAGTGGTTATTCAAAAATTTAAACATTATAATCAAACATACAGAAGCAAGTACAGTGATTCTCTTTTTCATAGATAAAGGGAGTGCTGAATGCTTTAGTGGCTTGACAAGTATCTTTGCTCAGGTCAGTAAGAAAACCAAGAAAAATATCTCAACGCCTAATTTAGTATTTGCTAAAATGTTCTAAATGCAAAGAAGGAAAATCTGGTTCTCATCTATAACTAGATGAAAGATAAAAATATATGCTCTCTCAGTCATTTCCTTTTCTCTCTTCTTTTTAAAATCCTGGTCAACAAATAAGCCTGCCTCCTTCATCACTGAGGCCACTTGACAAGCTCTCCGAGCTAAAGACAAAATCAGTAAACCCGAATTCTAGAGTGTATCTTGATCCATTCTCTCTCCATCTGATTAATTAGAAGTAATTCATAATGATAGGCAATTTATTCTCCAAAAACTCATGTTATTCTTTACACTTAACTTCCTATATATTTGCCTTTCTTCCTTCACTCTTCAAGGTTCGCTCCCCTAAGGAGCTTCAGCTGTGCTATTAACATCCTGGAAACACCACCATGTACCCCTGGAACAGGAAGGTTCAGGAAGGGGTCACCTCTACAAACAGCAGGATCAATTTCTAGCAATTTTTAAAAATTATAAATGGTATCAAATGAATATCTAAGATTCACCTGTCCCGAAGACTACGTGTTTTTGCTTGGATAATCCCCAGATCCCACAGGGCTGGGTTTTTCCGAGGATCATTCATCTTGTGTCCATATACTTCAATTGCCAATGCCCCTTCTGAAAGATGCTCGATAAAGTCTTCAGTGATATTAACAGAAAACTCCTGAAAGAAAATAATTACAGAAGAGGAAACATTTTCTAGCAACTTTAGGATTATTTATAGCTGACATCACATATTTACCTCATCATGGGGAGGAGAAATTGAAAAGAATGTTTTAGTTATAGAACAAGCCTGTCATCTAACACCCACAATGAATGCTCAGATGGTCTAAGGTTCTCGATTTTAAAAATAACTATAACTCTGATTTTTAAAAAACTTTTCACCTTGAAAACGTATTGTGAAAGACCAACATGGTATTCTATTGTGTTAGCTATTTTTAAAAGTATGAATAGTGGGACCAGCCCGGTGGCGCAGCGGTTAAGTTTGCACATTCCGGTTCGGTGACCCAGGGTTCGCTGGTTTGGATCCCGGGCACGGACATGGTGCCACTTGGCAAGCCATGCTGTGGTAGGCGTCCCACGTATAAAGTAGAGGAAGATGGACATGGATGTCAGCTCAGGGCCAGTCTTCCTCAGCAAAAAGAGTAGGATTGGCAGATGTTAGCTCAGGGTTAATCGCCCTCAAAAAAAAAAAGTATAAATAGTTACATTAAGAATTACAACAATGGATCAAGCCCTGATGGCCTAGTGGTTAAAGTTCAGCACTCTCAGTGCTTCAGTGGCCTGGGTTCAGCTCCCGGTCGTGGAACCATGCCACTTGTCTGTCAGTAGCCACACTGTGGCGGCAACTCACAGAGAAGAGCAGAAGGACTTACAACGAGAATATACAACCATGTACTGGGGCTTTGGGGAGGACAAAAAAAAGAGGAAGATTGACAACAGATGTTAGCCAAGGGCGAATCTTTTCCAGCAAAAAAGAAAAAAAACACACCACATGCTTCCTTGCTTGCTGAAAGAAGGAAGGGACAAAAGTTAAAAAAAAAAAAAAAAAAAAAGAAAGAAAGAAAGAAAGAAAAGAATTACAACAATGTTCTACGATGCCCTGACATAAAAGTTATTATATGCAATAAGGTAGCAGTGTGTTGGGAAAACAATTTTTCCCAGTTTTTAGGAAGCTACCTATCTCCACTAATAGAAGAAAACAGAAATGAGTAATGATCATCAGTGCAAAAGAATCACCTAATTTTAAAAAATTCTCCCAACCTGTCCATCAATACAAGATAGAGCTAAGACAGCATTTTGCAATAATTTGGATTAAGCTCTAAAACAGTTTCTTTTAACAAATCATAGAATCTCTGCTCTCTTTCTCTCCCTCTCTCTCAATATTTTAACACACTAAAGATATTTGTTTTAAACAGATTAGAAAGAGACCTCTCTCTTGAAAAAAATGAGACGAATCAAGCGTGGTATAGTAGAAAAAAAGAATCCAGAATCTGACATTCTTGGTCTTGCTAGTTACTAGTCATAGGCGAACTGACCTCTTTGAACTGTTTTTTTTCAGCTGCAAAAAAGCACTATCATCAAATCCAATTGTGGTAAAGAGCAAATGGAAGAACAACAGAAAGGTTTAGCAGAGCACTAGGCACTCAACAAAGTCAGGTCTTGTCTCTTTTCTGTCTTCACTTTCTCTAAAACACTATTTTCTTAACCTTTTCAGATGACAATTTCTCCAGTAATCTAACCCAAAACATAGAGTCCTTATGGAGTACACATATATCCATACACACTGTCATGCAAAAGTCAACTTTTGATTGTAGAGGAGTTAAAGGCATTGACACTAGTTTTTCTTTTTTTCCTCAGCTATACTGGGATATAATTGACATACTGTGTAAGTTTAAGGTGTATAAAGTGTTGACAACACTACTTTTGACTCCAACCCCACTGTAAGAAACTCTGATCCAAGACATATATATGGATATCAACTTATTCAACAAAATAATGTTCATTTTTTTGTTTTGTTTTTACCTGAGTAATTAAAAACTGACCAGGTCTGGAAGACAAACTTACATTGCAATGATCAAAGACCACCATGCAATGAGGTTCCTTGCTGACAGCAGAGGATGAGGTATCCACTTCGGGTGCAACAATGACTGGCTCCTGCTGATCCCAGAAGTTGTATTTGCAGAATACAAAGTGGGACAGATGCTGTGGCAACCCAGTGGCTTGGAGTATTTTAACCTGAAGGAAAAGAAGGCTCTGTCTGATTTTAACTCAGAAAGTTCCAAGAAGTACTCTGAGTCAGATATATGGGCTCCAGTCCTGACTCTGTCACTTACTGTTGGTTTATGTTGACCAAATCCTATTCATTCTGGGCTGTATTTCTGAATGTGTAAGACACTGACAACAACTGTTATATTTAGCGAGAGGTTCATTCAGGGTAGCACAACCTTGACTGTAAAGGTGAATATTTTAAAGCATTTACAAGCTGATGAAGAACATTAGCTTCTTATGATATCATCATCATTACCATCATACTATAATAATAATAATAAACTCAGAAGAAAAAAGTTCTCAAACATCAACACCACTCAATGATACGAACTTGGCTAACTACGGACATGCTATAAGAACACAAGATTGTTAGGAATGATGAACGAAGAACAAAATCAGTGTATGTGCCAATAAGCAATAAATATGCAGGGAAGGACAAAAACATTGATATTTTAAAGTATAAAAAGGAACAAAGCTCTCAAGTAGAATGTTACATGCTACTAGAGCATTTTTTCTGGAAAACTTTAAAATCATCAGGAATGTATATACTTTGAAGATCTGGACGGATGAATGGAGGAGATTAAAGATGGTGAATATTGCCCATTCTCTGCCCCAACATTTACTGAATGCCTTCTCCATGCAGATTTAGGGAAGAGAGGCGAAGCAGAGGAAATGTGCCCTGGATTGTAGGAGTATAGGGTTTTGTGATAACAACGCGTGATTAGAAATACGTGTCTAATCAGACCAAATGCCCCAGAAGAAATGTCTATACTAGATATCAAAGCAGCCAAATATTCTAAATATTTCTTTTGGCAGGGAGCATCAGGTTGATTTTTAAGCTGGCGTTTTTGTGATAAGTTATAATATTCTAAAACTCCTCCAGCTATGAAGGAAATTTAATCCTAAAATTAATTAAGCTAAACTAAATTCTGATTTTATAATTGACGAGGCTGAATTTCACATGACCAAGCGCTGATCATTTATTATATTCTTCACCTGGTCACTTCCTGCATATTGTATGATGTACTCTACTTCCAGTAAATAAATTTAACGAAAGTAGATCTGAAGATGCAGCAGGAGTTGATGTAGCTCAGCAACCACAAATACAATAGCCTCAATGTTTCAGGAAGCATTAATAAGGACACAGAAAATCACGCAAAGCAGATGACTTTACTTTCTTCTATACCATGCACAGATGGGAACTCATTATTATTATTATTATTCTTTTTGCTGAGGAAGATTCACCCTGAGCTAACATCCGCTGGCAATCTTCTCTTTTCGTATGTGAACCACTGCCACAGCACGGCCACTGACAGGCAAGTGGTGTAGGTTCGTGCCCAGGAACGGAACCTGGGCTGCCGCAGTGGAGCACGCCAAACTTAACCACTAGGCCACTGGGGCTGGCCCTATTATTCATTTTCTCTTATGATCCAACAAAAGTTTGAAACATCTAGATAGGAATTCCCTGAGAGGCTATGAAAGACAGATTGACTTACATTTTATTTGTCCAAGCCAAATAGAGCGATCAATATTCAGCAATTAATTTTTCATTATGTTTTAGAAACCATCACTTTTTCATTAAGTGTTTAACAATGCTTATCATAATCTCTGAGGTGAGGCAATATCGTATTTGGGAAGATTACAAGATTGTGGAGTACACAGATCTAAATAAAAATCTCTGCCACTTATTAGCTTCTGTTTTTGAATGAATTACTTTAATTCTTAGTTTTCTCCCGTGTAAAACAGGACAGCTACCTAACGATACTGGTGTGAAGACCAACCACACCAGTGAAATGAATGAAAACACTACCAGGCACTGAGTGGACAGATGTTCAATACATACTTCTTTGTAACTGAATTCCATCTGAAAGCCAATTTTTTCCTTAGAAATTAATCTCAGTTTTAAGGTTAAAATCAACAAGGAAGCAAGATTTCATAAGCTGGACTCTTCCCTACAGGCAGCGTCTCAGGAATGAGACTGCCAGGAATGAAGAACATCAGGAACGAGGAATATCTTGCTATCTAGAACAAAGGGGGTTTTTTGTTTTTGTTTTTTTTTGAGCTTTTATATACAGAAACCAAAATCACCACAAGGTGTCAGAATATCACAGACTTCAACTTGCCACTACTCAATATACTAGAGCCCAGGAATATCAGAAGACATTAATGTTGTTTGGGGTTTTAAAATACACTAACTTTATTTAAAGTAATTGAAAATACTAATATGTTAATATGCATGTAATTATTTTATCACAGAAAAATAAATCCAGACTTTAATGGGCCAGCAACACCAATCATCCACAATATCTTAAGTGTTTCCACGCTGGTTTCATTTGTTTTTTCCACCAATGTTTTGTTTATCATCATATAGTTTGTCTCCCTCCTTTTACACAAAGGGCTATTGCACACTCAGAATACGGTATGTAAAAACCACTTTCCACTGAAAGGAATCGGTTCCTTGGAGACATGACTGATCCCAGGTCTGGGACAGGAAATGTAGAGGACGAGACCAGGATGTTCATCACACCAGAAAGCAAGAAAGCCACCACAATCTAGGAGCACTAGGGCTGTGTCAGAACAACTCAAGAGCCAGCTGAAGATGGGAGCATTTGAACTTCAACATAAGTAACAAATACAATGGATCGAAACATATCAAACATTTAAATCCAAGAGATCACAATGATATCAAGACTAAACAAAATCTCACTGGTCACTTTTGGATATTAGTAGGAAAATCAATTCATTATTTTGAAAATTAGAAATAAAGGGAGAGAATGGAGCATTTACCTTGCCTTTCCTATACAAACTTTGTCTCTGAATAACAAAACAGTTGATAATGGAAGATTCTCTGTATAGAAGAATTCTAGCTAATAAATGAAGGGAAGACAGAATTATAGTATCACTCTTTTCTAACTCCTAAATGAAATATCTAGGTAATAATCAATGATTGCTAACATCCCCAAAAGAGAAGCAGACACAGTGTGCCTTCTGACGGAAGAACACATCACCAGCTATAAAGCATCCCTGCTACTCCTCCTCCCCCATGTACCATCTTTATATCTAACCACCAGTTTAGAGCAAATATATCTTAACATGTTAAATAACACCAATCAGAAAAATCCAGACTGAGAAAATACAACAACCCAGATTCTACAATAAACTAATTGTATGGTAAGAGAGAATGAAAGACAGAGTGTGTGCATGCAAGAGAGCATGCATGTATGAGGGAGAGTGAGAGAGTGAGTGTGCGCACACGTGAGCACAAGCACAAGTGTCAGAACCCAAGACAATCAAGGAAATTGACTGGATATTTCATGACATTAAGAAGGTATTACAGGCCAGCCCTGGTGGCCTAGTAGTTAAGTGCAGCATGCTCCACTTTGGTGGCCTAGGTTCGGTTCCCAGGAGCAGACCTACACCTCTCTGTTAGCAGCTATGCTGTTCTGGTGGCCCACATACTAAAAAACAGAGGAAGACTGGCATGGATGTTAGCTTAGGGTGAATCTTCCCCAGCAAAAAAAAAAAAAAGTATTGCTTTTTGATTATGATATTATAGTTATGTTCGGGTTTTTTTGGTACTCTTCTTTTGGAGATACATACTAACCTATTTATAGATGAAATATGATGTCCAAGGGGAGGGGAGAGCATAGAAACGGCTTGAGTGTACGAATGAAACAAGATGAATTGATGATTGTCAAAGGAGGGTGAATGGAGATCAAGAACACTTTTCGCACTACATTTATATATGTTTGATACATTCATTTAAAAAATCTTAAGACATTTTAGACAAATTTTTTTTTAAAAAAAGCTCACATTACCCAGGATATACTACTTTTTTTCAGTAATAAAGATAAATTTCCCACTTGAGACGGTATCTTTGTACCTTACTTTACTAAATGGTGAACTTTCACACAGTTGATCTTTCATGCAGTTGCATTTACTAGTCTATAAGCTTTAACATGGGCCATTATGGAGTCATCAAGCTTATGTCTCCATCTTTGAAAATCACATAACCTCAAAAAGGAAATGTTCCGAAATCAAGTAAGATACAATAAATATTAATCTTTCAGTAAATTGAGAATTTGCCCCCCCACATACTGAAGTAACTGACTTAAACAACCAAGGCCTTCTTAATATGTGCAAAGACCTACAGAGAGTGGCCCAACTCTTTACCAGCTTTAGCTTCCCCCTTGCAGCTAATGCCTAACTTACTCCTTTCAACATCAACTTCAACTCTAGAAATCCTTACTGAGACACAGGACTGGACCTAGAATGGATTATGAAAGGAGAGTTAAGTTTAGGCTTCCTTCACTTCACCTTTTGATGGCCTCCTTCTCCTTCATACACTGTTCCTATGCCCCTTTCTGACTTCTCTTCCTCAAAAACCTTTTAATTGATTCCTACAGTGATTCTCAAGCAATGGCATACTGGCCCACTACAGTATGTCTGGAAATGTATGAGAGGATTTTTTCACTATCATAATAAGTGACAGAGGTGGAACCACCAACACTGATGGGGTAGGAATCCAAGAATGTAATGACCTACCTAACCTCGACCTAGCAATTACCTGTGAAAATACCACAGCACCCACGGATAAAGAGTTTTACATAACACACTCTCCTTCAAATAAACTCTGAGTCTCATTTTTCCAGACATTTTACTCAGACCTTACTATCCGAATTCATTAATTACCTCTCCTCTGTGTTCCAGAACATCTCTTGTCTACCTCTCTCAGATCATTTGGGTCACACAATATTGGAGTCTTCTGTTCACTTGTGTGTCCCCTATACAGACACACTCTACATAGGAGAGAGGAATCCTGTCTTATTCATCTTTATATTCCCAGCACCTGGCACAATGTCTGACAGATAACACTCAACACAGTTCATGAATGGCATGCGGGCGAAGAGCAGAAAGAAAAGCGTTTGGGATTAGGGCATGAAGGAATAGCATAAGCAAAGGCACATGGGTGAAGAGGAACAAAGAATGTGTGGAAAAACAGTATAAAGAGTAACGCACGGCAGGAGCTTAGGAATAGGACCATGCTGGAATAAATGTCTAGCAGCAGCAGGAATCAAGAGGCCCAAGAGAAGGAAGAAATTTGTGTTAAAAAAATGGGCTTCTCTGTAGAGAAGTTGAGATAAAATTAATTCATACAGTTTTGGAGCTGAACAGACCGGAGAAAAAGGCAACTTATCCAAGACTTCATAGAGGAAGGCACTGAAAGTACCTGCCTACGTCAGGATATATGATGAAATATGCTCTCTAGAATACCAAATAATGAAAACTTATTTAGAGACAGATATTTTCAAAATTTGAAAAAGAACACAACATTTATCATCTAAACACTCACAGTCCTCAAAATCAGCCACACTTCTACTACTTCTAAATGAAACTGGGACTTACCATGCATACCAGCTTGTTCTCCTGGGTTTCCTTATCACAGGAGATCTCTGTGGCATCGTCACCTCCGGCAATTCTTTCCCCAACATCACCACTGATTCGCATCACCTCTACATGCAGCCGACCTGCCACCTAGAATGTTGCGGGGAAAACCAGATACTACTTCCAGATTTTGCTCTTTCTCTCTTTCAGAGTCAAGTGGTTAGGTTAATGGTATACGAGAATTTAGAAGCTTAGGCGCTAATGTTACTTTCCCTCAAAGTACTTGGAATAATTACCATAAAGCAGTATGTAAACACAGGTATTAAAAATACACACAAACATCACTTGTCATTATTGATGAAAAATAGTAACAACAACATCACCATTCTACTATTTCTTAAACCGTTCTCTGCAGGATACAAGATATGAAGAGAAAACTAACCTCTCCTTTCTGGTTCACAATGGGAACCGCATATTGTAACTTCACATCATAGAAGAGGGACTCAAGGAAGACATTAGCCACGCCAATGAGACTATGATTCTCCTGTTCATCATAGAATGGATCAGCTCGCTTGAAGTAAGACCGTATTACCTTTAAAGCGATTCAGAACATAAAACTTCAGAAAATCACTTAAACAAATTCAATCTACCATTTTTTGACACACTCTAATAAAGTCATTAACCTTAGCTGAAGTATAGCACTGTATTATATACACACACACACAGACATACACACTCACTCTTCCTCATTCCCATTTAGAGTGATGGTCAGCATCCTACACCCATGAGAGAGCAATTCCAATACCACGTCATTACTTTTATCATTTCTTCTCCTTTACGTGGAAATCTTGCCACAGAAATAGAACAACAACATACATTGACTAGAAAAGGGGAAGAAGAGTATATGAAAGTACTCTTCATTTTTCATTCCTATCTATTCCACTTGTTCCTACCAAATCATTAGACATACTGCTGCCAACAAGAGCGATCTCCTTACAGGACAGTGGTTTGCTTTTTTGTATTTGCTTTTTATGTTGTTTTATTTCTAAGTTGAAAGAGGTGAGGACTATAGAAGAAAATGAAAAAAAAAACTTAAGAAAAAAATGTCATCTAACTATAAGAAGTCATTTTTACTGATGACAATGAGAAAAAATAAACATTTCTACAAAACAAGAGACTAAGGAAGTAAACAACTGTAAGTAGAAACAGGACCAGCAGTGTTGAAAATATGTAAAATTATACATAATACTTATATCTATTTTACATATGTACAAGTACACAGCTGACTTCAATGAGAAAACCTGCAATCTGAGGAGAGAGTATCAGAGTATAGATCTATGGCATCCACTTTAGGATCAAAACACCTTTAAAAGTGTTCCTTATAGTATAAATATTAAGGTACCGCTGATGTTCAATTCAAAAAACAGGTATTGTAGGTTTATTATTTCCAAGGTTAAATGTGCTGAGAAATGGGGAGAGAGACAATAAGGCATGGTGTCGGTCCTAAATAAATTCACAGTCCTGTACAGGAGACAGAAGCCAGAATGGAATGTAGAAGATTCTACTAGAAATGCAGAGAACACAAAAAGAGAGGAAAAAAGAAGATGCCAGAAAAATAGGTTATTAAAATTATTGATTAGCAGAACAATTTAGAGGATTAAAATAAATATTATTCTAGAAACAGGATTACTATTTTGGAAAAATGAACAATTCTTCCCTGAAATGGGTAGGTTCATTCCTGCTTGATTCCTTCTGTAAGTACAAAGTGAGTAATTTTTTTCAAATAACTTACTGGGGTATCCTCGTCACACTCCTTCCACTCCTGATAAAGGTCTCTCATATCCAACAACCTGTTGTCCAGTTTTTCCAAAGACCAAATCTGCTTTCCTTTTCCTTTTCTTCTCACCTGGATGGCGGGCTCACTAAGAAGAGAGCCTCGCTGTAAAGACAGTCAGAGTGACCACGTGAAACACAAAGACAGCCACCGCAGAGGCCACCCCTAAACACGCTATACCCACCAGGCAAATGTCATCAACCGAAAGTAAAACTGCCATCATTTTTTACTCTGTTAACCGGAAAGCCTCCCAGAAATCTTACAAGCTTAATTATAATGCCTTTATATCCAACGGCAATCAAAATTTAAATTTATACTTAAATTTAACAATTGTAGTTAAAATTTAAATTTTGATTGCAGTTGAATGTAAATTTAAATTTAGAATCCAAAAGACTAGACCATGTTTAATGGGAAGTCAAAAATACTTTACTCAGGCCATCATATGACCAGAGAACGTCAGTGGGCAGAAAGAGTCATAAGCACTGAATGGTAAGGGAAACTTTGCTGGGATAGACGGTTAAGAAACCATCTTTTACCTTTCATAAGTTTCAACTTTTAGTCATACTTTTCATGGTTTAATCTCAACAGTTTTGCCTTAAAAAGAAAATTCTATACAATATGAAATAAAATCCAGTTCAAAGAGAAAAAAAACGCTTCAATTTTTAAAATTTTTTGAATAAGTAGTATCTTAATGTGGTACAAAACACAAAGTGTTTAAAAGAGTAAACTGGGAAAAGTATCACACTTATTGGGAGGCAACAAATGATATCAATTTCCAAATATACATAGTTTGAATTTAAAATCAAAACAATATAGAACTAGACAGAAAAGCTGGTTGTACAACATTGTGACTGTACTAAACGTCACTGAATTGTTCACCTTACAACTGTTAATTTTGCTATGTGAATTTCACCTCAAGAAAAAATCGTATTCACTGAAGTTTTTCCAGTTTATAAAAGCAATGTGTTATGTTAATGTAGAAAAAAATTTAAACTTCCTAAAACCATAAAGTAGAAAATAAAATGCCCCTGTACATCTCCTCCAGAGAGATGCATCCATCAGTTATCTGATCAGTTTAGATTTACTGGATAAATTTCTCAACTGTTGTGACAGGCCCACTAAGAACTTGAGAGAATCGTGAAATACACCAATGTTGTTTTAATATGTTGCCTATCATCATTTCCAAATAAAAAGAATTTACATAATGAAACAAAGATTTTATAATTCTGAAGGTCAAAAATTACCCTTCTCTCACATACTGTAAAGACTCTTCTACCTTATACTCAGCCAGCTAGGGAATAAACACAAAGATTTCGTTAGCGATCTGCAGGAAGTGGCTGTTCAGGGAGAGAAGGTTAGAACTGGGGTTAACAGCAACGAGCAACACGCTGCAGCATCATGACTTGGCTGTCCTGCAAACAACTACAACAGGGGTTGGAAAAACAGGAAAAAAAGCAATTTCTGCCCTTAAAAAAAAATCAGCAGAGAGAGGTGAGTACAAGACCAGGAGTAAGGACCAGAATAAACAACAACGTTCACAGCATGGACAGGACATTAAGCGAAATAAGAGTTTCAAGTACAAAAAAAAAAAAAGGTATGTTGGAAAAAAGAGTGCAAAATCCAGCTGGAGTCAGGAAACTATCTCCTTAGGAAATATTTCCTTGTCCAGCTCCTCTGGCTGAAATCTGAAAATACTAATCTATTAAATCAATAATAGAGTGGATTAGTAGCTGTCTGTTAACAACGGCTGCTTCAACTCCAAGACTCACTCATCTGTGCGTCATCTCTACCAGCAATACAAACAGCCCCATGAACACAATGTCAGGTGTCTGGGGCAGACAGATGCGCAAAGTGACGTGAGTCCCTTCTAGGTGTTGGCCTGGCTGCCCTGAGGCAGCACTGCTCCTTCCAACAAAGCACAAGCCAGGATACACAGAAAAGGGCTACGGTCATGCTTAATGAGGAAAATATGTTCACATTTCTGTTTTTTCAATTCAAACACTACAGAATGGTCTTCTCAGTCTTCCAGAAGAAGCTGAGCCCTGAACCCTGTGCCTAAGATTGGCTTTCCTCTACTGTTATGTGTCTGTGCGTCCCATTGCACCCATGGTTTGCCCTACAAAATACCTTTGTTAGTTGGTAAAAATACCAAAGAGCAAAATAAAGTTCTAAGTGGGTAAAATCTTTCAAACAACACACAGAATATACATCGAAAGACAATTCTCCATAAAGTAAACACTGCATCATGTTCACAACACTTTTATTACTAAAAACACTACGCATCATATTTGCCAAGTATCTATTCTGTGCAAAACACTGACCTTGATACTATGATGCCATAGGAGAAGGAAAGATGTGGTCTTTGCTATCAAATCAGAACACCTAAGAAGGATACATTAAAACTGCTGTGTCCACTGCCACAGAAGAAACACAGCACAAGCACCCTCAAAATATTTATCTGAATACAAAATTCTACCTAATCCATCAAAAATTAAGTATGAATATGATCAAGAGCTAGAAAAGAACCTAAGTAAGAAAATAAAGCAACTGAATGGCAAGGAGAGAAGATATGGATGGGATTTTGCCCCTATATTTTATTAAGCTTATTACATTATATCAAAAAGAGACTTGTGATCTTAAATATACACATGAAACAACTAATGAACAGTTGTGCAGAGCAACCTATTAGCAAACAGAAAATAACATGTATAAGTAGAATAAACATCTGACTTGGGGGAAGGGGGTTGTAGAGTGGTACAGAATGAAGGGAAAACCACTTTGGGAAGATTCATCAGGAAAGACTTCTCAGAAACAATTTAAACAGATTTGAAGAAAGGGAGTTGAGCGAAATCCATTGGTAGGGCTGAGGGGCATGGAGAGGATATTTCTAGTGGATAAAGGACACATATGCAACAAAGGCAGAGGATTAAAAGTCAATTCTACTCGAGAGAGGAGGACAAGTATGGAAGGATCTAGACTGCGGAGGGTGTAGATAGGGATGAGGGCAGACCCACTGGTGTTTAACTAACACTGGTGACAGAGAAAGCAGTTTATCCAATGATAACTTTGGTTTTCCCTTAATGGCAATCTCACCTTCCTGTTGGCATCAAGGCTGGAGGCTGGAATCTGCAGAGTTACTTTATACTCTGTTCTTTTATCCAGTTCTTCTGCAATGTAACTAGCTTCTCTCACCAGCAGGTTGGCTTTAACAATTTGCTCCCTCAGCCTCATTAGGCTGTTATTCAGTGTTGCTTCTCTTTAAAAAAAAAAAAAGAGAGAGGGGATAACCATCAAGCAGCACATCAGAATATTATATAGTACATAACACGTTAATACCAAACTGCAAACCAAGCTTTACAACCATCTTTGGCACACAGGGAATACATTACCGACACTGACCCATGCACGTGCTTGTATCTGGGCTACATTATCAGCACTAGCACACGCTTGTGTGACAAGCTGGCCGTCCATTAGGGCAGTGCTTGGCAAACTTGGCTGTGTACACAATCACCTGGGGATCTTGACAAACTGAAGATTTTGACTCAGTAGGTCTGGAGTGGGGCCTGAAATGCTACATTTCTATCAATTTCCAGGTGACAGAGATGCTGTCTATCTGTAGACCAAACTCTGCATAGCAAGAGGTTAGTTAAGTACAGTCTGTAACCATGGATAAGGCATTTTAGTGCAACGCTAATTAGCCCGGATGGAGATCAAACTTGCAATCTGAATCTTATTAGCACCATGCTTTACCTACCTGAGCTAATCAGTCCAGATAACCACCTTTTTTTCCCTTTTTTAAAAAGCATCTACCCAAGCTTCAGAACCTAAAGTATAATACAATGATAAAGTATGACTTCTAAGTATAAATACTTGTTTATTCAAATCCAAAAGCCATACAAACAAAAAATGGGGCAGCACCTAACATGGGCAGCTTTAAATAAAGCAATATAAATGAACAATTCTCATTTTTTCAAAAGTGAAAAAAAAAGACAATATCAAGTGGTTCCTGGCTATGATGTTCTTCTTTTCCTACAATTCTTTTTAAAGTAATGTCTAGATTTTTCCTTTCTGTATCTTACCAAGGAGGGCTCGAGGCACTGAGCACATGCTCCGCTTGTGACAGAGGCCCTGTGCACCACCTACCTCTCTTCGGCCCACTGTCTCAATCGCTGCTGGGCGCTGGGTGAGTGGAAAGAAAATCTGTCCATGGAGCGAGAGTTTTGCTTCTCAGGAGACAGCCTTCTTCGAAGCTGCTCCAATTCGTGTTCGTACATAAGCCTCTGGCGCTCCAAGGCAGAGCGCTTCTCCTCTTCATGCTGCTGTTCCAGGCTGTTCAGTATTGACTGCATTGGATCTAAGCAAGTTTTATTTTAAAAATTAAATAATGAACAACGGTAATGTACAACATGATATACATCAAATTCTACGTTATGCTGTTTGTCATCGTAATTAATAAAATAAGATTCTTAAACACAGTTTGGAATAACTTAGCTTTCTTTGCTTCCAATTGTTTAACATATTATCTATTCTATTAAATGCTAAGCTGTCTTCAACAGAGAAAGAGCAGGTCTATTATACGTTCTACGCATAATGGTTAATGCTCCAGAAATCCACTACAATAATGAGCCAGTGGCAATCAAGTTTCAAACCTGAGAAATTCTACCAATGAGTACAAAGTTTACAGTGATTTCTCTATCAAGGTAGAAAGAATGAAAGTTTTTATAAATACAATAAATTAAAGTCAAAGACACAAAAGAATATAATAGAGAGAACAAAACCATAACGATTTCCTTTTTCACTAACATCTAGAAAGTTTTAGTTGTAAATATTTTTAACACTCCACCACCTTTAAAAGATCTAAAATGCACAACAGATCTGCCCACCATTATTGCCCAGAGCCTTCATGGTAACCTCCATCTGTGCATATTCATAATTGAAGTTGATTTCACTGGACACCTCACTGGAGGAGTCTCCGTCTACATCCAGCTGCTCAGAACTGGTATCATTCTTCATGGAGGTGTCCTGTTCCTCATCTTCTCGATCTGCTTTCTTTTTCTTCTTAGGCAAATTCAGTCTTGGGGGAAAGAAAGAACCTTATTTTTCAAATAAAGATATGCACATATTCATTCCATTCATTGAATATGGACATTTGCTGGATGCCAAGAGTTTATATCCTAGTGGTAGAAATAAAACACACGTGTGTGCAAACAATTACAACACAGAGAGTGACACAAGGCCCTGAGACTGTTACAAGCTAGGTATGAAAGAAAAGCTGAGGACCACTTCAGACTGGAATAATAATGGAAGGGATGACAGAGAGAGTCATCTGAGCCAAGCCTTAAAGGATAAGGAGAAAACAGGGCATTAGGGCAGAGGGAACAGCATGAGAAAAGACGTGGAGATGGAAACTCCCCTAGTCTCTGGAGAAATTGAGTACAACAACATGGGGACAAACAACATTTGTATAGCAGAAGTTCTAAGAAATATTGGTGGAAAGATCAACTTAAAACAAACTATGAAGGCTCTGAATACTAAGCCAAGCAATTTACACTCAATTTAGTTTGAGAAGGAAAAACACGAAAAACATTTCCCATACACTTTGGTACCCCTCTACCCTTTCTTCAATAATCAAAATATCAACTGGCCTACAAGCAAAAGATCTCCATTAAATATAAGAAAACTCAGTTTGATATGAGAAGCACAGTGACCAGTGACAGGAAGAAGAATAGACCAGGATTTTAATTTTATACTATATCCAGCCCACCTTTCCTTGCCAACACAACACCAACTGTGTATGGCAAATAATGTGTGCAGTCCAGGTCAGAGGTTTTCTCAGCCTCCTTGAAGCTAAGAGGCAAATTCTAGAGGCCGGCCCCGTGGCCAAATGGTTAAGTTTGCATGCTCCACTTTGGCAGCCCAGGGTTTTGCCAGTTCAGATCCTGGACAGGGACCCAGCATGGCTCATCAGGCCTTGCTGAGGCGGTGTCCCACATAGCAGAACCAGAAGGACCTACAACTGGAATACAGAACCATGTACTGGGGGGCTTTGGGGAGAAGAAGAACAAGAAAAAGAAAGATGGGCAACAGATGTTAACTCAGGGCCAATCTTTAAAAAAAAAAAAAAGAGGCAAATTCTAGCAAATGAGACATAAGTGGAATGTTGCTGGGGACTCTGGGAAGACATCTGCTTTTTCAGTCAAGAGAATACTCAGGGCTAGTACCACCACACTTCAACCTTTTCTTCACGTGTGCCTTAATGCTGCTTTGATGCCTTGAGTGGCATGGCCACCTTTAGACCATAAGGAAAGGCCAAGACAATGACAAGACTTCTGCCACGACATTTTTGAGAGGCTTAGCCAATGCCAACAACCATCTTCTTTCGAATTTCCTATTTTGTCAGAGAAATAAACCATCTGTTTAAGCCACTACAGTCAAGTTTACCACTACCTGCAACTGAAAGCATTCCTAAATGAAATACGAACTTTATTTTATGGATAAAGAAACTAAAATCACTGCTGTTTCCCGTGAAAATAAACAAATATACACATAAGCATGTCAGAAAAAAATTAATGAATTCTTATATCAGATGACAAAATAATCATCTTTCATTGAAAAAGTAAAACATATCTAAGTGAACTCAGCATTTTTCCTGAGTGTATTCTTCATATGTCCCTCTGTCTCATACCATATAGTGAACAAACATATACATAATAAATAAATACACATATAGTAAATGAACATACATACACAAAACAATGTATAATTTTTATGGAGTTTTTACCTTCTACTTTTTAATATTACTTTCTAATATATGTTCTTCTATTTCAGAGAATAATTTTCAACGATCTCTCTCTTTAAGAGCTATGAATAATGTCATACCTGAAGAAGTGGTTGTTTCCCCATAATATCCTATCCCCATGGTGTAGCTGTATGGGACTGCACACAGAAGAGCCGTTTACAAATGTTCTGTGGAGACAAGAGGTCAAACATGTAAATAATGATTACCATATCTTCTCCTTTAACCTTTAATTTTCCAATACATAGAGATCTAATTACTAGGAAAAACAAAATAATCAATTCCCCAAAATAAAACCTGCCCTTGGAGAATTTTATTTGTATTTACTTCTTTGCTGATTTATCTAAAATGCTTATGGTACTAATATAATAGATTATTATCCTCTATTTTTCAAAGTTCTAAATTTGTTATATAGCATATTAAGCAATAAATATGGAACCACTACAGCCAGTAATAAAAAGATAGTAGTAGTATACATTGCAACTAAAACAAGCATGTCCCACCTGTATGGATAAAAAGAGCCAATCGACCAACTAGACTCTAGAAATATCCACAGATATCAGTACATGAGACCTATGTTAAATACTTCTGTAACTCCCTATAACACAGAAAAATGTCTATATCCTACCAATATGTAGAAGATTTATCAAGTCCACCTGACTGCATATCTTGACAATGGAGTTCAAGAGAAGACAGGATGGGTAGAAAGATATTAAGGAAAGAATCCAGAGGGTCAGGAAAGAAATAGAAAATTATGCATACCACTATAAGACAGATTCCTAGGCTACCACTATCATCACGCCTCTCCCCTGCTGAATGACTCATTTGCTAAGATGTAAAGTTTAAGTTTTTTAACTTGACACTAAAGGTCCTACAAAAGGAAGCCCTCTTTATCTCCTCCTTCTCCTCTTCTAGTGAAACTCTCAACTTCTGCAAAAAAACTGGCTTCTGTTCTGTCCATTAAACAGGATTGACTTCCTCCAAAGCCAGGCTCACACCAGTCCTCCAACCTGGAATAAGGTTCCCATTCTTCTCCACCCCCGAGTCTCATTCAGCTCTCCAAGTCCAGTTTGGTTTCTACTCCCTCTATAAACACTGCTCATCACTCCAGCCTATAGTAACTTTGTTTCTTTAAATTCCTGAAGCACTCACCCGGCTTTATAACACAGGTTATTTTTTATCTATGTGCATACACTCAAAATCTTACTCCCTATCTAGAATTCACTCATCATATGGGTTTTTAAACACTAAAAGTAATTGGTTTTTATACTCCTATGCTCTGATTATTCTAAACACAAGCTCAAAAAATACAGTTTTGACAAGAGAGAACCTACTAAAATTAGCATATTTTAGCCTTTATGACACAAATTCCTTAAATACAATGAGAAGTTTAATTAAAAGCAAACATATAGGCTTACGTTTGAAAGGTGCAGCAATTAAACCATAATTAGTAAATAAAAGCATGAATATAATAATTGCCCCCAAAGTGTGGTCTGCGTGGGGTCCCCAAAATCAAAGTTATTTTCAGAATAACATTAACAGGTTCCCTGCCCTTTTCCACTGTGTTGACAGTTGTGTTGGTGGTGAGTGAAACTGCTGGGGCTCTAACACAAATCAGGGCAGTGGCATCAAACATTACCAGCAGTCACCAGATTATTCACTGCCATGCACTCATAATTAAAAAAGAAAAAAAAATATTCCATTTGAGAACACCCTTGACAAAGCAGTAAAAATTATTACTTTCATTAAATCTTAAGCCTTAAGTACACAATTTTTTAAATATTTCAGGTGACAGGATAAGTAAACGAAAAGCACTGTGTTAGTGCGTACCAAAGTATGATGAGTGTCTTGAGCAAAAGATATATACAAAGTGGTTTTTCAGACTTGTGTAGTTGGCAGACACTCTCGAAAATGAACAAAACCAGCCTATTACTTCAAGGAAAAGAAATGAGAGTATTTATTGCCAATTGTAAATTTCAAGCTTTACAAGTGAAAATTAGAGTTTGGGAAAACTCGCGTCAATGTCCTCCAACCAAAGACCACCAGAAACATTTCTGAAGCTGAACAAGCTGGGTTTGTTACTGGTGCAGAGGGAGAAGACACACCACGGAAAGCACGGGGTGTTTCAGTAAGGGGCTGCTGGAAGGATTTGCTGCAGGATTTGGGCTTTAACTGGACAACCTAGGAGAGGGGCTAAGGAAGTGAGGGTTCTGGATATACAGGATGGTGTCAGAAAGCAGGAGTGATTCTACAATTGGGTATTTCAAAACTCTTATCTACAGAAGGGAGACTAGAACAAGGATAAAGTTGTAATCAGTGAAGTAGCTGTCAACCACATCGGCCAAGAGAGGGTGTTTGGTATATCGTGTATGGCACAGTAACCTGTTTTTGCCTGCTTTGCCTTATTTTATCACAGCCTCAGAGTAGCCTTGTCTGAGGCTGGTATTCTGCGATATTATTTATGCCTAAAGGAGAACAGCATGGCCTGGCTGGGAGTGCCAGGCCAGCTTCTGCTCTCTTTTCCTTTCTCACTTGTATCCTTACCATGAGTTTGACAGCTTCCTAATACTTAAAGACTTTATGAATGAAACCAGTGATGCTACTAGTGATTTTTTGATATCATATAGTCAACATTTGGAAGATCAGTATAAATCAGTTAACGATCATCTATAATAGGTATTAACAGTTATATAACAGCTTTACAGCGTAAGGAAACAAACTGACAAACATTTAATTTATATAATATTATGACCATTCATTCATTACTTTTTGAGCACTTACATACTATTCTTATATTACATGCTAGGGATAGAGAACAAAAAAAAAAAAGGTCCTGTCCTCAAGGAATTCAAAGTCCAATGGGATGATAAAGGTTAACAGCCCACAAGAATACAACTTAAAGTATTAACATAACGGGAAGCATAACGCGCACTGGAATATATACCAGGGGCCCTTAATTTAGACCCAGCAGGGAACTCTCCAAAGTAGATAATAACAGAGCTTAACCTTGACGGTCAAACAGAATTCCTTGCTGGTCAAAGGACTGGCAGATGCAAAGTAACAGGAGACAAACAGGAAAGATATAAGTGATTCTTTACCAAAAACAGTGAAAGCCATCTGGCTGTATGGTGAGTGAACCAGGAAAAAAATTAAGGTGCCAGCAGGGGTTCCAATCAAGATTTGATGAGGGCCTTATTTAAATATGGCCACAGCAGTGGGTATAGAGAGGAGGGGATGGTTTAAGAGATAATAAAAAGCTAAATATAAAGGTCTTAGTAACTAACTGGATATCTTCATTAAGTGAACTTAAAAGCATTTAAGCAAACTTAAAAGCAAATAAAGGCTAAACGTCCTATATACCATCCTCAACTAGTGTACTCTCTTCCTCTGAAGAATTATTGTGACATTAACACTAATTAAAGTCCATTACCTGGTATTCTTTTGAGGAGTCAGCATAACCTGGCCTTCTGATGTGATGTCTATAATACAATGTTCAGGAAGAATTCCCATTCCACATAGTTGGATATCCTGGGAATTTGCTGAACCTATCAATGTATGTTCCTACAAAAGAAGAAAACTTACTGATTAATATTGTATTCTTACATGTACACAAACTGAAACCATCTACTCTGAGCCCTCATATGTTAATCCATTACTGTAGCTAAAAGATTTTTAAAGCAAATGGAATAGTAGAGGAAATTTCTACAGAATAAAATTCATTCTACAAGTTACATTTCCTTATAAGGAACAAGCACTGAATTGTTATATCTTTTAAACCTAAAACTATAGCTTTATATTAATTTCTATACTATATTCATCATTTTTCATTGCAATCTTGATTCCAAATATTTCATACAACTCTCAGAGCACAAGCCATGTGCCAATAATGTACCAAAAGTATTAGTCTGAAAACTATAGTTACTTAATTTGTACATCACTTACCTGCTCTCAGTCAAGATGAGCCAACTACAAAGACAAAAAGCTATTTAAATATAAGGAGTTTGAAAAGACTAAAACTAATTTTATGAGTCACATGGTCTCCCTAAACCTCAGAAAAGACAGGATAGATGTGTTCTTCCTTACCATAGACCCCCAATTGCTCAATTCTCTAAACCCCAGTCACCAGCCTCACTTTTTGGCAGGTAACTGAGAAAACTGACATAAAAATCAAGCTCCCTCTTATGCGCTTCAACATTTGACTGCCCACACATAACTAAATGCCAAAATGACCTTGATGTGTCCCTTGACCACCTTCTCCTTTCATATGCCATGGTCAAGGGTCAGATATGAAATATTTTAGGCTTTACAAGTTATATGCAACTACTCAACTCTGCCCTTGTGGTGTGAAAGCAGCCAGACTATATACAAATGAACAAGTGTAGCTACTTTCCAAATAACTTTATTTATGAACACTGTAATTTGAACTTCATGTAATTTTCATATGTCTAAAATATTACGATTCCTTTCGATTTTTTTTCAACCATTTAAAAAAATGGAAAACCCAGTCTTAGCTCCTGGGCCATATAAAAACAGGCAGGGAGCTAGATTTGGCCTGTGGAAGTAGGTTGCTGACCCCTGACCACGATGACCTCATCCAGCCCCATGGGCTTTAAATACTGTCTACACATAAATTAAACCACAGACCAGGAACTACAGACTTTACTTCCATTATTCTCCCACCTCCACTACCACAGTCACCATTATTTCTTGCCTATGTGGCACAACTTAGATGTCTAATGACATTTCAAAGTGAAAGGGACAAAGCAGAACCTTTGTTTCCCCTGCACCCAATGACTCTATGCCCTTCTCCAATAACAATGGCACTACCACCACCCAGTTAGTCAACGAAAAAGCTTAGATCCTATCCTAGAGTCCTCTCTTTCCCTCACCAGCTACTCCTAGCCCCGTGTCAATCAGGATGTCCTTACAGATTCTGCCTCCAAAACATACAAAGAATCAGCTCACTTTCCCCGCCTCTACTATCACATCTTAGTCTCTTGCCGGGGTGAAAACAAGAGCCTCCTACTATGTCTCCACTTCTACCCCCTTCATCCCCATCCACTCCTACCACAACAGCTGATCATGTGATCTCCCTATTTAAAACCCTCTAGCAGTTTCCCTTTGAACATCTAACGAAGTTCAAATTCTTACCTGGGCTTATAAAACCCTCTGCAATCTGGCCCCTGCCTACCTCTGTTATCCAGGCTCCTACCACTCTCCCTCTCCCGGAACATGATCCAGCCACATTGGCTTTTTATCTTTTCTTTGAGCACACTAGCTGTTCCCTCTGTCAGAAACGTTCTTCCTTTGATCTTGAAATTGGTAGCTTCTTAACATTTCTATCTCAGCTTTTAAGGGCACATCCTCAGAGAGGTGTATCCTGAATGGATAACAAGAAATAGCCACCCATCACTCTCATTTTTAAATTCCTTACATATCACTGACTGTTCGTGGGTTTACTGTCCATCTCTACAGCTAGCATGGAAACTCCAGGAAAGCAAACAGCCTGACCTGCTCACCACGGTAATCCACGCACTTAACAAAGGCCTGGCACATTTAGGCCTTAAATAAAAATAAAAGAATAATAAATAAACAATAATTTCCCTTAGCATTCCCTTCAGCTCAATGGAAGATGACTCTCTCCTCTTCTTTGCAGGAAACTCGTCTAATTATATTCTGAGTCCCAATTCTTCCCATCTTTTCTGGGATCTCAGTCTCGTAAAAGGCCTCTTCCCTCTAGTATTTTCATTTCCACTTTTCTGGGGGTTTCTTCTCTCAAATACATTGCAGAGGTGTTTCCAAGGAAACAAAGCTCTGGGATCCAGAACTGTCCCATGGAATCCTGTTCAATCCTCAAGTAGTGTATAAAATAGAGAGGACATTCCAGGCAAATGATAGTCCTCACTATAAGCTGAGGCTTCCTGGCCAAACCCACACCTCCATAACCTGGAGCACAGGGCTCGACTAGGTGTAAACTACAAGTAAGGCTTTTGTGACGGTCAGTAGTAGGTCAAAGAATCTATTCCATGCCTATCTCCATTCCTCTCTTTGGTTCTTCCCTCTCTGTCTTACAACACCAACTGCAAGGTGAAGAGAAGTTTAAAAAGGAAAAAAATGTCCGTAGAGAAAAAGGGCCCAAGATCACCTGAAAAAGAAGAAAAAAATCCCCCAAAATTTGCCCTAGGCCACTTCTATGTAGAATCTCTTTCCTCCTCCAGAGAGAAATTCTAGCAGGAGTCTTAATTGTGCCTTTGGAATCCCTTCTATCCTCTGGAGTAGAGGTGGAGAAAGCCTAGAGCCATACCCTAGGTTGGAGTTTGAGTGCAGGACCAGCTCCCACTACCACACTCCAAGATGGCACACAGGTTCACTCCCACATCTTTGCCTTTACTTTTGTTCTCATTGCCTGAAATGTTCTTCTCTTCCCTTCCTCTAAATACAAAGTATCTTTCAACACTTACTTCTAACTTCATCTTCTACTTGAAGGTTTCACATTAGCCAGCACTGACTTCTCCCTTCTCTGAACTCTGACTACAATGAGAGTCAATACCACAACTTACTATCACACAACTTCTCCCTTACTTAGCTAGCAAACTCTACAGGACTCTTGCATCTTCTCCAACAACAAGCATAGTACAAATACACGGTGGGTGCTAAATGTCTGTTGATAGACTGAAGTAAAAATTATCAGAGACAAGATATTAACTCAAATATGCAAAGGTTTAATCCAAGTTCTAGAAGGAAAATTTCACTTTTTCGAGAAATACTACACTGATCACCTATTTTGAGCTGGGAACTGAGCCACTAGAGACAAGAGACAGACACGGTCCCAATTATAGAGCTTACGTTATAAATGACAACTTAAACCTCTCATTGGAGGTTATAAGGATTCTATTCTGATTTGGATGAGGATTCGCTACAATCTCAAACACTGAGTTCTAAAAGCCTTACTGTTCAATGTTTAAACAAGTCAGACAATAAGCTTTTTGAGAAGGTCTTCCCATTGTGCTCTAAACACGGCAAGAAGAAATTGAGTCTGAGGAAAAAAATAAACATCATAGGTTGATATAGAAGTTTATCTAATGAGTAAATGCTGCGACAGTAAAAAGTAATCAAAATAAGATAATCAGGGATACTTTTTCAGTCTCTGTGATCCATGGGTATAATGACTCTAAAGTATACTACTTTTAGGGAAAACTTTAGCAAATATAAAATACTATATTTAAAAATCTCAGAAGTAATCAAAGGATAGGAATTGCTTTTTATCCTTTCTTCATCCATTTAAATTTAATCTCACTGAAGATGACTAGTTAACTATCCTATGAATTTACTGTACCTGCTTCCTTTATAAGTCAACTCTTTATGTATCTGTTTTGAGAATCTTGCTTTGATCAACTAAGTCCTGAAAGAGAGAGAAAGAGAGACAGAGAAACAGAAGGAGGGAGTGGGGGAGGAAGATGGAGAGAGAGGACGTGTTCATTAGTGCCATATTTCACAGGGTGGCTTTTCCTATCCTACAAGCAGGAAAAGGAGCATATTGGTACAGTCTGTGCAGTCCCTTAACCCTGTCAGACAACTTCTCAAGGAAAAGGTAAGTACGTACCAGGCGCAATAAGCAGAAAAGTATTCGTTACTCTTTACATATTTAAGTAATCAAAATTCTTTAATCGAGAAGTCTCCCTAGCTTAACAGAACCAAGACCCTGAAGACAGCTTTTCTGGAATGGAGGTGAAGAAAGAAAGAAACATATCTTTCTGTCTTTTACAAATTCCATTACTACACTAGATGAGCCGAACTGCTGCCAACCAAGAACTCCTAACGTGCCACGACTGCGTCTTACTCATCTTGGGTTTCCTGAAGCCCAAGCCACAGCTCCACAAACACTGAGTGGCTACTGCCCCTGCCATTCTGGCCACCCCAACTGGCGACTGCGAACACTGGCAGAGACGACAGTCAGTTTACTCTCCACGGGAGCCATGCTAGAGGACCAACATGTACTTTGAAGCTGCTGCTGAATCCATTGTACAAAGTCTTACCCAGTGCATACATGTATAATTTGTCCCAAATCCTTCAGAATCACCCACTTCCCCAGCCATTGATAGCTGACTTGTGAAAACAGTAAATCCAGAACCACATAAGCAGAGCAGCTCTCCTTAAAGATTTGGTGGATAATTCAAAGGTGTGATTAGAATCATACTATGAGCCCATTTCTGTAATTAAAAAAATGTGTATCAGAATAAATCCATACACATACATATAGGAACAGATCCAGAGGACAGAGATAAAATATTAACTATGAAGTACGGTCATCTCTGGGTGTTAGAATTTGGGTGCTAATCCACCCCTTTTTTTTCTAATAAGTTTTTATAAAACTTTTTAGGAAAAAAAAGTATATTACTAGCATAAGGTTTTTAAGGTGAGGGGAACAGCTCTTCCCTCTAGAAGCTTGGCTCATCCTGGATGGTGTAAACCTCCAAGTACACCTCAGAACTCACTTGGCACGAGGGTGCAGGACTGTAAAAATAACTTTGCAAAGAGATCTGAATAATCAATGAGAAAAACTGCAGTTATTCTGTGACCTTTAAAATAGTCTGTAAAAACATTAAGAATTCTCTTACTGTTATAACATATAGGGAAACGAAAACGAAAAAATAGAAAAACTGATATTCATTTAGTACACTGTAATTTAGAACATTAGAAACACTGAAATTTAAAGCATTTTATTTCTTTGTTAAAAGCTTATCCAGAGTAATTTGAATAGTGCTTGCCTTCTTCTCAACATGTAACTCAATATGAATATGGAATGTGCATATTTTCCCTGCCGTGGCAAATTGTCATTCTTCTTCCTAAGATTCCACCATTTTATATCCTTTGTGCTTTCAATGCTGCAAAATATCTCCAAACAGTTCCTTTACTGTGAAGTGTTTTCTGGGATCACTCCCTTTGAGAAACCTTCATTCTTATCATCACAACCACTTTCATTATTTATATTGATAAATTCACCTTCACTGAGCTCCTCTGGCTGTGTATCTAGAAACTCACAAACAGCAGCAGTGTCATCACTTACTAAATCGGGGTAACTGGAATTTGTGTATTTTGGAACCATGTGTTGTATACGAAAATTAAATACCAAATTATCTTGTGAGTTATGTCCTATCTATGGTTGGGCCACCATACCTTGCCTATGCCAGTTCTAGACAGAACAAATTTCTTGCAGAGAACTATACAATTTGGAACTAGAAAGAACGTTAGAAATCATTTAATCCAGTGCCCTTATTTTACAGACGGGGTGATGAAAGTCACCCTGAGATGTGAAATCATCTGCCCAGCATCTAGACTGACTTGAGAATTTGAAAGCAAAGAAATAAAAAACGCTCAGCCTCCAAATTCCTCCATCCCACATCATGGTATCGCTTTACTGAAGCAAAAACTGTTCTTGGACCAAGACCATCCCTTGAATGTGCTTTGTCATGAATATACTTTTGTAATGGGGTTAGCTTGGGCACTGAAGAAATCAACACGGCCTCAAACCCTGCCGAAACGGGGCTGACCACACAGTCTGCAACAGAATCCCAACACCTCCACACGAGACAACCAGAAATATTTGGAGTACTCTCCAAAAGTCTTTAAATAGCTTCTTTGTTTAATTTTTCAGTTAAGAAACAGATATGAATCAGGTTTTTTTTCTTCTTGGGTGCATGTGTTTGTGTGTCCCAATTTGAACTTTATCACATCAAAAAGAAAATGAATTCATAGTTCTGAGAAATAAAAAGTGTAGACTATTTAAATCCTATTCTAATATCGCATCTCTCCGAAAGCATATGAATACCTACAGCTGAAATTCTAACACAAAATGCTGCAAACATTTTTGGAAGTACAGTAAGTGACGTGACAACACATCATGGTTTTCAATAGACAAGGATAAAATATATATAAGGTACCACACAGAGTACCGAATGAGAAAACGAAATGTGGAATACTTAAAAAAAAATTTTTTTTTTAAATTTTTCCTTCTTCTCCCCAAAGCCCCCCAGTATATGACTGCATATTTTAGTTGTGGGTCCTTCCAGTTGAGGCATGTGGGATGCCACCTCAGCAGGACTTGAGCAGAGAGCCATGTCCGAGCTCAGGATCCGAACCTGTGAAAACCTGGGCCACCAAAGTGGAGCACGTGAACTTAACCACTCGACTACAAGGCCGGCCCCAGGAATATTTTATATTTATATAGTGCTTCTGTTTATAAAGTCCTTCTATATATCAAGTATCATTTAATCTTCATAAGAACCTTGTGGAGGTTGCCAGACAAAGACGACTTCCATTTATAGAGGAAGAACTGTAGACTGGAGGGGGCTAAGGACTTGAGACCAAACGTCTGTTAAGTTGTGGGACTGGACTAGAACACAAGCCACTCTCTCCCACTCTGGTGTTGCTCCCACTGCACCACAATACCTAGAGTGCACACATAACTGTATGGACCAGACACAATTTAACTCACAGCGTCACAAAACATGGTGTAAGACACTTATTAATAAAGAGCTTTATCAAACAACAAAAACATTTATCCCAAGATATCTTTGACAAAAACTGAGAATTAGCCAACGTGTCATGAATTCTTCAGTCTCTCTAGAAATGAAATGACACATCTCTCTAATTTTAAAGCTACTTCCAGATTTACTAGCTCATTATCTTTACTATGCTAGTCACTTGAGTAAAACTCACATGGATAGTTCCTGTACTATGAGGGGGCAAAAACTTTCCTCCCAACATTTATTAACCGCATATTAAGAGTCCATCATATAATTCATTTATGCTCTGGGCTTGACAAAGGCAATTTTGGCAAGCTCCTCATAATCTATGTAGTGTCTCAGGATTCATGCTCATTCTAAAGTTGTCTTTTGTCTTCCTGATATGTCCCACAACTTAGAGGTTTCATCGTATATCACTATTTGGTTTTTTTCTATTCCATACTCTGACCTTCTCAGTCTCTAAGTGACTTAACTCTTTTTTTATAAGTTGATAATCCAAATTTTTAAGTTTTCCTAAGAGTTACTGGAAACACAAATTTCACATCAAGTGGTCCTAAGAACATAACTTTCTTTAAACATTTCCTCTTGCAAGCTAACAAACCACTCAGAAAAAGGTGTGCTTCATATCAATCACAAAAGCTTTAGGCTCCTAACGAATCATTTACTTTTAAAAGTCATTCTTTAAGCTTTAAAGTTATCTACTTAACTCCCTGGTATAAATCATATTAAATAATAGTAGCTAAGCTACCTAATTTCCTGGAAACAATATCGGAATATGATTTTTTAATTTACTAGGTTGAATGACATCAAAGACTGAAAAGAGAAACTGATCCCATAAACCCAAGATTTTTCTACACTTGAGTTTGCACAAATAAAAACCAATTTGCTCATTAGTTTTGAGCATGGTTCTCCAAGTTTAAAAAAACCACTAGGAAATATTGTTCTCCTCAGCAGAAAATAGTAGCAAAGCCTATTACTTCACCTTTAAATAGTAAACCAGAAGTTCATTCAGAGCAGGATCAGCATTCAGATTAACAAGGAAACATTTATCATCCCCGACTTTAATTCCAGAAGACTGAAGAGATATTCCAAGGCTCTCAAGCTGTTTCTGTCGCTCCTGTAAATGTATCAGAGAAGTATTAATTCCACGGCTATTGAGACAGCAAGATATAAAAGATCTTACATTAGAATAATTACTAAATAAGTGTATAATTCAAATATGTTATTTTAGGACAAGGTATTATAGATTACTGCATTTTTTCTCTTTCTAAACTATACAATGTTGTTTTATTTTGTTAATTAAAATATTTTTTATTTTGAAATAAAGCCATCACAGATAGCAACCAACTATACTATTGACTTCTCAATTTTCATTCTTGAAAATATCTAACATCTTGAATTCACCTTTCTCATTTAATTCTGTGTATATGAACAAATGTAAGTGTGTTTTACTCAACTGTGATCTGTCTAAAAAGCCAAGTTTTTAACATACTCTCTTACATGATATCCTCAGTGACCCCCTCCTCTCCCCTCCAGCAAGCATAAAGGCCAAACTCCCTCAACAGGCCCTTCAGTCTGGCCCATTTACTCTCCATCTTCACATCATGTCACTCCTCCTCTCAAAGCCTGGACCACAGTTACATGGAACATCTTCCAGGTGCCTGAAAGCATCAAGAACGCTCTCTTTAGCTTGAGGGATTTTACAGTGCTCCTTCTGTCTGGTGCATACTTGGACCCACACTGGGTAACTGTTTACTTGACCATTTCTCTGTGAGGGCACGGATCCCACCTATCCACTGTGTGTCCTAGCACCTAGCACCCTGCACACGAGCAATGAGCATCAAAACATCAGTGTTGCGAATTTATCAAAATAAAACTTGCATATGCATTCAAGCACTATTTTCATAAGAATATGAACCTTTCTTTTTTGTGCCTACCTGTCTCTGAATCCCCACAATATATGAATGCATGCACACAGGGAGATACATATGAATCCTGCAACCGACGCTCCCTGATTAAGGTGTATATGAATTGGGGCAGAGTAGGGTGTCTTTGACTACGTATAAATATCTAGTAGTAATGAGTCACAGCCACCAAGGACCTTTGACTGTAAGGAAAGACAAGACAAGCTAAGTCTTTTAACTAAGGCCACACAGTAAGTCTGCAGTGTAACTAAATTATAGCCTCAGAATTTTGTTGCTTCTAGGCATACCATCCTACTTTATATGGCCACCGCAACCCGGTCAATACATCTCACTTAGAAGTATACTATTACAAAAGTAGGGAAGGAGACATTCTGGTTCTGGGCCTTTGAATTAAGTCTGTCTTCTAACAAAAAACACTTTGGGGTTCTTTCAGGAAGTTTTGAGTAGTTTAGCACTAGACATTATGGTTCTCAGCACTCAATTCTAAGAAATTATTATTTTTGATAAAGAACCATGTTCCTAAAATGAGGACAGCAGTTCCAATATATTTTGTGTAGCCCCTTCTGAGGGAAGGCTCTTTTATGTAGGAATCTTGGTGGGTAATTAAAGAATTATTCCAATAATGAGAAGAAACATTCCTCTATAAAAATGTCTTTTTTTTTTTTGACATTCTACAAATGACATGGGTAGATGCTCATGAACTAACATTAAATGAAAAATGCAGGGTATAAATTAGTATGTCAATTTGTGCACCAAAAAAACTGAAAGAAAGTGCAAAGATATGAACAGTTTTCTCTGGATGACTGCATCACAGTTAAATTTTCTTCATAATAACCTTTCTATATTTTCTATAAATAAATACTACTTTTGTAAAACAATAGTTTCTTCTACTTTACTCTTATGACTCTATTAATTCTCACTACGGAAATAATTCAAAGATCTAGAAGAAATCTGATTATTGTCATCTAGAGGCAAAATTTTAATTGTACAGAAACAAAGGTAAGCCTAAAAAAGAATATATGAATTAACAAAGGTAAAGCCACTCAGAGTAAGGGAAAAGACAGGACTAAAATGAGATAATGTATATAAAACAGCCAGGATATACCTAAATAGCATATGACACATAGTAAACACTCAATAAATGTTTTAAAAGATAAATTAATAAACTAAAATCTTTCTAGCTCCTACTGGTGAAATCTAAAAATCTGAGTCTGACATTCAAAGCCCTCTAGAGGATGGCCAAGCTTACTAATGTTATTTCCAACTACTCCCATACTCCCCAATAATGACTTTCTGACTTTTGCTCAATATTGATTATTGAATATGGAATGTTACTGAATATAGGTTTGTCCAAGGTCATTGACCAAATCTATACTAGAGGCAGGAATATTAATGAATAATTCTCTAAATTATCAGTGATAGTAAACTATTGTTTTACACTACTTCTTATGTATTTTCCTGTCACTTGAGATTTTATAATGGTAAAAATACCACAAAATTTTTATCTAAATCAAAAAAATACAATGGTGGAAACTGTCAATTCACCATTATATCTGCCACCAAAAACTTTGAAGTTCTTAGTCATCAAAAAAAAACAAAAGTTCGCAACATCTAAGAATCAGTTTGTAAAATAAAAAAGTATTGTAGGATAAAACATAGTTATGTTTACTGATACCACTAAATATTACTTCTGATACCAGAGGCTGGTGAACTTTTTCTGTAAAAGGTCAGGTAGTAAATATTTCAGTCGTTCTGGGCCCTGTGGTCTCTGTCACAGCTATTCAACTCTGCTGATGAAGCCATAAATAATACTCAAACAAAGAAGCGTGGCTGTGTTCCCACAAAACTTTATTCATGAAAAGAAGTGGGAGACCAGGTTTTGCCCAAGGGCATAGTTGCCGACCCCTGATCTATCTCAAGGTTTTCATTTCACTTAAGTGTGCATTTCTTAGTGAGAGTATAAAAGATGAAAATAGGAGACAATTTGGTATCAGAGATATGGCCCTGGGCTTAGAAATTAGTCAACCTAGGGTTCTGTACATTTACTCAAAAGTATTATTGAGCAAACACTTTTAAAACTAAAAGATGTGGCCTTTTTTCTTGAGAACCTTCCAAATTCATTAGGTAATAAAAGTATAAATGAAAAATTGAATAGTAAAGTACTGCATGATTTAAGGGTCAAATGGCTCCAGATAGCTTCCACTGGAATTAATGGCAGGGACTGGCATACTAGAGCAAGATGTCACAGAGCACACAGGACTTATGAAGAGCCTGGCTGACTTGAAACAGACTCCCAAAAATGATGTAAAAAGTCCTTCAAAAAACAAATCCATTTAACTTAGTTCAACCAGATTTTCCCAGTTATCTGACCATGGACCATTTTTTCCCCAGAAGACTTATTAACAATTTGTGGCTATACTGCCAGAAATACATTTTGGGAAATACTAGTCTGTATCGCAAAGAGGTCAACAGACTAGGTCTTTTCCAGTGAGAGAGGAGAAAGCTCAGCAGCACTACAGCCTAGGGGCTGAGAAAGATAAGATGTTGAATGAGGTGCTGGATAAAATCAGGCATAGTCCCGAAAAGGGACATCTGAGAGAGGGAGAGGATGGCTAGGTAAGGACAGATGCTAAAGATAAGCTCCCTCACGCTGCAATCTCACTTAGATCTGCCCTGCTTTGTACCAGCAAAGCAGCCCAAGGACAGCAGCGCTTCAAAGTCAATGTTTTAGTTTTGGAATAGCTCAAAATACTCACACAAATTAGTTCCAAATTGAACAATTACTAGAACGACTTAAAATATATGAAAAGCAAAAGTGAAATATGTAATGAGAAATCAAGTTTATATTCTGGTGTATCCTCTTCTCTGTAATTTGAGGGATATGCTTTAAAATAACCCAGTGCAGGGATATAGATAAAACAAGATCAGTCATATGTTGATCTTTAACGAAACTGGGTGATGGGGACATGTGGGTTTATTATACTCTTCTTTTTATCTCTTTTGAAAATCACTATAATAAGAAATATTTGAAGAATCTACTTAAATCCTAGTCAGCACTAATATAAATATAACATCCGCTTTATACTACATAATAGTAGTCCTGTCCTACAACATCTGATATATGGATTGATTCTGGACAGCACATTTAAAGATGGAATTTACTGAATAAGTAGCAAGTTTATATATTCCCTAAAACAAGGAATCCTTGAGAATACTAGAGACTTTTAACTTTAGAAAAGGAGGGGAAGAGGCAGAGGCGACTTTAAATGTCTGGCTAGCCACAGGCCCTGTCTGCGCGGCTGTTGAGAAGATTAAATAAAATACCATATTGAGTAGTGCTTAGCATAGGGCCCAACACACAAGGACACCCAATAAATGTTGGCTATTACTCTTTTTATTAGTTTCTGCAGACACATGGGACACTTATTCTCTTAGCTTTGGAAGGCCAATGAGCAGAAATGAAAGAATAAAAGATTTTGATTAAATAGCGACTATTAGAGTTGTCCAATCATGAAAAGACTGCTCGATAGGGCACTGGGCTCCACATTATCATATGCATTTCTAAAACAGAGGCTGAATGACCAACTGACAGGAAAGCCAGAGAGTCTTTTACTACGTAGACACTTGCAAATTTTAGGATTTTCTCCAAATGCTAATGTTCTCACCCTAAAATTTCTCAACTCTATATTAAGTATTCTAAAACTGAGAGGCAGTCACCTCAGATTTAGGTATTTCATATTACTTTTACTGTGTTGTCATATGGAAGCAAGAAGCTCATAGCCTACCATCCATCACTAATAATTTTGTAGCTAGGGCACATTCTTTAGGTCTGCAACGCACTTAACAGAATTGAGTTTTCAGAGCCAGAGGCGACAAAGTAGTTGTATTTCATTAAAAAAAATTTTATGACCCTAAAAAAGTATTTCCTACATAATAAACAATCGATTGTAATTACATCTTTTTTATCCTTCAAATTAACTTCATAAAGTATAGACTCTTGGATCTAGATTCTTATTAATGGTGCTAGATTTGCTATCTTCAAAGCTAAAAATAAAAAGGAACCAGAAAGGCCATCTTAGTCACACTGCGCAAACTGCCATGAGGTTTCTCTCTCTAATCAGGAAGCACGAACCTGTGCAATCTCCTCAGTTTTCCTTAATTTCTCCTCCCAGGTCACAGTCATTTCCTGGATTAGCTTCTCTGATTCTTCCAGCCGGTCTTTTAGCTCTGGAGATTTCATTGCCTACAAGCAAAATGTTTATATCATGAAACGTCTGCATGATGCCCTGAAAAAAGCATTAGCTAAATCCAGGACAAAAGTAACAATCTGCCTCGCCTCAGCTCTACAGCTCACTGAGGTCTCTGATCTACCCAAGACCTAACAGTGACTCACTGACGCACAGCCTCCCAACAGCGTGGGTCCCACAAACTCACTCAGTTATCCAAGGTGGGCTTGAAAGGAAGACAACTACTTCCGCTTCCTTCAACCCATTGTTATTGTGCAGATCTAATTACATTTAAGGAGACGGAGAGTTCAAGCTATCAAGGCTTTTCTTAAATCCCAATAGGTCTTACATCTAGACTCATACACATGACTCATCTAGTCTTTATTGATGACTTCAGGTATTTATGCAAATACACACAGACTAAATTCGTACATGTTACAACCTGGATGGTGTCATTAATACCATGAATACAGAAAGAAAATTTCAAAAAATCTTGATGAACTGTAAAATTATTCCTATAAAAACAGGATAAAATTCAACAGGCAAAAATAAGATAACTGGGGTTTTTTTCTTTTTTGGAAGGGAAAGATTTGCCCTGAGCTAACATCTGTTGCCAATCTTCCTCTTTTTTTTTGCCCCTCCCCAAAGCCCCAGTGCACAGTTGCATATCCTAGTGGTAAGTCCTTGAGTTCTTCTAAGTGAGCTGCTGCCACAGCATGGCAACTGACAGACAAGCAGTGTGGTTCTGCAACCCGGAAACGGACCCAGGCTGCCAAAGCGGTGTGCCAAACTTCCACTACTAGGCCCTCAGGGCAGGCTCAAGATAATTGTTTTGATCATATATTTTACCAATTTCATACTAGAAAATGAGTTATGAGTAAGAAGAGCACGATGGTCCCAGCCCCAGGAAAGAGTCTCACAGTGCTGGGAAATTGTGGGAAGAGAAATGCTAAATAAAGCAGAGATCCTGAATCTGATATTTTATTCCACTTTTGACAAGATGATGAGCATTTGGTTGTAGGTTAGAATTGTGTAGGTTTCAAATTCAGTAATGGAACACATCATAGAATGTACAAAGGACAGTGGAAATAGAGTACCGTTAAATAGATGGGTACTTCTGCTATAAAATTATTTTTTCCTACAAATATAATTAACCCACAACACAGAAAAACTAGATTATTAAGGTGTGTAAGACCTGCTTAAGATTTCCGTTCTGACTTCAACCTGTGAACAAATGATACAACAAAAATCTGATTCTTCTTCCAATTAGTCTATGCCCACTCTCCACCATTTTCTGCACTAAAATTAAACTATACGGATTTGTTGCAAGTGTCTCTCTCTCTCCCTTATTCTATTATACCTCTTCTCAGATGCCTATACTGTGGCAAGCGACATTTTCTCAATTCCCTTTATTCTCTCTTCCTTTTCAATCCTTTAACATCTGAAAAAACTCCCTAAATTTCAACTATGACAATCTATCTGTCTTCCTTTATTTATTACTCATCTTAAATTTCTCTTCCTAGGGGACTGGCCCCGTGGCCGAGTGGTTAAGTTCATGTGCTCCCCTCCAGCAGCCCAGGGTTTTGCCAGTTTGGATCCGGGGCACGGACATGGCACCGCTTGTCAGGCCGTGCTGAGGCGGCGTCCCACGTAGCACAACCAGAGACATTCACAACTAGAATATACAACTGTGCACTGGGGGGCTTTGGGGAAAAGAAGAAGGAAAATAAAAAAGGAACATAGGCAACAGTTGCTAGCTCAGGTGCCAATCTTTAAAAAAAAAAAATTTCTCTTCCTATAGGAAAATCAAAAATTCTAAGTGGGGTACTCATCACTTATGGCGAAGAGAGGAAAATTCAAGTTCTAGCATTAGTAGATTTTCTCAGACCCCTAAAGCGCCACTTGGCTGTGCCTTATACCTCTGCTTTGGTTAGCTGCTCTCGGAGTTTCTCTACTTCTTCCCGGAGATCTCGGATAATTCGTGCATTAGGATCCTCATTCACCACAGCATGGTTCACGATGTTCTTGGCGCGATCTGCATACCGCAGAGTTGAAAGGGTTTCGTCATAGTTATCAGCTGCCGGACTCACAGTTGCTACCATGGCTGTCTTGCTGTTACCCCCAAGACTGTCCTAGAGGAGAAAATTAATTTGGCAGCATTTTAAAGTTGGACAAAAACACCATGAGAAATTTGAAGTCAGAAATGGTGAAACAACATCTCACGGTCAAACACAAATTTAAGGACAAAGCTAGGACTAAAATATAGGTATACAGACTCCCAGGCCCATGTTCTTTCTTCTCTGCCAAGCAGCTTTTCGGCAAAAGAGAGCTTTGGTTTTTGAGAAAAGACAGGGAAATACAATGAAGCCTATATTTATTTCAGTTTAATAAAAATTAATTCTATGTCAATTTATCCACTTTTAACAGAGAACATGATACTGTAAGTCAGCAGACTACTCAGAAGAAAAAAGGATGATTTCTTAAATGCCTACAAAATCTTCCTTAGAGGAACCGAGCACTGGTGATATTATCTGTTATCTGGTCAAAGGTTGATTACCCACAATCTACTCCATAACCACCGCGTACTTGGAGTCTCTGTGAAGCCTGAATAAGGGCTCAGAAAGTATTGCTGTTACAAGCTATCAAGCACCTTGTCAATTTTTAAAACATAAGGTACAACTACAGTCTTAGAAAACAAAAGATATGTTGAACATACTTCATTTTATTCCCTCTGATAGCCCTTCAAAAACCACTAACATCGGTTTCATGTTCTACATAACCACTTCTACAGTTCAGACAAGGGTGCTGAAAAAAAGATACTCATCTTCACTATACTAAAACTGGTAAGATATTGAAATAGGCTCCAACAAATTCAAAAAACTGCTTTCACTTGAGAACATTAAAAATAACTAGATATAATTCAGAATGACAAAACTAGGCTTGGGAAGTCAGGTCTACCCCAACTCCACTTCACCACACCAAGGCTGTGTGTCATCCGCCCATGGCAGGCAGCCTCTAAGACAGTGCCAGTGTATCATCCCCAGCCCTTGGTGGACAGGACTTGCTGATTTGCCTCTAACAAACAGAACACAGAGGAAGTGATGGCCTGTCACTTCTAAAGTTAGATTATAAAAGGACCATGGCTTCTGTCGTGGCTGTTTTCTCTTGTTCTGGAAGAAACCACTGCCCTGAGTGAGGTGGCCTCACCCACAGGAGTGAGTTTGGAAGGAGATTTTCTGAAGCCTGCTGACAATCACTTAGGTGAGCAGTTCCAACTCCAGACAAGCCCTGCGATGATGGCAGCCCCAGACGACACTTGACTGCAGCCACATGAGAGAGCCCAGCTAGAACCACTCAGTTAAGCCGCACCCAGAATCCTGACCCATAGAAACTGTGAGATGATGAATGTCTGCTGTTTCCAGCTGTTACTTTCTGGGGGTCATCTGTTACATTGCAATAGATAACTACTAATACAGTAACATACCATCCCAGGATGAGGAGAATTACCCAAAAGACCAGATTCAATACCCTCTTTCAGTAATAGAATATCACTGAACTATAGATTCTCAAGACTGGAGAGAATATTTAAACAGGCCAGTAATGGGGAATTCATTAGATCACAAGAAAGCCAATTCTACCTCTAGGCAGTATTAACCGCCATAAAATTCTTACTTTTGAAGACACAAAGTTTTCCCACTATCAACATATCTAAACTTTGTTTAAGCAATCTGTGACTTACAGAGTCTTTGTACATAAACTTTACTTTAGTCTTCAGCCTTTTGTGAATTACATTATTACTATCCCTATTTGACAGATGAAAAAACAGAGGTTTGTTCTGACAAAGGAGGTTGAACACCCTGTCTAAAGATCCAGAAGTAGTAAACTAAACATATTCTAGTCCAGTTGTCTTCTGCCTTCCAGTCCAATATCATTTCCACTCCCCTACAACTACCCATAGTCGCACAGTAACAAAATAACACTTGGCAGCACAGAGAGAGCTCAGACCAGAGGAATGAGTAAAGTGAACCTGACACCTTTCCAAATTATTTTGTCCTAGTGCCAGAAACAAAACAATTGCCTAGCTATTGCTAACAGTTCAATATAACCTCAGACAATATGTCTGCTTATTCATCCATTACTGAAAATTTGGTTTTCCACAGAAAACATAGCACAGATAATTACATCTGAAGAAAATACACTTTAACAGATGAAAGGAAGGAAATATAAGTGATTCGGGCTTTCGGAAGCAGAAGCAGTTTCTGTGAGGCCTGTGTGATTGCTTGCTTTACTCTTCACTTCTAGACCCTGCTCTCACATTGTTGGTGCCCAGCTTTGGCAACTTCCAGAAAAACGTCAAGAAGAATCCTATGCACATTAATGAAATTCCAATGATATATACAAAGACCACAGGAATTACATCTCAGATTGCAATTCAGTTCACTAGCTGCACCGTGGTGGCGGCTGCCCTTCAAGAACCACTGCATTCTGCAAGCCCACATGAACAGAAAATGCTATTGGGTAAAACGGGATTTGTACCAATGACTACCAAAGGAAAAAAGCATGCACACTGTGCTTCAATATGTGCTGAGAAAAGGAAACCTGGCAAACAACAAATACTTGATATATGAAAAGCTCTTGCGCATAAGCAACAATACGCTTATATCCAAAAGTGGCCCCATGCCATCAGCAAGAAGGAAACAGCAACAAAAGAACCAGCACTCATTCAGAGACAAAGTATAAAGCTTCTAGTTTACTCTTTAATTGTTTAATTAGGCAAATCAGATGAGCTTTGTTTCAAATGCAGCAACTGCAAAATTAAATGGATGTAGGAAAGAAATTTAATTTTCTAAGTAAGAATTTTTTTAAGCTGAAAGAACTCTTTGAAGTCATCTAACCAAATTATTTCATTTTGCAGATGAGAAAGTGAGACCCAGGAAGACTGACAGACTCGCCAAAGGTCATAATGCTAGTTTAAAGCAGGGCTGAAATTATTCACGCATTCAACTCTTCATGGAGTTTACCATCTAGAGGGCAATGCTGGTGAGCAAATACTATACAATAAGAACTCAAGTAGGGCTAAATACAACATGGTCTGGGAAAAGAGAGAAAGGGCAGAAAGCCAAGTCTTGAAAGGTTGGGGAAGACTCCCAGGGAAAGTAACATTTGAGACTTAAAGATAAATAAGCATCACCCAGGTAAAGAGGAGGAGGAAGGGAAGGAGGAGGAGAGAGAGAAGAGAGGAAGAAGAATGTTCCAAACAGAGTAAGAGTAAAGTCCTAGCAGTAAGAGTACTCATCACTTTGCTAGACCTGATAAGAGCAGGAGCAAGAGATGAACGATGAGAAGGAGAGAGGGGTCAGATTACGAAGGGCCTAGTAAGTCACAAGTCATCAAAGAATCTGGACTTTATTGCAAGGGCCTCTGAAGAGTTACCAAAGAAATTTAAGTTTAAGAAGAGTATTAATTTAGAAAGATATTGCAACCTAACTGTAAAGAATGGAATGGACTGGGGCCAGCCCAGTGGTGTAGTGGCTAAGTTCGCACACTTCACTTCGGCAGCCCAGGGTTTGCAGGCTTGGATCCCAGGTGAGGACCTAGCACCACTTATTAAGCCACTGTGGTGGTGTCCCATATAAAATATAGGAAGATTGGCACAGATGTTAGCTCAGTGACAATCTTCCTCAAGCAAAAAGTGGAAGATTGGCAACAGATGTTAGCTCAGGGCCAATCTTCCTCATCAAACAAGAATGGAATGAACTAAGAAAGCTCGAGGGAGATGTTTCAATCATCCAGGTGAGAGATGAAAGTCACTTTCATTAGGTAAGCAGCAGTAAGAACAGAAAAAAGTGGATCAATTCAAAAGATACTCATTGTCAGAGGATTCATTACCAGAAGTTACTCGACATTAAGATACTCAAATTTAGAAGGTTGCATGGTGAAGCAAAAATCGTCTTAATATGAAATGGTTCTCCACTGACCACTTACCAAATGAGTAACCACTCAACCCTCCATGACAGAAGAACACTCACATCTATCCCCCACCAAATTGCCTCAGATGTTGTAAACATCAAGAACACAACATAATTACAATGCAAAAAAACTTTGAAAAGAAATACAATACGTAGGAATAAATTTAACCAAGGAGGTGAAAGACCTATACACTAAAAACTATAAGACACTATTGAAAGAAATCAAAGAAAACACAAAGAAATGGAAAGATATTCCGTGCTCATGGATTGGAAGAATTAACATAGTCAAAATGTCCATATTACCTAAAGCAATCTACAGATTCAGTGCAATCCCTATCAAAGTCCCAAGAATATTTTTCACAGAAATAGAATAAAGAATCCTAAAATTCATATGGAACAACAAAAGACCCCAAATAGCCAAGGCAATCCTGAGGAAAAAGAACAAAGCTGGAGGTATCATACTCTCCAAATTCAAAATATACTACAAAGCTGTAGTAATCAAAATAGCATGATACTGGCAGAAAAACAAACACATAGATCAAGTGAACAGAACTGAGAGCCCAGAAATAAACCCACACGTCTACGAACAGCTAATTTTCAACAAATGGTGTTGGGAAAACTGGACGGCCATATGCAAAAGAATAAAAGTAGACTATTATCTTACACCATACACAAAAATTAACTCAAAATGGATTAAAGACTTAAAAGTAAGACCTGAAACTATAAAACTCCTAGAAGAAAATATAGGCAGTAGATTCTTTGACATCAGTCTCAGCAGCATCTTTTCAAATGCCATGTCTCATCAGGCAAGGGAAATAATAGAAAAAATAAACAAATGGGGCTACATCAGACTAAAGAGCTTCTGCAAAGCAAAGGAAACCACCAACAAAACAAAAAGGCAACTTACCAATGGGGAGAAAATATTTGCAAATCACGTATCTGATGAGGAGTTAACATCCAAAATATATAAAGAACTTGCAAATCACGTATCTGATGAGGAGTTAACAACCAAAATACATAAAGAACTCACACATACAACAACCACCAAAAAACCCAATTAAAAAATGGGCAGAGGATCTGAACAGATATTTTTCTGAAGAAGATATACAGATGGCCAAAAGGCACATGAAAAGATGTTCAATATCACTAATTACTAGGGAAATGCAAATCAAAACCACAATGAGATATCACCTCAAGCCCGTCAAAATGGCTATGATTAAAAAGACAAGCAATAACAAGTGTTGGAGAGGATGTGGAGAAAATGCAACCCTCAAACACTGCTGGTAGGAATGTAAACTGGTGCAGCCACTATGGAAAACAGGATGGAGATTCCTCAAAATATTAAAAACAGAAACACCATATGATCCAGCTATTCCACTTCTGGGTATTTATCCAAAAAACACAAAAACTCTAATTCAAAAAGACATATGGGGGCCGGTCCCAGGGTTCACTGGTTCAGATTGTGGGCATAGACATGGCAGCACTCATTACACCATGTTGAGGTAGCGTCCCGCATGCCACAACTAGAAGGACCCACAACTAAGATATACAACTACATCCTGAGGGGATTTGGAGAGGGGAAAAAGAAAAAGAAGAAGATTGGCAACAGTTGTTAGCTCAGGTGCCAATCTTTAAAAAAAAAAAAAAAAAGACATATGTCCCCTACGTTCACTACAGCATTACCCACAGTAGCCAAGGCTTGGAAACAACCTTAGTGCCCATCAGTGGATGAATGGATAAAGAAGATGTGGTGTATATACACAAAGGAATACTACTCAGCCATAAAAAGAGATGGAATCTTGCTATTTGCGACAACATGGATAGACCTTGAGGGTATTACGCTAAGCGGAATAAGTTAGACACAGAAAGCGAAATACCATATGATTTCACTCATGTGTGGAAAATAAAAACAACAAAAAACAAACACATAGACAAGAAAATAGACTGGTGGTTACCAGAGGGGAACAGTGGATGCCAAGGGGGTAAAAGGGCTCATGTACGGTGACAGATGGCAACTAGACTTTTCGTTGTGAACACAATTGTAGTGTTTTAACAGAAGTCAAAATATAATGATGCACACCTGAAATCTATATAAAACAATTTTACCTCAATAAAAAACTATGGTAGTGTCCCACACACAAAATGGAGGAAGACTGACACAGATGTTAGCTCAGCAACAATCTTCCTCAAGCAAAAAGAGGAAAACTGGCAACAGATGTTAGCTCAGGGCAAATCTTCCCCAGGGGGAAAAAAATTAATTAAAAAAAAATTGCAAATTTTATAAAGGATGAGCAATTTCATGAATTTGATGAAAGTTATGTTGGAGAATACTAGAATCATACCAAGTCGAACAAGGATCAGGGAGAGTTAGACTAATTAAGAATTAAAGCAGGAAAAAACAACAGGAACATAAAAGCCACTTCAAAAGAGATGCTTTGTGTATCAATGGATTCCGAGAGGCCTTCAGGAAAACTGTTCAAATCCCAAAATATGTTTTGCTACAACACCCCTACTTATGATCTTGCTGCAAAGTCAAACATGATAAAGAAGGTTATATGGTATTTAAGGAAAAAATACGGCAAAAATCAAAGAAACTATTCATTTCTCTAGCCTAAGAATTAACACAGAGAAGTTACAATTATAACCCAATTTTACTAAACAGAAGATAAAGTGAGCTTTTTAAAAAAGTGTTTGGTTTTGTTCTTCAAGTATTTTCAACAGCTTCTATCAATGTCCGGTATAAGTCAGGTGCTTGCCCTTCTAATGAAAAATAACCTCGATAAGAGCACAGCCTGGCAAAAGACGAGCGCAGCGAAGCCACCCTGGACTCCCATCTTCTTTCTTCACCTACTAGTTCTGCGTCTGCCGCCTCATCTGTCAAATGGGAACACCACAGTCTACCTTCCAAGGAATAAATGAGATAATGTATGGGAAGCACTCAGCACAGTACCTGATTCTCCTCAAACAAGTTCTCCTGGCCTCCAGCCTTTGAAATGGCCACTCAATAATGACCTAGGCCATTTTCGCCACATCAATTTATTTAACAAAAGATATTTCCTACTGTTGGTTTAAATGGAGTGAAGTAGCAACACTGAAACAACAGAACAACGAATATTCCGTCTTTTAAACCAGGCATATCCAGGGAATAATCATTAATGATCAGGAAATGTTTCTGTGGCAAGTTTGAGGAAGAAATAAATATCTTATTGAGATTTCTTCTGTAAATTAAGCAAACGAGATTTCAAGGTCAATTACTGACACATGAAGACGAGTACAATTATTTCCTTGGTAGTGAAATGTTTTGTAATATCCCTTTAACTCAAGAGTTATTTAGAATGGTTTTTAATTATCAAATTGTGTTTGTTTATCCTTTTGTTTTAAATTTCTAATTTTATTGCATTTTGACCAAAGGAAGTAATCTACCTGATTTTCTATTGTGGCAAATTTCACTTAATAAAGCATGTCCAAATGGCGTGCAGAGTTTTAGAAAGTAAAGTTGAATACTAGAGACCCTTTATGAGAAAACCCCGTGCCCTTCACAAAAGCAGTTCTCTAAACATGTCGTGGACTAAGTCAAACGTCGTGTCCTCTAGCGAGCTACGCAGGGGCCTGTCTTTAACTCTCCTTGTATTCTCAATCCCTAGCACAGTGAGGAACAATGTTCAATAGCTTCTTGATCAATGGGAAAATAAGCCATCACAAGACTAAACAGGGCTCATAAAATTATTTCTCCATTTAAAAAAAATAGAAAAGAAGAATGTTATACAGGAAAACTACTTTGTTCCAGGCTGGCCGCTCTATAAGGAGTTAAACTGTCACTAGATTTTATATCCTCTAATTCCCAGCCCAGTATCCAATTCACCAAGACTAAAGGGAACCTCGAAGATGAGAGGAAACTTGGAAACAGTCTCTCTTTTCACCAAACTCCTGTTACATGTCATTAATATCTCCCTCATGGAAGCACTAACTCATGTTATAACATTTTGTGTACGAACATTATCTCCCTTACTAGACTCTGAGCAATTAGAGGACAAGGAGTGTCCTACATTTCTTTACATTTTCCTCCTAGCACTTCATACAGTTTTTTTTCTTTCTAATTTCTATTTCTCATTCACATGGTATCAATTAACCAATGAATGACTGTGTGCTCTACTCTGTATCCTCACATAACACCTTTAAGAAGCTGAAAGCAAACTAAAATGATCGTGAGTAACCTTAAAGTCAAACAGAAAAACAAGGTCCAAAATGTCAGTCAAACAAAAGGAGTCTGTGAGAAAGATGGAGCACTCCAGCTGAGTCTGTAAGACAGTGCAAACTCCTTTTCTATGACTCACTCAGCTATCAGATTAGCACTAGGTCGTTTTTCTATTTCCCAAAATCTCAGAGGCAATTATGCGATTCAGTGTGCCCAAAACTCCCACTGCTTCCAGGTTCTGGTGAATCAGGAAGAAATCTATGCTTAATCCATTAAAATTATGATTATCCTATAACAGCCTAATGATTATAATTCTGAACACTGATGGAGGAAATGATAATTGTGAGGGATTAATATTCTACTCTCTAGTCTTACTTTCACCAACCACCAAGAGTATGCCAGGAAAGAAAAAAAAAAACTTACTTTCAGCAGCCAAGTGAGAACTGAATCACGATACGGAACAAATTTATTCTTGTTTTTGCCAGCACTCTGATCTGCTAGTGCTGAGATAACCAGACCGAGGGTTGTGAGGGACCTGCATGGTGCAACAAATAACCATAATAACCATAAAAAACTGAGTATATCAAATGTCACATTTTTGCACAAAGATAGAACATTAAGATGCCTTTGTACCTAGCATGAGAACAGCACTGTTGTCAGCATTTTGCTGCTCAGTTTAAAAATGCATACACTCTAAAAGCTGATATCTCTCTAATACTACTGCAAGCAAAAACTGCTTAGCTCAATTATTATTTTTCATTTTTGTAAATAAAAATGTGAGCTGTAAATCTTTACATCAAGATAACGACACAAACACCACATATCTTTAAGAAAGGAAGCCACAAACACAATACGATTAATTAAAACATAGTACAAAGCAAAAACATTTTATTTATGTATATATCAATCACTATTCAATAATTGCATAGCATCTGGATGATGGTGTTCTGTGATCTCCAGTAGGTTACTGATGACTTGTACCTCGCCATGTGTCCTTTTGGGAGTGAGAGCCAAAAGGAAAGAAAAGATTCCTGCCCATAGGAGCTAACAAGTTAGCTTGAGGTAGAAAATGTAAGCATATGAAGTCATAAAAGGGAGAGCTGTATGCAGCTAGCACCTTGTTGTTTGTTGGGACAGTGACACCCAGGTCAAGATCAACAGGTGGGCTCTGACAGACCTCTTATCTTTATTCTTTTCTTTAGAGTAAACTAGTGGTTCTCAACTGGAGGGTGACTATGCCCCCACAAGGAGCACTGGCCATGTATGGAGATAATGTAGGTTGTCACAATTTGGGGTGGGGGGGAGAGGTGGCAAACACTACTGCCATCTAGTGGGCAGAGGCCAGAGATGCCACTAAACATCCTACACTACACAGGCACCACCTCCTGGGACAAAGAATGATTAGAACCCAAATCTCAACAGAAGTGCTCTTGAGAAACCTCTGACTTGGCTGAGGCTGTGCTCCTCAGCCCCATCAGATATCACAGCAAAACATAAAACAGATGCGGGCCCAGAAAAAAATACATATTGGAAAAAGATTCTAAACTATTTATTCATTATAGCCTTAATCGGTCCAGAATCTTATTCTTTTAATAACCACAGAAGTCCCCTTATTTGGCTGTTAAATCAATAAGGCAATAAAAGCAGGCTTCTGAAAACCTTACTTGTTGATGTTGCTGCCCTCCTTCAGCCTGTCACCTGCAGCTCCAGTTTTGGTGGCTCGCTCGCTGCCAGCTAAGTCTATCAAGCTCAGCTTGCCCACTTTCTCTCCGGACGTCTGGAAAGTAAATTGACAAGTACTAATAAACAGTTAAAGAATACAGAAAGCGGTGCTGTCTCTACTGAATGAGTTAATTTTGAAATCCTTTATTAAAGAGTTATTTACTGTTACTTCAAAATTAGTTTGCACTGCTATAAAACAGGATAAGAAAACTGTACAATCTAGCAGTAGATACACACAAGATTATACACAACTCTACTCATCCAGATAGAGGGAAATTTATCTCAGAAAAAGAGTGCCTCCAAAAATGGGCATTTTGAAGAGAACTCAATAAAATTTTCAGAGAGAAGTACACAAAAGCACTTATGAAATACACATTTTAATATAACTTGGAAATATGCTTAAAATTTCGTGAATATTTACCAATCATTCTAAGGGAAAATATTTTCAATTCCTACTGATGTAAAAAAAATTAATCTGACTTTTATGTAATAGAAAGATGCCTCAAAAAGTCCACACTTGCTAAAAATTTTTCATATTATTCATATATGATAATTTTACTTTATCAAAAATATTCTATTATGCCTTCACACATATAACATATTTTATACTTCAGCAGCAATACAAGAAATGTGGGAAGCCAATGCCAAAATCTATAGACTGGATCACTTTTAAAACTTTCCTTTAAAATATATATTTCTATTTATTTCCATAAATAAATATGTTGCTAACAAAAGAATATTCAGCTTCCCAAATCAAAAGTACTTTTGGTTAAAAAAAAAAAGTCTTCAGTATGCTTTTGTTTTATGCTGAAAAGGAAATAGGAAACAAAGAACTTTTTGTTGTTACACTAATCTTGCTGTGATGGTAAAAGAAGAAAAATACGATAAAATCCTGCCAAAATACAGCATTTTGCCAGGGTGATTATTTTAGCTTCTGGTATTTGAAATTGACTCGCTGATTGGGTGGGCATCATAATAAAACATGCAAAAATTCACACTAAAAGTAAGAGGGAAACACAAATGTGAGTCAACAGAGTTTTCAGTGCATAGAAGCATGTATTTCTCTGGCTCTGTTTACTCTTCACAGATTCAAAACCAAATACTCAAAAAGCTACTCTACAAATCTAGCAACCTTATAGTACAACCCCCAGTGCAATTTATTCCTTCCAGGACTTAGCTGTTTGGCAGAAGGTAATATTTCAAAAGTTATCTCCACTGCATCAGGTGGAGTATTAACACTGGCTTATACCATTAGCTACCATCGTTGAAAGCTCAAAAAGTCCTTTGGCAGAGACTCTGGACCATCAGCTCGTATAACTTCTGTTCTACCTTCCTTTAGTTGGAGAGGGTGGAGAGCCAAAACCTACATTCCTCAGACTCCTTGCAGCCAGGGTTCAGGATGTGACTTAGGTTCCATCAGTCAGACACACTTGCTCAAGATTTGGAAAGCAAAAGTAAAGCAGAGGCCATTCCCCTGCCCCTTTTTTGTTTTTCTCTGCTGGGAAGCAGGATGGTAGAAATATGAGGTTTTCTAAGAGCGTCCCAGCATACACTCTCCAGCTTCCAGGGTGCTAACAAGAAAGATGATACGTGTGAAAGGGTCTACTAGCTGCCTTCTTTTGCCCAGTTTGTTCCTTCCAGCAGCTTGGGCTGACTGCTGTGTCCTGGCTACACTTATGCTGTGGGGCGTGCCTGGAACTCACAGCTCACAGCACAGTGGCAGCCTCACGGGCAGCAGTGGCCCTGGTGGATCAGATCTGTGCTGTTCTGGGACTTATTCCTAGAGATTCAGTCTAGAACCCACTCCTCCTTGGCTGTTCCAACAACTCTGTAATCAGCCAAGCCTCTCCATGAAATCTCTTTTCTGTTTACCCAGAGTGGCTTCTGTTTCTTGTCATGAGTCCTAATTGATAAATATGTCTAGCTAGGACTTTCAGTCATCTTATACCTGAAGGGAATAAGATAAACCATGATCCACTTTAGAAATTCAAAAAAGAAAAAAAAAGTCATGCAACTGAACACCTACCCCAGACTTAATGTCGTACAAAGTATGTGTGAGGGTGATTTTGAAGACTGCATGGGATCGGCTGCTCTCTTCGTTCATGTTGGTGGCAGCAACTGTACGAGATTTGTTACCCTCAGACATCAAAGACTCAATATCCTAAGTTGAAACAAGTCATAGACACACATGTCATTATCTGTCTAATAAAATAATAAAACTCTACAAGATTATGAAATGCATTGTAAGTTTCACTACTTAGTCAACCACGTTTGGAGTTTACATGTTTTTCAATGAACATTAACTGCCACAGAGTACACCAGCCAATACTGTCTATGAAAACTCAAATAAATCACATTATTTTCTGTACATGCAGAATAAAGTGGCAACATTCAGAATTACAAAAGTTTAGAAGCTATGTGTTAAGTCCCACAAGGTGGACAAGTATGCCATGCCAATCCTCATCTAATCTAGAAATTTTTAAAAATTTAGTTTCTTTAATTACAGAAGCAATAGAAGTTAACTGTCAAATCAAATTAGATTACAGTCATGTGCCGCACAATGACGTTTGGGTCAACAACTAATCGTATATATGATGGAGGCCCCATAAGATTAGTATCATATGGGCTGGGTGTGTGGTAGACTATACCATCTAGGTTTGTGTAAGTGCACTCTGTGATGTTTGTACAGCGACAAAGTCGCCTAACGACACATTTCTCAGAACGTATCCCCATCATTAAGCAGCGCATGACTGTATACGAATAATCCACAAACAAAAATAATTTGTCTCCCCTTCAAGCTGGCATAGCACTGTATCATCACCTTGGTGTATCTTACCAGACCTGTTTTTAAAAATGAGAACATCAAGAGACTAATTTCCTGCACAGATTTACTACTTTGTTGCCATTACTGCTAAAACAGGGACAGCATGAGGCAATAGAAAGATCATGGGATCTTCATTTTTAAAAATGTTATAAGCTCTAAAACACTTACTCAACCAATCTGAATTTTAGTTTCATAAATAAAAATACAGAGCTATAACATCATCTACCTTACAAGGATTTTAATGAGGAACAAGATAGATGACATGTGTGAAACAGCCTACTGGGCAGCTCCTTTTATCCAGCCTCGTCTTTCCACTAGAGGAACCCAACCTTCAGCTAAGCACATTGCAGCACAGCTGAGAGACTACATTTCCCAGACGTCCTTGTGGTTCAGTGCGGCCACACGACTAAGTTTTAGCGAACTGAGAGGTTAAGTATAATACAGGTCACTGGGAATTTTCCATAAAGGGAGTAGGCATGCTCTTACATTTTGGTTCTAAGAGCCTCCTTGAACTATGAGAGTAAGGGCATTACCAGAGAGCTGGCAAGACTCTAGGTCCCTAACAGCATCTTTGGAACCACCATACTAGCCCTCTCACCATTCATTCATTCTTTTATTCATTCAACTGTTCACTCAAATATACACTGAAAGCACCTACTATGTGCCAGGTACAGTTTAAGATACTGAGGATATGTAATGACCAAAACAGGTAACAATTCATTTTCCAAAGAACTTAAATCCTGTTATATTTTTTCTGTTATATGCAACCAAACCCAATGCTGACACACATAAATAAAAACTTTGAAAATCATAAGATTCTATTTTGCTGTATAAATGAAAAAGAATAATGGTTAAGGAAAAATTCAACATGACAAATAAAAAGACTCAAAGTAAAAATATTAACTGCCAAAAGAGATATAAGTAGGCACCAGATGAAAATCAACAAAAAAAGGCAAAAATCACAATTTTCTAGATCCATTCTAAATCCATTTTAGATCCGTGAAATCTGATAATCCTGAGGCTTAATGTAAAAGCTTTATCCTATTTAGCCTACATTTATTCACTGGTCTCCAGTCTGTTGTCTCATGCATAAACTCTGTACTGAGCCTTTTAATTTTTTAAACAAGCAAAATTTTTTTTATACTTTCTAATCTCCTCTGAAATACCAAAAAGAATCCTGATCTCTCTCCAATGTTGCATAAATAAGTTCTCAAATGATCATTATTAAAACAGAGTTACGCATTGCTAAACAACAGGAATAAGTTTTGAGAAATATGTTGCTAGGTCATTTCATCGTCATGCGACTATCATAGAGAGTACTTACACAAACCTAGATAGTATAGCCTACTACACGCTTAGGCTATTTGGTACTAATCTTGTGGGACCACTGTTGTATATGTGGTCCATCACTGACCAAAATGTCGTTAAGCAGTGCATGACTGTAACAACAATATCTAACATTTATATAAGTACTCTAGAGTTTTCAAAGACTTTTCACATGCATTATCCCATTGGATCTCCTCCAGGAAGCCTTCTGGACACCACCTTCCCCAGACACCTACGTATCCATTTAAGAACCCCTTCTCCAAACTATGATGAATCTTGAATATGCATCAGTCACTGAATTTAAAACCATGTTGTTTTACAATATCTTTATAACAACTGTAAGCATCTTGAAAGAACGGACCATCTCATTCATTTTTTACATTCTCAGTACCTAGCACAATGCCTGGCATATGATAGCTGTTCAATAGATGTTTACCAAGTTTACTAATGTTTACTAAATGAAGTATCATTGACCAAATGGCAGAATTGATTAATGAACAAAGGAACAAATGATCCTACCTCATAAGATGGTCAAGACAATAAAACTAATTTCCATTTTAAACATTAGGACAAAGAGACTTGGTGAGGTAGAGTAAATGATCCAGAGTCATATGAGAGTCATACAAAAGGATTAAGTGTCACTAAATCAACACTCTCTGACTTCAGTGTATGTTACATCATAGCGTCTCACTCCACCCCCATTTCCCAACACGCAAAGCCTCACGGACTCACACAAAGCAGAACTGCGAAGTGTGAAAGTAAAAAGAACTATGTGAGTGATTCTCTCATACTAGAAACAGGATTTGAATTCCAACTATTCAACTCATATATTTTATTTCATCAAATCAACTAAATCACGAGCAACTTCAGTACTTTATGAACTACTAGGGAAGAAAAAAAGCTGCCATTTATCATTTTAAGATGCAATTGCGAGGCACAGCACAATTTTGGAGCTCATAAAATATGAAAAAATGCGTCTCACAACAGATGAAAAGGAATGCCTTGGAAATATATATACCTTCTCGCAAAATTAAACTATCCTAATAGTCATATACAGTTTTTTAAGTAAAAAATTTTTGTAAAAAGTGATTTATTAAGCGATAATACTATAAGTTTTTCTAATTTCAAAAAAATAATCACCACAAATTAAACCAAAAAAAACTTGCTCCACTGAATTTAGTTTATATAAAGTAAGTTGTTACCTTATAGCTTGTGACAGCCAGTTTAGAAAGTCCATCAACATAGGGTCCCAATACATTGTGCTCTCTGACTTTTAACGTTTGACGGCTTCTGTTCATTAAAAACATAGAAATGATTTTTAAACAATAAGCTGTTTTTTAAAGGACGCAACTGTGCTCCATAAAGTATATGCTGAATTCAACAAAGATCTCAAATAAATAAAACCAACCGACTTGATCTCAGAAGAATTTAAACTAAAATTTAAAATCTTGACTGGCAAGAAAAACTTCATAATGTGATAAAATATCACATTACTCAAAAGGGTACACTGTGGGATGTCTATTTACTACCACAAAGAATGCAGAGTCAAATAAATACAAATAGTCTATTTGTCATATCACAGAATGTGGTACAAAGAGCAGAAATTCAACAAATGTTAACTGTGCAAGAAAGGAAAATTACAGACCAACCTCAATCATGAATAAAGACAGACAGACAAAAGACAACAAACTGTGTGTAATAATGATTTTAAAACTTAAAATTGGGCTTAGCCCAGGACTGCCAGGTTATTTTAACACTAGAAAAAGATTCACAACCTTTACCACGCTGATAGACTAAAGGGGAAAAGAACATACATGATCATGTCAATAAATGCAGAAAAAAGTATTCAATAAAATTAAATACTCATTCATGAATAAAAAATAAACAAACCTCTTAGCACACAACAAACTGATAAACCAAGTAAAGGGCATCCACCAAAAAACTAGAGCATTTAGCACGGTTAATGATATCAACCAAAAAATATTAAAAATATTTGTTGATGATTGTATGACATGTGAATTATATCTCAAAAAAGCTCTTTAAAAAATAAAAACACAGGGCTGGCCCCATGGTGTACTGGTTAAGTTTGCCATGCTCCACTTTGGCGGTCTGGGTTCATGGGTTTGGATCCCGAGATCTACACCACTCATCATGCACCTACACCACTCATCAGCCATGCTGTGGCAGTGACCCACATACAAAATAGAGGAAGACTGGCACAGATGTTAGCTCAAAGCTAATCTTCCTCAAACAAAAAAAGAGAAGATTGGTAACAAATGTTAGCTCAGGGCAAATCTTCCTCAGCAAAAAAATTAACAAACAAAAACACTACAATAAAAAGAGGAATATTTGTTGATGGTGAGATTACAAGTAATTCTTATTTTACATAACTTAATATTTTCTAGTGATTTGGAATCTTTTAGTACCCTAGGATGAACCACTAAAAACTTTACTTACTATCATAAAATTGTACATAAAGTAGATATAGAACAAATATTTGACTCAGTTCTGACCTCAGGATACATGCTATTATAACTGAGTTAACTACTGCCAATCCTTCTCTTTTTGCTGAGGAAGACTGGCCCTGAGCTAACATCCATAACCACCTTCCTCTACTTTATACGTGGGACGCCTATGACAGCATGCTTGCCAAGCGGTGCCATGTCCGCACCCGGGATCTGAACTGGCAAACCCCGGGCCACCAAGAAGCAGAACATGCGAACTTAACTGCTGCGCCACTGGGCCGGCCCCTTCCCTTTTTCTTAAAGATAATATATACCATATTATCTCCTGAGTAAGCAACATAATTACATTACTACACATAATATATGCTGAATTAATAAAATTAGTACTTGAATAACAAAACTAAGTTGTCTCAAATAGTCTTTCACTGAAAAAGGACCACTTTCAGGGTTTTTAATGTATTTACTTCAACTCTTCAGAAACACTACAAAAATCCTCAAGTAAATCTTCATGGGAGGACAAGAATAAAAACAGCTAACACTTATTACGCACTTACTCTGTACCAGTCAATGTTCTAGGACCTCAGGTGTGTCATCCCAGTCTATCTTCACAACAGCCCTCTGAGATATTATGTAATCTTATCATTCCCCCTTCTGTACAAATGAGGCCTCGAAAGCATAAGTAACTTGCTCAATAGGTAACAATTAAAGGACCTGGATCCAGAGCTAGGTGATCCAAAGGCCATGCTGTTGATTACTAAACTACACAAAAGACAAACATATAAGAAATTACTGAAGACTATAAACAAATTGAAGATACAGTTCTAGCTATTTCACATAAGCACTGTGGAATGCAAACACAAGAATGAAGTCAGCCAAGAATTTCTGGAAAGACTAGGTCTGGGCTGGACCTCTAACAAAGTGCTGGTCTTCACAGAGGGGAAGATGCAAGAACAAGTACTCAAGACACAGAAAGAGGACAAGGGCACGATATTCAGCAAGATGTGGGTACCTGAGCCATAACTTTCCTACCTCTGGCCTCCTTTTGTTCTCTGTTTTGATTGCCTGCGTATTGCCCTCCACTCACGCTGGACGGCTGGGTCACTCTCTAAACAAGTGATTTCTTCACACTTCCACACTTTGGCACACGCTGTCCCCTAAGCCTGAACCGTTCTCACCTAACTTCTCAGCGGACAGACTCCTACTCAACACGAAATTTATCAAGCACCCTCCGAGGAATCTTCCCTTCTCCTCTGGGCAAAGACTCATTCTGATTGAGCATCACTATGAGTCACTGCCTCTAAGACCATCTTTCCTTGATCATCTTCATCCAAACACAACATAATGTCCCTTCATTGTCCTCCGCGCTTTCTGTAAACCTCAGCTCATTTGGCTCTTTGAGCTTCTGAATGCTGTTTTTACTCAATAAGCCACAGGCTATGGTTATTATCTGTTCTTTCTCTCCAGTGTTGCACTTCCTTAAAATCCAGACTCAGAGAACTCTGTGTGCAACGAACAGATTTCCTCAGATACCTTATCTTCCTCACTAGGTTCAGCTACAACTGCAGAGTGACAATAGCATTTTTTAAGGCTTTCTAATACTTCTGAGCCACTTTTTCAAAGACTACACTATAAAATGGGACTTTTTTTCTCTAGGAATCCTTAAATTTAAATAGTTAATTAAAATTAACTATTCTAAAGTCCAGGTTTCACATCTCTGATTATGCCTCTCCCTCACTTCACAGACTGCAAACAAACAGCTAAATTCCACCTGAAATTTCTGGATTTTAAATAAATAAATAACCTACTTGATTAAGGATACCAGTTATCCTGATACTAAGTAACTTAATTTTCACAATGTATTTTTTGTTTGTGGCTCTGGATGTATCTGAGAAAGGCAGTATGACCCACACACATGCTGTTCCACTACACTTCCCTGCCCCATTGCAGGCCTGAGTTCAAAAGCCAAGAACTGGCAGGAAGCCACTCAATGTAACTAAGAACAAATCACAACGACGATGACGAGATAAATAAAATCGCAGGGACAGCAACTAGATAAATAACTCTCTCCTAGAGTTCAAGATAAAAAATGTCACCTCAGCCAATTTATTAAGTCTGTTTCAGTCCATAATACTAAAACATTGAAGTCTCAAAGTCTTTTACCCTTTTGGATCAAGAAGGTCTCTAACTTTCTCATTATAAATTTCCATATAGGACACTTCTACTTTAAAACTCTGCTCTTCATTTTCCTCTCTCTGAGTCCGTTCAAAGAGTCCACTGCAAAGTCTCGGGATTAATCCAGGTTGGTCAGCTGTGCCCATCATGGTATAAGATTTTCCAGACCCTAAAAAAGGAAATCATAGTGCTGTCTCTTTGAGAAGTTTAAATACATAACCCTCTTTCCATTGCTCAAAATAAATTACTAGCACTTAGCAAAATGCCCAAAATAAAATAAGAAATATACCCAAATATAACACTGAAACTAATAGATACAGAAGCTTTCCCAATGCATATGTAGACGTCAAAAGTAAACCTCCTTTAGAAAGAAAACAAAAATCTTCTTTAACCATCTTCATCCTTAAAAAAAATTACCTAAAACAACTAAAAAATAGTGAGGGCTGAACAGCTTTCTAAAATTAACTGGGAATATCCATATGATGAATACTCTTGTACCTGCTCCCAACCACTAACCATAGCACAAAATATATGTTATCCCTCTGGGCCCCAGAGAAAATTAACTTACTACCCTTTGGCAATAGTGTGGAAACCAAAGAGTAATTTTCTTTTTCTACTATAAAATTATTTTCTCCACTGTACCAAGAATACATATTCATTAAAGAAAATTGAGAAAACGCAGGAAAATAGAAAGGAAAAGTTAAATCACTCACAGTCCTAACTTAAGTAAAATTCTTTTTCCTTTTCAGTAGCAGTGATTTTGTAAACACTCTTTTAATCATACAAGTTGCTGCTTTTGTCAACTGACACTTTAATATTATCATAATATCTAAAACTAATACACCACTTCCTATGTTCCAGGTCATTTCTAAAAGTTTTCACGTTATCTCACTGTGACAACCCTATAAGGAAAGTCTATAACTATCAACATTTTACAGATAAGGAAACTGAGGTGTAAGTTTCCCGGCTGTTCAGTGGCAGGAGCAGGGTTGGAGCTGGGATAACCCAGCTCAGAGTTCGTGCTCTCAACCACTACACGTACCGCCTCTTGAAAATATCAGAAGCACTCTTCTATGAAGAATAGTTTTCAACTGGACAAGCTATACAGTATACCCTTAAAAAAGTGACTCTTTCACTTTAAATAGATTTTCTTTCCTGTTGACCACAGAAGAAGTCAGAACACTCCTTATCAATCATAACTGATAAGATGCTAACAATATGTATTCTTTTTAGTATTTTCTCTGTTATGATCCTTAAAGCAAAAAATATATATATTATTTAACATTACCAGTCTGTCCATAGGCAAAGATACATGCATTGTAGCCATCAAAAGCATTCTGAAGAATATTCTCCCCAAGGCATTTGAAAACATCATCTTGACCTAAAAGAGAGAGAGAAGGAGAAAAAGAAAGGATGAAGCCAAAACTACATGTGAACAATCAAAACAAAAATGTACTTTTCTTTTCAGCTTATCTCCAAACAAGATTTTTAAACTTGATGATGCTTCCAAAGCCTTGACTATATACCACTCAGCTAATGCTTTATTCAGTGAGTTTTGGAGTTCAAAACAATCATATATATCAATCCCTCTCCTTTTCCTCAATGATAATTTTTTTTTCATTTGGAAAGATTTGTTTTTTATTTTTTAAACAAACTGGTAAGGCAGAAAATACTGCTCTAGAACAAAATTCCAAGTCTCTTCATAAAAAACACAGTTGTGGTTAAATTCATGGGTGGTTTGTTTTGTTTCTGTCGCCAACTGTTTGGAAGCAGTGGTCTATGGTGACTAGCAGCAGCTCTCCAGGGATTCTTTCTTTCTCAGTGATAACTTTTAATTACAGGGTCTACAATACATACCAGCTGCTTCAGGGAGGAAGATCTTGGAAATCATTCTTCTAGTTTTCGATCATGGACATAAATAATAGGATCAAATGCTCCTCCACAGGCTAAATTAAATATGCCAATAGTCAAACATAACCTTTACAAATCATTCAACCTCTCTGAGGTCTTCAATATTGTGATACTGTTGAGCTATAAGAAATATATTTCGGTTATCTGAATGACTCTCATATATATTTGGTCTTCATCCACAGTTCTTGGCTCAAGTCTCCAGAAACTCCTGGAATTTCCTAAGCGTTGAGAGTGATCAAGGTGTCTTTGGTTATGTTAATGAGGTGACTTTTGGAAAGCAACTAAGGACGGGGGCTGGTTGTCAGGAGAACCAACAGTGATTATAGGGTTGGAACTTTCAGTCCCATCCTCCAACCTCCTAGGAGGGGAGAGGGCCTGAAGGTTGACTCATTCTCCAATGGCCAATGATTTAATCAATCAAGCCTATGTAATGAAGCCTCCATAAAAACCCAGAAGGACAGAGTCCAGAGAGCTTCCCAGACAGTGAAGACGTGGAGGTGCTGGGAGAGTGGCGTGCCTAGAGAGGGCATGGAAGCTCTGCACCCTTTTCCCCACACCTTGCCCTATGTAGCTCTTCCATCTGGCTGTTCCTGAGTTAAACTCTTTTATAATAAACTGGCAATCTAGTAAGTAAAATGTTTCTCTGAGTTCTGTGAGCCAATCTAGCAAATTAATCAAGCCCAAGAAGGAGGGCGTGGGAACCTCTGATATACAGCCAGTTGATCAGAAGCACAGGAAACAACCTGGGCTTGGGAATAGTATCTAAAGTGGCAGGGGGAGGGGGCAATTTTGTAAGCCTGAACACTTAACCTATCAAATCTGATGCTATCTCCGGGTAGTTAGTGTCAGAATTGAACTGAAGTGCAGGATACCCAGCTGGTGTCCACGGCATTGCTTGGTGGGGGGAGAGAGGAATCCCTCCCTCTCAACAAATTGGATTTGTGATCTGGACACACTTTAAGTATAACATGAAAGAACTGGGCGCTGTTATGTTTGTTATGTTCTGAATGCTATAAATAGTATTCCATTATGCCTCACTTCCTAATTAATTTGCCAGATTAGTACATCATCATGAAATTTCCGATATGGAAGCAATCCTTAAAGTCATCATTGGGCCAGCTAAACCACATTAACCTTAACTTTTTGAAACAGCTGTAGTACAACTGTTTCTCATGACAAAAGCCAATACAACATGACACTCAATATTTAAAAAAAGATTGTTTAGAAATAGGTGTTGTAAGCAGTCAGGAATAAAGGAAATAAAGGGCTGTCACTGTAGTCCAAAACTTGTGAAAAGGGGCTTCAGACAGTCATCATTGAGGACAGTAAGAGAATAACAGAATACCAGAGCACGTTAAGAAAGAACATAGTATATTGTTCTCCATTAAAGAGAGAAAATAGAACACTGAAAGCTTAAGTGATTTACTCAAAGTCACAGAGGCAATCAGGAGTAGAGTCTGGACTAAACTCCAGGTTTCCTTTTCTCCTGGCTCTTCTTTTCTTACACAAAGGTGCCCCTCCAGACCACAGCACAGACATCTAAGCGAATCTAAGAGGCTACTGTGTGCTACTGGTCCTATGCAAGGCCTGGGGATGCGTGTGAGTAAGATAACCTCAACCGTGTACCCTATTAACCTAACTTTATCATATTATACCAAGAACAACACACTGTGACTCTCTCATTTCCCAATCAACATAAAAAACTCTAATAGTGGGGCTGGCCCTGGGGACCAGTGGTTAAGTTCACGCACTCTGCTTTGGTGGCCCGGTGTACACCAGTTTGGATCCTGGGTGCTGACCTAGCACCACTTGTCAAGCCATGCTGAGGTGGTGTCCCACATAGAAGAACTAGAAGGACATATAACGAGGATATACAACTATGTATTGGGGCTTTGGGGAGGAAAAAAAACCTCATAGCAAAGACTGGAGGAAGTTCTCTACATAGTTTTTAAAATTAAAGAAAATAATACTCTGATACTTTATGGAAAAAATATTAAAACACCTTTTCTGTATTATCAGTAGTTAACAGGATGTTGTACTCTTACCTGCAAACTTTTCTCTGACAGATTCATCCATAGACCAAAAACAATGATCATATGCAAACACCTGTTGAAAAATAAAAATAATATAGTATGTATTAAGAACAAAACCTTAACGTAGCTATGATGTTATAACGATGTCATAACATTGAAAACATTATTTGTAATAGTGAAGTAAAGACAAATTACTCTCTTACAATGGAAATGAAATTATTTATGTTCCAGTCTTATTGTACAGTTTTGATCTTTTATGTTTACTACTTTCTAAAATATGCACTCTTTTTTTGTGCTCTTTTGAGAGTTCTTTTTTCATTTTTTGGATTTCATGTTTTATAATTTAGTCTCTTTAAGAATTTTATTTATTTATTAAAGATTGGCCCTGAGTTATCATCTGTTGCCAATTTTTTTTTCCTCTTCTTCTCTTCAAAGGCCCCCAGTACATAGTTGTATATTCTAGTTGTAGGTCCTTCTAGCTCTGCTCTGTGGGACACCGCCTCAGCATGGCTCAATAGGCGGTGCTAGGTCCACACCCAGGATCCAAACCGGTGAAACCCTGGGCCTAAATGAAACTGTTTCTTAATTCATTTCAGCTTGCATTTCAAACTCTCCCACTTTTAGAGTTTGTTGCCTTGCTTCCTGATGACAGTTTTCCTCTTGTGCCTTTATACAGTTGTCCCTTGGTATCCGTGGGAGATTGGTTCCAGGGCAGATACCAAAATCCATGCATGCTCAAGTCCCTACAGTCGGCCCTACCTCTCTGAGAATGCAAAACCCATGGATACAGAGGGCCGACTGTATGTTAGCTTGCCAAGTGCATCCGAATTGAGAGTTTGTATTTTATGGTTTAAGTAATTGCTTGTTTTTTTCCTCTCCCTTTGGCCACCTTTACACGACTAGTTACCCTGCCACTCACAGGTACTGAAGCCCAGATTTTCATCTCCCCAAAGCCCAATGTCTCTACTCCCTCCTATTTACAAAGATATGAACTCAGTGTTGGTGGCCAAAAACCTTTTTTTAAGCCTTCATTCATGTTAGAGCCTCATCCAAATCAGTTTTCACATGGTGAGCTTCTCCAGTCCTCAACTATACATCAAGGTCCCCTTTAATCCGCAAGAGTTGAACTTCCAGTCACCTCTGAGAACCCGTGTCTGATCCCAAAGCCCAGTAAATATGCTGCTTCAGCCCCAGCTTGCTGCTAGCCCCTGAAGTTACCTATGTTGTTTTTTAATATGATGACATGATTTTAATATTTTAACATATTTTACCTCTCCCTGCTATGAGTGTGGAGGTGGCAGGAGAATGTTTCTCTGTGAATTCACAAGACTACGTGGACCAGAGGTCTAAAAGTTAATTTTTTTTTGTTTGAGTAAGATTAGCCCTGAGCTAACTGCTGCCAATCCTCCTCTTTTTGCTGAGGAAGACTGGCCCTGAGCTAACACCCGTGCCCATCTCCCTCTACTTTATATGTGGGACGCCTGCCACAGCATGGCTTTGCAAGTGGTACCATGTCCGAACCAGGGATCCAAACTGGCGAACCCCAGGCTGCTGAAGCAAAACGTGCGAACTTAACTGCTGTACCACCGGGCCAGCCCCTAGAAGTTAATTTTTTTAAGAAAGGAAATTAGATTAGGATGGTGAATTAAGTATGCATGCCTATATTCCCCTGCTACCTGAAATTAATTCAAAATGATAGAGGGAGGGAGAGAAAGGACGAAAAGAGGAAAGAAGAGTGGAAAGGAAAGTTTTTGAAAGCAAGATTGCTTGCTTGTACCTGGATCAAGAATTGAGAATCCCTGAAAAACAGCTGCAAAGAGACTAATGGGGAGTATTTTGGGGTAGGAGCCACAGGGAGAACACAGGCCAAAACACTGCAAAAGGAGATGGCTATAAAGCTACGAGCAGTTCTCGGAGTGCACCAGGAGAACTGCTCAACCAGCACGAGAGGACCCTGGGGGCACCCAACAGGAAGACTGGCTAAAAACGCCTTTAAAGCTGGGAAGGATCAGAACACCCATATCTCTGTGCAAAACAGCAGGCAGGGGAGGCACCTGTTCCGTGGGATGGGGCAGTGATGGGGAAGCTGGCCCAGAAAGGCAAGCAGAAGCCCCCTTCGCAGGAAGAGGGGGAGCCCTGAGCCCAGAAGCCACGCGCCAGCTGCAGTTCTACATTGTACATTACTAACCCTCAACATTTGTCCAAAGCTGAACATGTATTATCAGTAGTGGTGGCTCACTAGGTTAGCAATTCTCCAGCAGCGAAAGGAGGAAAAGAAGAAGGAAGATGCAGGTAGTTCTCAAAGGACTGTGTATCAGAATTTCGGGCAGGGCTGCTGCTTTTCAAACTACATTTGTCAGCCATGGTGAGAATCATTTCAGCAGGGTGAGATTAAAGAAAATGTGAGGCTCAAACTAGGTTTCTTCTGTTCTCGCTTTCAACTCTCCTCTCTTATAATTTTATTTAATTCTATTCTTAAGATTAAAGAGAAACCATCCTGATTCTTTTCTTGTAAGCTTAGCTCTCACTTCAACAGTCCCATCACCACATGTGCGGACTTAACAGAGATCAGGCTCTAAATAGCACTCTGCTCTCTCTATTATTTTGATTTCTTTCTTTGTTTTAATTTAGGGGTTTCTTGAACGACTCCATTTCTTATTCTCAATTCTAGTAGAGCAGAGCTGACACTAGGTGCTTGGCCCTGATCACAGGACACTGAGGGAGAAGAAGGGAAGAGCCTGGCGGCTGGCAGGTGGGGGCTGGGACTGGAACCCAGCCTCTGGGCCAGCAGTCCGCTCACCGCTAGGCTCTCCACCACCAGGCTAGATGAGCTCTATTCCCCAATTATACGAAAGCATCACAGCCGGGTACAAGGTTGGGAACTAATGAACACTTAGTTCTTATGTATTAACGACAGTAAATGGTCCTCTTAAGTTTTAGCAATTTTGTAAATTATAGGAATCTTCCAGTCATGGATTTCCTAAAGCAAACAAGCCCTTTTCTTTCCAAATAAACATTTTTCCTTTAAAACTTTTTTTAAAACCACCTTTTTTCAAGTAACAGAGAAAAAACACACATTTTCTGTAACAAAGTCAAATAATATAGAAGCATAGAATAAAAAATAAAGGTCTCCCAGTCACCAAGCGGACCTCTCCCAGGAGGTAACCACTATGTTAACAGTGTGGTGTTGGTCCTTCCATATTTTTTTATGTCAACACATTTTCTCTAAACATTAAGATACAGTTGAATTAAAACATGAATAGTTTTTATATAGTCATGTAATGTTTCCTCACATCTTTACTGCAATCTCCAGCCTCTATTCTATCAAAAAGAAAAAAAAATGCAGCATATTTTCATAGAAAAGATAAAATAAAATTAGTTTTACATATATAAAGAAATCAGTGCCATATTAAACTATTTTAAAAAGTCATTCAGAGTCCCAAACAACCACATCTATACATATTTTAGCAACAATAGAGAATGGAATTACTATTCAACGACAGACTCTAAAACAAAAGCAAAACTCCAAGAATGCAGATAAAAATCTGAATTTCCTGGAAATGGTCAATTGAAAAATATAGTCCTTGTGCCCACTTTGGCACACCTATAAATTCCTTCAGAGACATAGGAACTGATGGGCCCACTGAAGTTTCTTTAGAATCTAGGCTTCAATGTAAGATGAAGACGCATTTCCTTGAGGAAGCCGTGGGCCAGGACAGGTTTCTGTTGGCGTGAGAATGCGTCCCCAGCTGTCTCGGGAGCCACATGGATGAGTCTGCATAGCATGGTGCTAACCACAGTTTGGAACGACCAGTTTCAAGCCAATCCATGGTGAACGCAGAGCACAAAAGGAATCTGTGTTGTAGTTGCCAGGAGACTAGCCAGAATTGGTCAAAATACAAATACAGCTTTTCCATAACCCTCCAGTCCCTCCTGTGCCAATAAACGGCTTCAGATTTATGAATAGGCTGGCAGACGGCATTACTTTTACAAAAGTGACAGAGACAAAATATTTTTGAGAAGAAAATTACCAGTACTTCAAAAATACCCACATAAGATCTTCACAAGCATCACATAATAAACCAAATTTCTTACCTTTGGCTGGCTTCTGAGTTCCCAAAAGAGATGTCATCGTTGACATGAAAAAAAAGGGAGAAAGTTTAATAAGATTTTTTTCAGTTTAGAAGACTCTTTTTGAAAGGTCAAATGATTATAATAAACATCATGTAAACGTTTATTAAGAACACAAAATGGGGCCAACCCTGTGGCCAAGTGGTTAAATTCGCGCACTCCGCTTCAGAGGCCCAGGGTTTCGCTGGTTTGGATCCTGGGCGCAGACATGGCACCGCTCATCAGGCCGTGCTGAGGCAGCATCCCATGTGCCACAACTAGAAGGACCCACAACCAAAATATATACAACTATGTATTGGGGGTATTTAGGGAGAAAAAGCAGAAGAAAAAAAGGAAGATTGGCAACAGATGTTAGCTCAGGTGCCAATCTTTAGGAAAAAAAAGAACACAAAATATTAACTTTGAAAGCAAATAGCAATTTAAAATAAAGAATAAATTAATATCTATTTACTAGTATGGTAAAGTGCTAATTATAGAAACTAACTTGTATCTCTCAAGTAGAAGAAAGATTATCTGAGCACTGGATAATTTTTAAATTTAATATTTCTGCTTCATGCACTTTGCTTATTCTTGTATATGCCTTATACTTAAAAAATTCTTTACTTTTTGTCATCTGATTTCATTTCCAAGTAGTTTCCTCTGCTTTAATACATCAGCAGCTTACTCTCTATCTCTTTAGGTTCTGGCTACGAAAAAAAAAGTTAAAAGAGCAACTAACTTTTTTCCAGTGAATTACTACTTACTGAATTACTCACCTATTACTTACTCTTCTAAGCTTACCCAGGTGCTTCTCACCTCCCTCCCTCCAAAACTGCCGCTCCCTTACATCTCCTTGGGGTACAGGAATATAACCCAATCCAATATAACCTTGACATAGTTTTAAACTTAGAGAAAAGCTGTAAGAACAGCATAAAGAACTCCCTTCACCCAAAGTCACCAAGTGTTAACATTGCCACAGTTGCTATATCATTCTCCCCGTCTCCTCTATATATAGATATATATACACACACACACACACATACGTATTATCTTTTTAACCATCTGAGAGTAAGTTGCAGACATGCTTCTTCAGTCCTAAATACTTCAGTGTGTAATTGCTAAAACCAATAATGTTCACTTACATAACCACAATACAATATCAAAATCAGAAAATTTAATAATAAAAGAAAGTACTTTTGAAACTGGAGTGAAATAGAACAATAACTAGAGCTTTAGGAATAATTGGTCTCTCTCAGAAAATCAAAGCACCAACTCAAACCTAAAACTTGAAAGGAAACTGTACATGGAAATGCTTCCTTCCAATTGTCGACACATCTTCTTGTCTCTTTGTCTCATAAAAGATTTTCTTCTAAAATAAATTTAATATTTATTCGTATCAAATGATTTCAGGTTAAGAATACTAAAACACCAAGGCAGGTCTAGCAAATGAGTGACACTTGTCTAATAGATTTTGGAGTAACAGCCAATGTGCTAACATATAAACGAAAATAATTTCTCTGGAATAAGACGGACAGAAAAATTTCCCGACAAAAAGATGTGTAGAATACTGATAGAGGTTACTGACATATGCTATCATCTTTTTATAGGTCTTTATGAGCAAAGCAGATTCTCATCAATTACAGGCAGCTTACCTATAAACCCAGCTGGAGGTAAGAACAGAACCAGCATGTATGAAATGCCTATGTTAGGCCAGGTACATTGCATGCTACTTCATTTAACTCTCCCAATAACTTTGCAAGATACTATTATTATTCTAGTTTCACAGATGAGAAACTTAAGGCTCAGAACAGTTAAATGACCTGTCCAAGACACAATAACAAGCAGTGATGGATCTGGGATGTAAAACTAGGTCTTCTGACTCCAAGTCTATGTTCTTTCCCTCTCCCACACTGGTCAAAACAGCCTCGTCAAGTTTCTTCTGAAGAATCTATGAGTCATGCATTAACAACTGCTCCTGCTAACTGAAATATTTCCCAATGTATTAATTTCCTCCATTCTAATTATTACCCAATAAAAGGTCACCACTTGGTGCTTGTGCCAGTGTAAGTTTACTTATTCATTATATTTATAAAAACTCCAGACTGTCTTTTCTGAGAGAAAAATAAGGTATTTAGCATGATACTACAAGTTTAAATAAAATATTTTTACATAAATTTCAACTCTTTCTCAGACAACCAACAAATAGGAAATTCAGTAATATTCGGTAATAGCAGAAGAAGAATCCATGGGACTAATCTGAATCCAGAACATAAAAATAAAACCAGAAGCAAACCAGTAAATTAATTACAGAGCTAAGTTTCCAGGTAGGGATTCTGCTGCTGCGACAGTAAAGCTCAAATAACCTACAGAGCCATTGGAAACCCAAGGATGTAATTACAGCTCTGTACAAAAATAAATAAAGTTAATTAATTAATTAAACAAAATGTTTCAGAGTATAGTTGCAATCCAATATGGCAATGGCTCTCTTCTCCCAAAATCCCTTATTTAGAAACCTCAGCTATCCAGACCACAGGAGAAATTTAGAAAGCAAAGCAAACCAGCCCCTGACCAATCAAGAGAGACATCAGAAAGTAAAAGCACGAAAGTCGTAGTTTCTCAGCTGAGTTGAATTACTTTTTGTTGCTGTTGTTTAACTTCATTTTCAAATACTTTCAGACCTACAAAAAGTTCCAAAAGTAGTACAAAGAATTCCTGTGCACCCTTCGCCCAGCTTCCCCGAATGCTAAAGTCTTATATAACCACAGTTACAATGCTCAAAACCAGGAAACTAACCATCAACACAAGATTGATTAAATAATCTAGAGCAACTTTACAAAAATTTTTTACCAACTGCCCCACTGATGTTCTTTTTCTGGTCCAAGGTCACACATTGCATGCAGCTGCATGTCTCCTCCAATCTGGGACAGTTTGTCTCTTATGACCTTGACACTTGAAGAGTACTGGCCAATTATTTTGAAGAATGTCCCTCAACCTAGGTTTGTCTAATGCTTCCTCATGACTAAATTCAGGTTATGCATTTTGGCAAGTACGACACAGAAGTGACATGCCCTTCTCACTGCATCACACCAGAAGGTACATGATGATGTCCATGTCCCATCACTGACGATGGTAACTCTGATCACTTGGTTACAGTTGTACCTACTAGGTTTCTCGAGTGTAATATTACTAATTTTTCCTTTGTGCATTTTTCTCCTGGGAGGAGACTTTGAGACTATGTAAATACTGCTTCTCATCACACTTTCACCCACGAATTTTAGCATCCATTGATAAGTCTAGCCTGCAACAATTACTGTTTCTCAAAAGGTGATTGTCTAGTTACTGGAGACATTAACAACCCAGATGAATCAACCTGGACAAATGTGCTTTTTAGGAAGAGGACGACCTGGGAAACAACAAATGATTTGGTTGCATTATTTTGGATAGAACTGTTATCTACGAATAAGCTACTTCCTTCCTTCTTTTTACTGATCTGGTTTAGGGGCCTGAGCTCACTTCACTTTTAAATAATAAATTACACCATAAAATTAAGTCAAATTATATTCCTAATCTTTAGAATGCCACAATATCAAGAAGAAATTTAGTGATTGATGATTCTATAAGTTAGTGATCTTTGTAAATTTATGATCCTGACAAAAAATAAAATCGATATTGGATCCAAAAATAAACCACACAGTATCCTGTAGCGGAAAACACAAAGCAATGTCAATAGAATAACGAGTTACAAATCGATTACTGCTGTCAACTACCAAAATCAAATATTATATCCAAATATCATCACCACTTTCAATTTTAAAGATTTAAGTTTCTAAAATCTTCACAATTAGAAATATTTAGAATCTGTATTTTAATAAGATCCCACTCCAACCCACTCTATAACAGATGTATACATCACAAAGAGCTTATTGTAATACAACCATACTACGTAATGATATTGTTGCTTTTTCAGACTTAGCTGGCAGTACCAGCAACCAAACAACAATTTGTGTGATGATCGTTATTTTTTCCTTGCCACCCCACACCCGATGTGCTTTCCATATAAGGAATAAAGCTGACCTGACTAAAAATTTAGACACTATCAGACTCACAAAGGAACCTTGTCAATCTTTGCTTATCTAGCCAATTTTAAAAAGTACAAATATCACTAAAAGCCCTGTTCATTGTTTCCTCGACATTTGGAATACTCCGTTCAATTCTGAAGAATAAATTTTAAAAGCATCATTGATAAGGTGGAGTATTTTAGAGAACAGCATTCAGGACGTAAAGGGTTTGAAAACACTACCACTGAAAGAATAAATCAAAGAACTGGAAATCTGTAGCCTGGAACAGGGAAGACTAAAGACGACATGACGCCATCCTCAGAGTTGAGGGGACTTACACGCTTCGGGGCTGGGGGGTGGGGGAGCAGACTTGCTCCAGATCAGGTCAGAAGCTGAATTCGGTAGGATCTACTGGAGAAAGCTAAAAGAACAGGGATGCCTCTTTAATAAAGAATAATTAGCACTGTTTTAAGAAACAGCCAGCTCCCCATCAGTGGAATTATCTAAAGAGAGAATAGAGAAGCATCTGATGAGGATGCTGTAGAAGGAATGAGAGTTACACAGAATTACTTGTATTATTTTTATTTACAAAAAGAAAATGAACATAAAGCATTCAACAAGTTCTATTTCTTGTCATTTCTGTCAGTGACACTTGCAGACCACCAGTACCTCAGAGGTAACTCAAGTGACAGTTTGAGCCTCATCTCCCACGTCACACTCTTAGAAGATTCCTCCTCTTCAGCAAGCTGGTGTACTTCCTATATTCCACATACCTGCACTCAGATAATGCCACTCCATCTAACAACTCTTGTTTATTCAAGCCCTACCCATGTGAGAAAAGCTCAGATCAAATTCTAGCTCCCTCAGGAATCCTTCCATAAGAACCCTAACCAAAAGTCTTCCTTCCCCAATTCCTATAAGCCAAAACTATCTCTACTGC